ATGGGATCATCCGTGTCCATGGTTCGCAGTTCCCAGCATTCCGCGAGGAGATCGGCATGTGAAGGTGGCAAAGCAGGGTCCAGGTCCATCAAAATGGCCTTAGTCTGTTCCACCCTGGAGATGTCCAAGGCTGGAAGCGGGTCCAGCTCCCCCAACTCCCTAGGCGTGGGAACTCGCAGCGGGTCAGTCTTGGCCGTGTCCATGACGTTTCTCCATAGATCAAGCCACCGGTTGTCGGAAGTGGTGGTGGCATTGATGTCCGCCTCCGATGGAGGGGGATCCAAATCACCGGTGTTGTCGAAGGGGGGTTGGGGAGGGTGAGGAGTAGCCGGCGTGGGTCGGGGAGGGGGAGGGGGAGTGGAAGTGAAGGCCGCCGCAGGTGCTGGGTGAGGGGGCAAGCTAGTGTTGTGGTGGCCGGTGCGGGAAGTGGGGTGGGGTTGCTGCCCATGGTGCTGCAGTGACCAGGACGATCGTTTGTCCTGGTTGTTTCGGTGGCCGGTGTGGCTGGCGCCATGGTGGTGCATGTCCCAGCGGTTTTTGTTCTGTGGTGGGTATCCCCACGATTGGTTCCGCCAGTGTGAGGAGGACCATTGAGACTTGTTGGAATCCTTCCCGGAAGTGCGCCAGGAGGTGGAATCATGAGTAGTGTGAGTGGGTCGGTGCGAAGTCGTGGCTCTGGGTGCAGGGGAGTGTCGATGGTGGGACCTGTGTCGGGGGGAGCGGGAGCGGAGGGAGACAGTGGAGTGGTGTGCACGTCGGGAGTGGTGGAAGTGTCGGGAAAGGGAACGTGACCTGCTGTAGCTGCGGGATCGTCGGGTGTCGTGTCGTCGGTGCGACTTGTTGTGCCTGCGATGGTGGCTGGTGTGGGAGTGGGAGTGTCGGTGCTGTCTGTGGCGGGAACGGGATCTGCGAGAGTGGGGATGGTGCCGAGTGTCCGGGGGAGGGTGGTTGGTTGAGGAGGTAGCGGCAGGAGCCGCAGCGGCAGCTTCGGGCGCGCGCGCCGGCTGAGGCTCGGGCAGTGAAGATGGCATGCTGCTCTGAGTCATGAAAGGCATGATGGTGCCAGGTGCCAAGTTGCCGTAATTGGGAGGGCCACCGTAGGGCATCATGGCCATCGGGTTGCCAAAGTTCGAGAGGCCGCCGTAGGGCATCATGGGGAAAGGTGTGAAGGATGCCGTCTGCGAGTTGGGTGACGGTACAAGGTTCATGGGCTGCGTCATCTGGGATGACAGCTGCAAGTTCGGTCCACAATTGCCTGGTGAGCCGGACGCGGTGCCGGTCGCAATGCTGTGCAGGAGCGAATGCATCATGTCATAGAGCTGGTGTCCAGCCATCTCGCAAGGGAGAGAGAAGGTTGGAAAGGGGTGAAACAAAACCACAACTGCGGCAAAAATGCGTCAATGGTGCAAATGCATGCGAGCAAAAATGCGTCAATGGTGCAAATGCATGCGAGCACAAAGGGGTTCTCAGAGGTGCCTGTCAAGTGGCCTCATGAAAGTGCCTCATGTGGCTATGCCGATGAATCTGAACTGAACTCATCCGAGACGAAAGCTTCCATAAACACCACGAATTGCAGAGTTGGTGTATGACCAACTCGTCACTGGCGCATGAAGCTTAGGAACCTGAAACCTCGTGGGTGCAGCCTTGCTTCAAAGGCAGGCAGTGCAGGCAGTGCAACGCGCATGAAACCAGCAGAGCACCATTTGGGTGCGGAATACCTTAAGACCTCAAGCTGCAGCCTTGATCGTGGTCAAACGCGCTGAACGGCAGGTTGAATTTGAACGTATGAACGGTCTTCCCCTCGCAGGGGGCTCCCGCATGTGGCGAGTCCAGCCCACAGCGCCATGTCGGACAGGCCGTGGGTAAACACACTTATCTCGAGAGGCTTCACTAGCCGAGATGAAAAACGCAGTCAGTAAAAATGCTTGAATGCAAATGCAAATCAACAGGTCACAACATCGACACCGAACAGGAAGCAACAGCGACAAACAGAAACCGCAAAGGAATCAGGAAAGAGGGTCATGAAATAGGCAGGTACGCCGGATTGATCAGATCCGGTATCCACCGAAATGCCGTAGCTTCATTGGACTGGATAGGCAAATCGGCTCCAGTCCCCCTGCAATGTGGAATTTCCGTCCGTGCTCCAGGACGCTTCACACACACACACACACACACACACACACACACACACACACACACACACACACACACACACGCACATCCATCCATCCGTCCCAGGTGAGATTTCCGTTTGCAACCGGGCGATGCGGGCAATGTCGCAGAGGCTCTCGCTGAGTTCTTGGGAACTTCCCGGCCGCAGGCAAACGGGGGTATTTGTGATTGTAAGTCCATGCTCTTCATCCTCAGAAACACATTTCCATGGTATTTGCCACAAAGGATCCCTGAATACTTCTGTGGGTACCCCAAAACCAAAAATACATGAGAAGGGCAAAACGGCTATCCGTTGGCCCCCATATTCCTTGTCAGTTTGGCACAACCTGTCAGGTCAAAAAGATTGAGACAAAACATATGAAGGTCCAATATATGTCTGGCCCCTCTCTTTGGCAAACGAACACATCCTAAGCCTGTAAGTATACCATTTGCAGCTGGTCGAATATGTCTTGTGATAAATGGCGCGAAGTCTCCTGACATGAAATTGCAAGCTTGATTGCTCCGAAATTCCTGGCACAATAATTTCGAAAGGTTCCTCATAAAGGGAAACTAAAGGACACTTACCCTTGAGGTTCGGTCAAACTGTTGATTTCATGTGTGTGTTCGGTTCGACCGGCGCGCAGATGCAAAACCGCGGCACAGGTCCCGCGTTTCACGCGCGCGCGAAACATTTCTTGGGTCTGCCGGAAACCAGTGGCCGTTTGGGCCGTCTTCCGGCTCGAAGGCCTTTCGCAAACTGAGCTCTAGCTGCGAGCGGTTCGCAACCCTCATGAGGGAAAAAGTTGATTTCTCAATTTCACCTCCCATCTTTCCGGCTAAGTAAGGATCTCTATATCGATCCCCACCCTCCAGCTCGGGAAAGACTCGAATCTAAATCCTTTGGCGGCTTTCGCTAGAGTTCCGCCCCAAAGCACGGCAGGGAGACTCAGTCCCGTCGCCGCACGGCACGAGCGGCGTCCTGATCCGAATTGATCAGTACCAGTAACGCCCTCATCGCTCGACACCGGTAAGAGAACTCGATCCGGGTATGTGGCCGACCGGCCACGCCCTTCTATGGACAAGACTCATTTCAGCTTCCTGAACTCCGAAATCCATTTTGAGAGTTGAATGGACCTGCAACCTGATCGACCTGTAAGTTCAGCACTTACATACACACATACACACAGACACACACAGACACACACAGACACACACAGACACACACAGACACACACACACACACAGACACACAGAGACACACACAGACACACACAGACACACACACACACACACACACACACACACACACAGACACACACAGACACACACAGACACACACAGACACACACAGACCCACACAGACACACACAGACACACACAAACACACACAGTTTATGGCTTTACCCCAAAATTGGCAGGCGTTGTGCCAGCTAGGAATGTGTCTCTACAAAAAACATCATGAGCTCCACACACACACACACCAAATCACCAGCACCATCAATGAAAAGCACACGTGCAAACACACACATACAGACATACACATGCACACATACACACATACACACATACACACATGCACACATACACACATACACACGTACACACATACACACATACAAACATACGCACATACACACAAACACACATACACACATACACACATACAAACAAACACACGCACACACACACACACACAAACACAGAGACACACACAGACACACACAGACACACACACACACACACAGAGAGAGACACACACGGACACGCACAGACACGCACACAGACACACACAGACACACACAGACACACACACACACACAGACACACACACACAGACACACACAGACACACACACAGACACACACACACACACAGACACACACACACACACACACAGACACACACACACACACAGACACACACACACACACACACAGACACACACACACACACACACAGACACACACACACACACACACACACACCTCACTTGCCCTTGTTGGACCTGGAAATAGAGGAGTTAACCCTTTGGAACCTTGACTAAATATGGACCAACAAGGAGAAACCAAAAGGTCAGATCGGGTCGATTCGCGTCTGCGCCACATACGCACTTCACCCTGACTTGAAGACACTTATCTAAAGATCCCTTCAAGGGTTCGTGTTGGATTTCAATTTCATTCGCCACCGATTTGCGAAGCAAAACAAATACTTTGTTAGCTTTCGGGGCTTTTTTAGGCGATTTGGACAGGGGCAACTCTTGTTGGTTGGGGAACGTGCCCCCCAGAACTGAGAACTTCTGATTTTTGCACCTGGATAGAAACTTGTGTTTGGCTGGTAAAAGAACTGTCAGATCACTCAGGGCTTGCCCGGCTCTGGTAGCACGGAAGCACGTTAACGGCGCTCCTGAGCCAAATACTCAGGGCGAGCCGTGCGGGGGCCATCCACACGAATCCAGAGAACCCACAAACCAACCCCTCCCCCAATTCCCCCCCCCCCACATCCCCCCCGCCAAGCGGTTGAAGTGCCATATTTGGTGAATCCAACCAAGAAAGGGTCTTCGAGGGGGTGGGTTGCGGGACTCGGAAGAAACAAATCTCGCGCCCCGCTTGCGGAAGAAACGCCGAGCCCCGAAGCCCCGACGCCCCGAAGCCTCGAAGGCCGCTGGCTTAAGCAAACGCATCGAAACGAGCTGCGCCTCCTGTCTAAACCAAGCTGTGGAGGCACTTTCCGAGAAACCCCATACCTTAGCTCTTGGCTCCTGAAAGCAAGACAACTTCAGATTCAACAACTCTCTGAATCGACAAAAACAACCTTCACTTATCTTCAGATAGAACTGATGCAACTGTACTGACATGAGATTAAAGAGATCCCCGGGCTACACAAACCGCCCGTCTCGTGGATCTCCGGTTCACCCGATTCTCGCTCAGTCCATGCTCCAGAGGGCGGCCTCTGCGATCAGTTCAGAGGCCTCGACGCCGGAAGATTTCGCGCTTTAGAAGCAACAGTTGAGTCACGCATCAAAACCTGGTACTGAAATGGGCTACCCAAATCCATGCAAGAGAAAATCAAAGGCGGCCGCGCCTATTTCTGGCTACTGCCCCTTAACCGACATCCACCCGGGTAGACGAAACTCCGCTTGCCTATGGGTCATGGTTCCCCGGTTGCCTGGAGAAACCGAAGGAACGAAACTTCTCCCGGCCGAAAGGCGGGGACCTTCCGAGAAAAGGTGACAACACACTTCGTGCTGCTTCCCATCCGCGCAAGGAGCGGATGGCGCTGGGTCGTGCAGGTCAAGGCTCTCAGTTCAGTTTGAAGCCCCGTAACCCAGGAGCCAAATCGAAGATGAATTCAGGGAACCAAAAAACGAAGGTCCCTCCCTGCATTCACCCAAATGAAACAGTGTTCCCTTCACATCGCTTGCATCTTGATCAAATGCTTGGTCTCCCCCCTGGAGCGGCTACTTGTTCTGTTTCGAAAGGAATTCGCCACTTGCAGGGGCTGGCAACGCAATGTCAAACCAACGCCTTTTGCAGAAAGTCAAAGCGCAAATGGCTGGTATCTACATGTGAGTCAGAGACATGGAGCTTGATGCGCTTTGCACATGCAAGAAGCAGCAACGAGCATCCGAGCTCATCCCCCTTTCCAAGAACTGCGGAAGTGGACGGCGTCTTGATTAATGAGCATGACAGTCACCAGTTTCCATTGCCTTTCTTTCAGCTTCCAGGATTTGACGGAAATGCAACCCGCGGCGGGGCTTGCGAAACCCATTGACTGTTCGGCCTGCCTCCCTGGGTCGAATGGTAAGATTAGGAGAACCATACCAACCCAATAACTGAGGCTCTCAAAATGACCAGTGCGGTCGTTCGAAGATGTTTGAGGAGTTGGTATCCGTGTTGTTTCCCTGCTTTTCTGGATAGAGTGTTGGCCAAAGCTGAAACACTGTTGCCAGCACATGGTCGGTGCATATCAAAATGAGGTCACCCTCATGCGTGTAGTTTTGGTGTCCCTAACCAACCAAAAAAAAAAAGGATACCAGCTCCGAGCAACAAAAACAACCAAACGCGCGAGCTCACCGGTCCAGACCCAACGTGGTTGGTGACGGTTTCTCTTTGACCATTTTGACCTTTCTGCTTCTCTTTTGACCCATGGGTTTTGGATGCTTGCCTGTTCTGAACCCTTCTTGACATTTTTAGAAAGAACGGAATCCCCTCCACACCACCCGCCCCCGCAAGGCAGTACGTTCCCCCAGCCGAGGAATGGGCGTCCGTGTCGGAGACAAAGGCCTGGCGGGAACACAACTTGTGGAAAGCCAGTCGAAATTGACCTAGGCACAAGGGCAGCAAATTTCCTCCAAAGGGAAGCCACTGAAAATCTACCCAGGTTTCTACCCTTGGTTTCGTCTGGAGGCGACCGAGCAACTCTAGCTTGGGGGTTCGACGACTCGAACTACACACCTCTTCTAGGTAGGGCAAGTCAAGTTGCCGAGGTTTAGGTCGGGATCTCAAGTTGATTGCCCTTAATAAAGCAATTCCGGGATCGACATCCCCAAGTCAGAATACTCCCTTCTTCACGCCCATTCAGGGATAACCCCAAGCGCCGACCGCTCAACGCTCAACCACTCAACCGCTCGACCGCTCAACACTGCTCGACTGCTCAACGGCTCCTGGGCTGTTTTCAGATCCCCTGCTAAATAACAGTTTAACTTGTGGGTTAAATGGAAACCCAACCAGCAAGCCCCTGACAAGCCCTAAGAACTGGAATCCCAACCACTAGACCAACCAAAAAGCCCTAAAAACCCAAGGAAGCGGATGGCCTTCGGCTGAACCACCAAGGCTCCCTCCGTTTCGCCGCATGTTCGTCGCCCTTTCGTCTCGGCTTTCGGCTTTCGGCGCGTTTCCGCCTGGATCACCGTCCAGACCCGGGTGATCTTCCGGAGGTCTCCCAGCCCAGAGCCATCCTCCCGCAGCCGGCAGCGGTGCAAAATTCGCAGCGCGTCCAGGCGGTAGTGCCGCTTCAGCAACCTGAGAGTTTCGCGAGAAGAAGACGGTGGGGTGTTCTTTTTGAGGATATCCACATGGGGGTACGGAGGTCAAAATGAAGCCACCACGAAATTGGACCGCAGGTTCGAATGTCCTTGGCTCTATTTACCAGGTTCCGTTTTGGGTACCTACTTTTTTACCCACAGCCATGTCGTTTGAAGCGGAATTCGAACGTGGTTTTAAAGGGAAGTTAGCCAAAAGCAAACTCGCCGTTTTACCCGAAGAGAAATCCAATTTCCCCGGCAGGTTTGGCACACAGACGATTTCTTGGAAGACCGCTTGTTGTCAAGGAAACGAGGCAGATCGTTCGCGCAAAGGGGAGGGGAGATCTCTTTCCGATTTTTTTGGCACCAAAAGCACCGGACAGGTTTGTTAAAGTTCAGGAACTCAGGGAGTGAGTTGAGAGAGCAAAAAGGATGACACGGGTGCAAACAAGAAACAAGTGGCTGCAGGTTTCAACGACAACTTCGGATTTCGCCTTTCAACTCTCCAGATTGCTGCAAAGCTGGAAACCCCACCTTGTGTCTCTCTAGCCCACGACTTGATACAAGTCTTCGATTTGAACCCGTTTCTCTTTTTGTCGGATTCCAACGACGAGCTTCAAAAGTGCGGATAGAGATATGCAGGAAAAATCCAGGGCATTTGGAGGATTCAGAGTCAATGGGCGTTTGCCCCTCCCAACTTTCGGGACGCACCTCTGTTGTCCGGTGCCTTCCAAAATGTTAAAATGGCGCCTGAAGGTTGGACAAGGAACTTGTGGGCAGTGAAATTCGACACCCCTGGATGGTTCTCCGCACACCCCGACAAAGTAAGCAGGTACCACTGACTTCTTTTGCAGAGACCCCTCAACAAATGGAAAATGGATGTCTCTTTGGTTCAGGGTACCCTTTGCAAGTTATGTTTGAGGGAAGGCAAAAGGACAACCACCCATTTTGGCGATGGATGCCCAATTTTCAGACACCAACATGTTAGCGGGTGGGACCGCACTGGCTTCGTTGCGCAATCTGTCCAAGGCGCGCGTGCGCCTCCCGGATCCAGCGCTCTTTCCTCACGTGGTTCAGGCCCATTGCGAGTTTGGGAACCCTTGGTCAACAACCAACAAGGCTTCATTGCGCTTTTCTACATACAGGAAAAAACAAGTACAAACCATTGTCCAAACGGTTTCAAAGTGGTTTATTACACAAGCTGCCCAAAAGAACGCTTCCCGTCTAACTAGCCAAAGCCTTGGTCAACGTTCAGCCACAAACCTAGCCCAGCGACTGTGTCTCTTTCGTAACCAAGGGAACATTGCTGGCTACGTATAGTGGTGGCTGGAATCGGGGCAGGTTTAAAGAATATGTTCGTCATTTGAGGCAGATCTTGACCCATTGAGGGTCATGCGTAAGCTCTCCCGGATCGGTGAGCCCAAAAAGCGCGGTGGAGCGCCAGATTGCCAAAATGTCGAGTCAAAACACCATTTGCCGAAGGTGACCTTTTGGTGTCAAGTCAAGCGAATAATTTCGGTCACAAAGGTGTTCTCCCGCAAAGGAAGAACTGAAAGGCAAATAACGGCCAACGCACCTCCAGTGACCAAAAGAATAAAACGCAAGTGGCAGATCAACCCCAGTCGACCGTGATAACCAGAAGTCAAGATCAAAAGAAACAATGATCCCTGTCCACCTGTGAAATAGATTCACTTAAAGGACCTGGAACAAGATTCTTCTTCCCTGACCAAAAATAATCGGAATATGGGAACAGACCAAAAGATCAAAAGGTCAAAAGCTGGGGGCATATAACAAAGTCCTTTCGGCTTGCCTTAGAGGAGTGGTTTAAACAATGTCTCGCCACTCCAGACACCACTTGCTGGTTCTCAGTCGGGAATCATCAAAGGCTGTGGGCATGAACCTAGGGGTTCTTTTCAAGGAAGCCACAAATGGTTCCATGCCAGGGGCATTTCATGCCAGGCGCATTCCCCTGCCAATCAAACCAGCAAGACCAAAAAAGCATCTGGTCAAAAGGCCCAAAAGAGCCAAACACGTTTTGGGCCATGTTCAAAGGAAGCAAAGAGAACCACTTTTTTTGGGGGTGGCACGACTCCATCCGGGAGTTTAAACCTCCCCATTGTGGGAGTTACGCTATTTTGAAGCTGAGCTGTTCAAAATGAAGTGCAGGCCATCCTAATCCATAATCCCTACTGCAAAACTGCCAATTACAAGGCAGGGCCTCTTTCGCAACCCAAGATGAGGATCTTTCGGATTGCCTTTGAACAGCCCAGTTTAAAGACAACTCCATATGCGTCCCCTTCAGGGACCCGGCAACAAGGGGTCCCCGATTTAAACATAAAAATACCGAGACCCGCCCATATAGCTCAAAAAACGCTAGCCTCCACAAAAGATACACGCAACCAATATACCGTCCCCATGATGCTACCAGTATCAAAGTCCCTCCTAACCAAGTGGTAGGTCCCAAAAAAGAAGAAACACGCATTTGCGGTGTCTGACCCCCCCCCCCCGAAAGAAAAAACAAAACTGATGGACCAAAATCCCATGGCCCCCTTTCGGCCTCCGCACGCCGCATCCACCGAGTCCGCTGACTCCGACTCCGAATCCGACTCGCCGACTCGCCGAGCGGCGCGCTGCTGGCCGCGGACGGCATCTCGGGAGACTTCCACCCGCGCAAGGAGCTGCAGAGCCGAGCGGTGCCGCGGAGGAAGCGGTACCACTGCCTCGGCGCGGGGCTTGGAGGCTTCGGCTTCGCTTCGAAGAAGCCTTCGGGGCGGTTCAAGAGGTGCCAGAGGTGTCCTTGGAGAAAAATAAAATGGCCCTGGTAAATGGAAATAGATTAAACCAATCTAAACCAGTGCCTTCTAAGTTTTAACCAAACTCCAGACTGTGGATGGACGAAATCCATGTCGCACCAATTTGAATCCATGGGAAACCATTCTTTGTTGGTATTTACGGGGGGAATCATCCTGCCAGGGTTTCTTGGGTGGTGCAGCATTTCGTCCACCCACAGTAGGTGTCCTCTTAGCAAAATAGATGGCCCTGGTAAATGGGGGAAAAAATAACATCTAAACCAGTGCCTTCTGCTTTTGATTAAATTATTCGAAAAAGGACACCTATGCTTGGCCCGACAAGTAGACAATGTAGGAACAAACCCAACAGTCCCCTTAAAGCAAACCAAATTGGGGATGGTTTTCTTGGGGTCATTCCATTTCCCATTCCCTGCATCTCTCGAGATCTGCGCCCGGTATGTGTGTCCTCTCTTTTTAGAACGTCTCCCCCAAACAAAAAAATGGTGGGGGGTTGGTTTCATCAGACGCCTTACGGGGGCGTCGATGCTTGTTTGAGTTTGGTTCCCCTTGTTTTGTGGTAGAGGGAAGCCAAAGGAAGACCGAAATCCATTTTGTGGGTCTCCTAGAAGAAAAGACACTCCCATACCCCAACAGCTCCAGTCCACTGATGTATCTTGGTGCATGGACATGAGTGTGTCTCAAAAATAGGAAGCAAAAAATAACGGCGACTCTTCCTTTTCGCTCCCCTGTAGACCGACCCATTCTCCGGGTATGAAAAAAAAAGTCTCCCACCAGACACCCCTTGAGGGAAACTTCAATTCGGAGGACCTCTTGAGATCCAAGGAACTCCAAGCAAACTTCCATAAGCCCCAAGACCGAAGTGCCATGCTGCTTCGAGGGCTGGGTCGGGGGAAATCTTGGAGCTGTAGTTTTCTTCAAGTCGGTTTTAAGTAGTGGTTTAGAGGTGTTCGCTACAGGGTTTTAGGCTTTGACTGGCTTCAAATGGTTGCAAGTCGTGTTTAGGTGTTTTAAGTTGTTCGTCTGGGTTCACGGGAATGCACTTAGTTCCAAGGTTTCAGTGCTTTGTTAATGATAAATTAGTGTTAAGGCTAGGCGTTTTCTGGGGATTTGTTTCGGTGTCAAGTCTTCATAAGTTGTCAGTGTTGAGGGCTGGTGTTTGAAGGTGTTCAAGGTCCCCTTAGTGATCAAGTGATGTTGCCCTCTTTCTGTCCAACGGAAGCCAATAAGAAAATATTTGAAGACTTCCGTCCTCTTGTGTTTAGGCCTCGCGTCCACTTCCATGCGAAAGAGGGTACCCTCTCTCCCACTAGCATGGCATGTGGGAGGAAGGGTAAATGTCTTCTTCAGTAGCTTTTTTGTTACTACCTGTTTCAAGAAAAATCCAGAGCGACAAATTGGCGCGCGTTACCAACGTGGGAGGGAGTGGCCCCATGGGCTTCCATCCAGCCACCTTTTGGCACAAAAAAGATCGACTCGAGTCCACTCTCGAAGAACTGATTTCTCGTTTGTGCGCGGTAGGAAATCCAGAAGCTGCACTCACAAGCTCAAACTTCCATTTGTTTAAGCCCCCTGGAAAAAATAAACATATTTCCAGTAGTGCTCGATTCCTTTTAAAACCAACAGGGAAAAATAAATTTAAAAAATATATGTATATTATTAAACAAATGGAAGAAAAATGGCAGCGGCCATTTGACTGCACTTTTGGTTCAGCTGTGGCCAATAGGAGTTCTGGGCGCCGGGAACTCAAATCCATCAGCTTGCTCGTCCAACTTCCGGGCACCATTCGGGACAATTTCTTCTTCGGCGGTGCGGCGTACCATTACCCAACCCCTTGTGGGACCCCATGACAGAACCGGGTGTTGGTAGAATCATTCGGGACGCGCGTCCACTGAAACTTGACGCTTTTAAGGGTGCCCTGTTTGGGGCTGTCTTAAAAAGAAACCAAAGATCCAGGTGTGTGGGTCCTACCTTTGAAAAGACAAACCCACTTGCAGAACAAACGCCTCTGTCCAGTGCGCAACCCGCAGGCCAGGGATTCCAACACCGGCCGGCAGCCAATGAATAAAGAGCACATTTACCATCCCGCCCCACCTGAAGGAAACAGAAAGGTGAGAGGTGGGAGATGCCCCAATTCAGTTCATCTGGTCTTTTTGATGGGGAACATGGAACTATGAATGGAGTTCCATCACCCAAAACCCTCCCCAATTCAACCACCCGTTTCGGAGGTGGGACGACGCCATGTGGAAGTTAAACCACCCATGTTGGGAGCTCCCTTTGCTGTTGTGGTTCCAACTCTTAAATGAACAGCCGTATGAGCCAGATTCCCTTTAAAACCAACAGGGGCAAAAGCCTAAAACATTTTCAGCAAATGGAAGCAAGCATACAAACCTTTCTTTTCGTTGGATTTCGCTGATTACCATTTTCATGTGTTCTGCAAACGCAAAGCGTCCGAGACAATGACACCTTATCCATTAGGCGACTGGTCCTCATGCTACCTTGTTTTGTTGTTTTTCTTGGTGAGCAACATCCGGAGCCTTAATGAGATAGGGGGAATTCCTTCTGCTGGGAGGATTCCCAAAGCTACATATGTCCTAGAAATTATGGGTGGGAGTGCAACAAAGGAACTTAAAAGGAAATCCGCCATTTTCGGGGGGTCCCAAAAAAAGCAACTGAACACCCATATGCTCAAGACCAACCCCGGAGAAAACAAAAGAACCAAACCCAGCCAATTGGTGAGCATTTTCTCCAGGCCGGAGCTGGGGCTCGAGAACTTTTTGGTTCTGAGCCCGACAGTTGCTCACCCAAATCGTGATACGTCCATGATCCAAAGGGAAAGTTGTCAGCCTGACCCACCGAACTCCCAATCCTACGAATTCTCCGAATCGACCCCATTCGCGAGCGAGCCCGTTTTCGAATCCCATCCGATCCGATTCAAACACACATTAATTATCGCCGTTTTTTTGGGGTCGAGCCGCGCTCGGGAGGAGGTGTAAGCCAAGGGTTGCGTGGACAGCAAACTGCGCAGACCCCGCAGGAAGCGCCAGCTCTGCCAGTCGTCTGAGGCTGCAGCCTCCCATTTTGGAGGTTGAACTCATCTCTTGGTGGGGAGGGGTGGGATGGTGGGGGGGGCCGGGGGGGGGAGGGGGGTGGGGCTGCTGTTAGGGGTTGCTGTCAAAGAAAAAAAAAGGGAACCACACATGATTGGAAGAAAGCCCATATGAGTCTCTGCAAAACAGGGACCTAACCTGACTCTAGCCCACCAACCAGCCAGCCAGCCAACCAACCAACCAACCAACCAACCAACCAAGCAACCAATGCGATTTACTTGACCTACCAAGCGAGCAAGCAATCAAGCAATCAAGCAATCAATAGCGGTCGGGGCTCAAAATGCCTAGATAGGTCAGGCGATAGCACGCCTAGAGAGGGGTTTGCCAGAATCTTCCTTCTGGGCGCTCTTCGGCTCTTGCCCGTGACGCTCTTTGAGTCGCCGGTGATACCCAGATCCATGCTTTCCCCCCGAGGTCATTTGGGTTGTATCAACTGCCTTGTTCATCCGCTGAACCAACCTCTGAACCCAACCGCTCGCCCGCAGCCAGGCCATCAATGCAGTGCTAGCACGAGTAACCTTAATCTTCCTGATGAAGCGGGCGCTGGAAACTGCAACTGGAATGCCGATCCAAGCTGAAGCCTTTTGCTTGGACGGTTTTTTGCCCAGCCAGCCCAAGCGCAACAGGGAACCTCCTGAACAAAGGCGCTGGTGCTGGCATCGATTCATTAGCCACTTCGTTGGAGCTTGCAATCCTGGTTCTGCATCTGCAACACATCGCTAAAATGTTGCGCATGTGCTCGGATTCCCTAAGCAAAATCAGCATGTGGTGTGCAGAAAGCAGCGCGGTCACCTTTGCAGGCTTCAAGCTCGCGTGGCGAGGCACCAGGGGTGGGTTTGTGATGAGCAGCACTTGAGCTATGTGCTACATGTCGTGGCCGCTGGTTTTCTTGACTGCGTTGATAGTAATCCTCTCGTCTGGCGTCCTCTCTCGGATTTTTCAGCCTCTTCGGCCATGCCTTCGGAGGGTAGAATCGCCCCAACCGCAAGGAGGGAGCAATAATGCAACCTAAAACCCGAAACAACCATTTACAAATGGTGGATTCCCAAATGAACAGACCTTCTCTGCCATTTCTAACGGTCCAACCCCCATGAGAAGAATGGCAAGGACCCAATTTAGTCGATGACAATCTTTAGGTAAACAATTGCTTTTTGCGTGAACCTACCTATGTTTCAATGGCTTGAATCCCAGGAAAACCTACCGACCGGCCTCCATGAGGGTCTCAAAGAGCTCGGGGAGGTTCCGCGGCTCTGTGGTGATGCTGCCCAGATCCCAGTCCTCATTCGCCACGCAGCCTGGCCGACTCGTCCGGCTCGCGACTCGCGACGCGCGACTCGCGACGCACGGCCAAGGAGTCGATGTGAGCCCGTCGATCCACACACGCTTGGGGGCAAGACTCTGCTTTTCCACTCCCACATCGGGTTCGAGAACAAGACCCTGCTTTTCGACCACTATAAGCTTCCCGAAAAGCTGGTGGTTTACTGGTGATTCGGAGGTTGGGAATGAGGAACCAGGGGTTGAAATCCCCAAACCACCGATTCAAACCATCTAACAGTCCTGATTTTTTCCCCCAACAGCTGAAATCTTTGGGGTCTCAGAGATAGGCTCCGGGGTGGTCCGGGGCGGGGTTCCACCAGGCTTCCACGGGGATTCCACGAGGTTCTGCGAGAGCGGCGGGGTGGTGCGAGCACTAAAAAGAGCATTGCATGCTGTTGGGGATATCACCTGAGCTTATTCTTCTGGCCACCATCTTTCCTCTTGATTCACCTTATCCCTAATTGGTGGTTTGGTCTGGTGCTTTGGACGTTTGCGGGTACCTTCTCCATTTGGTTTAGAAAGGAAGTGGGGTTCCTTTTCTCCCAACCAATCCAAACCGTCAATCTAAACGGTACCTGATGGGCTCAACAGCTTCAGAGTCCCGATTTCACCGGCGCCTTCCAGGAGAGAAAGCACACCGCTGGAAGAACTTCGTGCGAAATTCACCGTTTCCATGGTCACATGTCGTGCTTTTCTTTTGGTTGGCTCCGACAACAAGGCAACAAACACATGTTTGTTTTGAAAAAAAAACACTCCAGCAAAACAGTTTTTGCAAGCTTCATTTCATTTCTTGGGGTTCTTTGCTTGTTGTCTTTGCAGGCTTTGGGGTGACTCAAGCTCTGCTCAACGGTCCCGACCAGCTGGTGACTTTATGACACCCTTGGAACCTGCGGAATTCAAGAGTTTCTCTTGCTCAAAAGGCCAAGGCATTCGTTGCCTTTGGACACCCTGAAACCCAACACATCCTATGGGAAAGAATAGGCTCAGAACATTCTGTGGATGGCGGAAATCCTGCACCACCCTTCAGAAACCCAACGGAATGCTTCAAAACCCAACATACATGTATCCTTCCCATGGCTGCATCTCGTGCGAGAAGCCGACTTCGCAACCACAGAAAGAAATCGCAGCAGACCAGTTGCCACAAGGTCCAAAACAAAGCAGAAAAAAAAAACCTCGCAGGTGCCAGCCCAAGCCCCTAAAGCCAAGCCCACGGCCCGAAGGCGAAAGCCCAGGGAACGGGGTTTGGGAATGAACCTGATGGCCTTGAAGGACGGGACGGCTTGTAGGGGTCATTCCGACTCATTCCTTGCAAATAAGATTGAAACATCAGCTCTTTGGCACTTTGGCCTATTTGTTTCAGGGGGGAACGGGGGCTCGTGGGGGGGAGGAATGTTCCGTGAACAGGGACCCTTTTCGCGGGTGACGATGTTTGAAACCCCACCAAACCAAACAGGAGGGTGACATCCACTAAACGTACAAATCCTGAAACGCACCACCTGCCGACTGACTTTGTCCATCCACAGTATATGACTGCCAATAAGCCCTTCGCAGTTGTTAACTGTCTTACCCCCTTTCGAATTAACTAGAAACGAAGAAAGGGATCCGCCAAAAGGAGGTTTGTCTAGAAATGATGGTGTCGGGGGTTTCACGTCGTAAGCGGGAACCGACCTCATTCCCACCAAAGAGGACTGGGACACTCCAAAGTATCTGCCACTCGCCGCATTTGTCTGCGCACCTGGATTTCAACAAATCCACTCGCTCGCAACTAAACGGCTTCTGTTTTTTTTCACAAAAGCGCGGGGCGATGACCTTTTGTGGCCAGAGCGGAAAAAAATGGGCTGGCAACACGGAAGACAAGGTCAAAAACACAAAGGTCCATACGCTTGAAGCAACTCCCCAAGATCAGAAAAGCCCCTTCGGCCGAGGACAACAGAGTACCCCTGCCTTCACGCAGGTGGTCCGGATGGGTGGGATCGTTCCTAAGAAAGCACCCGATCCATCTCGTCCAATTCCACAGGTTGCCGGTTTGCTCAAAAAAACATAAGTGAGTTGTGGAGAGATCCCGAAAACTAATTTGTCTGTGCGAGGTCGCGAGAACTCAGCCTACGTGTCCCATATCAATAGTGTTTTGCTGCTCATTCAGTCCATGCTCAAACCAGATCTGGTGTGCCATTTCCCCTGAGGCTGCTTCAAGACGGACCCAAAAGAGAAACCACCAATTGTGGAAATTCCCCATTCGAGCTGCGCCCGAAACCCGCTGCGTTTGGTTCTAGCACACTAGTTGTACAGGTTTCTATAGGCGTTGCAATAACCACCATAAGACCAAGTAGCAGAACCACCGACTCAAATGGGCCAATGGGGGTTGGAGCTGCCTTGTGCGGAAAGGAACCCGTGGATTTTCTTCTCACAACTTCTAGCGCCGTTCAAACCCCGAGGTGCTCAAGCGTCTACAGGAAGCCTTCGATGGTCAATGGGCTTCTTCTACTAAATATGACCAAAGCGGCGTCCAAGTATCCTTCCTGACCTGGGGTAAGATCCGACTCTGAGGTCCTTGTCAAGGCCAAGATGTCCCTAAATCAAAATGTCCCAAATCCTCCGAATATCTTAATATCTCCTGATTCATTCCCCCTTTCCGTTGCATTTCCCCCCCGGAACGGATTAAATCCAAAGCGCGGCGGGTGCCGCGCACGGTTGGAATCAGCACTATTGTCATGGCACGACAATCGCTTGCGATCGCTTCAAGCATTCAAAGGTCCGCATCCATCTGGCGCATCTAGCCGGCTCAAATGATTCATTCATTCACTCACTCAATCACTCATCCATCCGTCCATCCATCCACCCACCCACCCACCCACCCACCCACCCATCCATCCATCCATCCATCCATCCATCCATCCATCCATCCATCCATTTGTTCAAGCGACCATGTTCTTACTCAACGGAACACAAGAGGACACAACTGTTTCACCATTTCGTTGATTCTTTATTGGGGCACTCAAAAAAGCCGTCGAAAAGGACATGTCTCGCAGGTCTGTGTTTGCTGATGGTCCTTTGGTCTTTCCTCAGTTGCCACCATAGGAGCCTTCTCCGTTTTATGTTGCACGGGTGGTTACCCAAAGGCTACAGGGAAATGGAACCCAGGAATGTGTCTGTCTCAAAGGGCCCGGACCGCCTCAACAAAAACAAGCTCAAGGCTGCAATCAAATTGAGGCATTCCGTGGAAACCACAGCGGCCTTTTGGCCCCCTGGGGAAAATAGAAAGGGACCCAGACCGCAGAATCCCTCCAAATCAGGGGGTCCCGGACCAGTTCCGCTTTCCTCTTTTGTGCGCTGTAGGAGGCCCCATTGTTGGGTTGGTCTCCCGTTAAAACGACCACCCGCCATCATTCATCATTTTTCTGGGATCCGTACCCTAGGCCCCCAAAAAAACAGAAGTCCATAGATAAAACGCCACTCCCATCTCTCCCCCCCTCTCTCTCTCTCTCTCTCTCTCTCTCTCTCTCTCTCTCTCTCTCTCTCTCTCTCTCTCTCTCTCTCTCTCTCTCTCTCTCTCTCTCTCTCTCTCGCTTCGCGCGCTCAGCGGCAGAACGGAGACCAGGGAGGTGAGCACGGACCTCAAAGTCCAGGCAGGGGACCATTCGGACTTCGCGTCCTGCTGCAGGATGTCCAAATCCATGGAGCCATCGTCGCGGATCAGCGGATGAGGCACCTGACAAGCATAGGGCAAGGCATATATGCCTGCAGACCTGTAACTTACAAGCTTCTCAACTGGGAAACAACGCTTGGACTTGTTGGACCCTTCAAATCCAACTGGGAAGCCCAACTGAGAAACCCAACTGAGAAACCCAACTGGGAAACCCAACTGGGAAATGCAACTGGGAAACAATATTTGGAAGACCCCCTCCAAATCCAACTGTTAAACAAAGTTTGGTCTTTTTGGACCCCCTCCAAATCCAACTGGAAAACAATGCTTGGACTTTTTGGACCCCCTCGAAATCCTGGGACATGTTCGAAGGGCAAGCAAAAGGTTGTGTTGCGCCCTGCAGCCTCTATAAAAGCGTCAATAAAAACCTTCCTGCCCGGAAATGGGGAAAGAAGGATCGGACGTAAACCATCTCTGGAGGAATCTCAGTTTGGGGGGTAATGCCGCCCCCTCAAGACCATAACCCTATCCAAAAGACATACAGAGGGTGCCTGTGCCCTCCAGCCATCAAAGGGGGGGACCATTTATTTGAAACCCAGTCCAGGGTGTCCGGCACGCCCAAGAGCTCACACAGCTTGCTGGCTCGATAGGCAGGGAATGAGAGACTGACCCGAAAAAGCCATCCCCTATGGTGTCCCTTGAGGGGATCCCTGGTTACCCTGGGTCATTCCCTGCCACCAGCAAGACCAGTGGGGCCAAGGCACACGCGAGAGGAACTTCAGGTCCATTGGCCTGTAGGGGTAAGTGTCGCGGTACCTCGGAGGCCATCAGCGTCCCATGCCATGCGTCGGGTGGCTTGGTGGTGAATTTGCTGGGGGTTCCCTTGAAGCCTCAAGAGCCAGGGGGTCAAATCCCAATCCAAACGGTTACTTGGGGAAATGCCTCGCAAGCTGCCGGGCTCGAAGAACAAACAAAACGACGGAAGTCATCTAGAACCAGGGAGTCGCAGCCTTGGGTACCGGGAGAAGCGGACGTCACTTCGTTCCGCCAGTAAGCCAACTGTACTCAACCACACCATGGTAAATTGCGGCAAATGCTCAGGGGTACACCCTTCTTGCCCGATTTGCAGTATTTGGGGCATCCTACGGATCAGGCGCTACATTTCTCCAATTGAGTCACAATCAAAACCGATCGGCATTGAAATTGTCGGGACTCGGAACCATGGCAAAGACTGAAAGAGGTGGCACCCATTTATGGTTGGAATTATCCCTTACTAACCTTCATCTACCCGGGTTTGTCAATTGGCCGCCCAAAGAAATGGCCTCACTTGTGGCACAATCAAAACTGATCGGTATTAAAATGGTCGGGACCCAGAACCATGTGAAGAATCACAAAGGCGGCCGGCACCCATTCATGATTGGGATTATCCCTTGCCAACCTTCATCTGCCCGGGTCTTGATTGTAGCTCACTTGGGGAGCTTTTGCGTTACAACATACTAACTGTGCAACGAACACCCAAGTCCCCCAATACCCCCTTCATCACTGGAGATAATCCCGGATGCCATTTAAAGTCCTGATTTGCTGAATTTCCATAATCCCTGTTCTGTTGCTTGGCGCGTATGCCGCCTATCAGGCCCCAAACAGGTTGCCAACCAAGGACCGTGTTTTGCTTCCTCCGTCCAACCCCGGGCTGGCGTCACGAGAAAGTTGGGACACGGGAAACGGAAGGAGCCAATATGTGAACCAGCTTGTTTGGGGGTGTCCCTGGGTTTAGTGGGGAGTCTCTTTTGGAGGGACCCCTTCTGGAAAATTAACGGGGGTTGATCAATATGGGGGCAGCATTACCAAATTTGGCCATTGTTTGAAGGTGAAAAGCAGCACTGTCCAACTAAGAAGTGTCTTCAAGGCACGCAGTGCATTCCAGGCAAGCCACAATAATTTGGGCAACCAGCCGTTTCCTTTCGGTCTTTACAGGGTGATTCCCTTTGTCACCTACTTTACAGGCAAATGGAATCACAGTAATTAGGCCAAAAAGGGCGTTCAAGCTTGAACGGCTCTCGCCGAACCCTTTTCCCAGATCCGAGAACCCACCCAAAAGAAACACGAGGATCCCCGAATTCCCCGAAGAACTTCAAAGGAAGGATTTGGTTGCCTGGAAGTTGGGGACTTCTCTATGCTGCCTATTGCTTCATGGGTCAGCCACGTGAGTTCGTTGATCGATAGCAGGTCCCGCCCGAAGCTTATGGCCGCGGTTCTGGCCGACTTGTAACGTGAAATGTCAAAGCGGACAACTGCCCAGCCAAAAGGATGAAAGCGGGTGAACCTTCCCAAACCGGCCCCCGATAGGCAGAATCCACAGATCCCCAGCAGAGGCACGCCACGCTGATGAGAACCGGCACCGAATGGCTCTGCGGGCTGACGATTACGGCATGGGCACGTAGTGGCAAGATCGCATTCCCATCCAAGGGCACCTCACTGCGAAATACGCACGAAGGCCCAGCCAAATTCGTGCCAGTGGTGGCCTGCCTGGTGCGTTTGTCACAAAACAGATAGCCCCTGCCCATTTGCTCGTCTCCAAAAACCAGCCAGTTTGTTGGCTGACTTCCCACCTCCCCTTTTCGATGGGCTTCGACCATTTGGCAGGCGCCATGGACATGCACGAGTTGTGGCCAACACACGAAATTCAACAAACATCCATCCATCCCGTGTCTCCTTGAGGGAAGGTTGAACGAACGACGATATAGGGAGTGCACATGAGATGTTGAGCCGCAACGAGTTTGATGAAAACACCTAGATGCAAACCATGAACACCTGAGACCTACCTACCAAGATACCATGGAAACCCAAAGCCACTCTTTTTCGTAGGTTCCATGTAAAGACCGTCTCACAAGTATGAGTCTTCCGCTCCCCAAGCGCTGAGTGATCCAGCCACCAAGCGACCCACCGACCTAACGAGCCAAGGGTATCCAAAAACTGAAACACACCCTAAGTCCTACTTCCATCTCTCAGAAAGGTACATGGATCAAAAGACAAGACAGAAATGAGCCTCCGCCATTTTGTTCTGGGCACCATCTGTTCATAGGATCCAACCGCCTCTGACCCCTACCCTGGCTTCCAGATTGGGCCTCAAGCGTCACGGGGGTTGGGATCGTGTGGTCCATGTTTTGGGCTACGCCGCCAATTCCGTTGCGGCCGAGAAATCAAAGGTCTGCAAACAAGTCGAAGAAGTTGATTCCCCTTGAGGTGTTGACGTGTCTTGTTTTCTGACACAAAGTATCCCTGGAAAGAATGGGCGAGTCAGATAGAAAAGGGGGCCCCGTGCAATAAAATACTCCACACATCCCTTTCCAGGGCACTGCTGGCACATAGATGCCCAGATCAGGCTCGCTGATGGGCTCACGGACCTCTTTCCAAACCCGCTTCAAAATCTCAGGTGGAGCTGTGACCATTGTCTCGGGCCAATCTGAAGCGAATGGCATAAGATGCAGGAAGTGCATGCTGATCCAATCACCCTAAGACCAAGGTGTCCGTTTGGTTGAACATTGATGGATTGCCCTGGTAGATTCTGAAACATCCAGGTCAACGATTAGCTGGGTAGAGTATGAAACAACCAGGTCACCCAGCAATCGCCATCGATGTCCCGCCAACACCACCAGAAAGGGACATGCTTGAGACCTTTTCGCCAGGAGAAAGTTGGCCAAAAAGCAAAAGGACCCGAAACTTGAGGTGAGCCACCCTGCCCATCAGTGACATCAGTGAGCAACTACATAGCAACACGCTTAGCCACCCCCACCCACACACACTAAGAACCCGCCAATGGACTCAAAGCTAAACCGGACCCTCAACCAACAATTTTGAGACCCGCATCTGCGCGGAATGTGCGCAAAGCATAAAGCACCTACGGAGCCCACCTGGAAAACAGGCTGTGATGGATCGTCCCTGAAAGGAAACCACCCTCCAACCAACATACCCTATACGCTTCGACGATCTCCCTACATAGGCTTTGTACGACGTTTGTTTTGGGCTTGACAACCGCTATTTTTGGACATCGATCTTTTAGCCCCATGTTGGACTGTTCTGTTGTTCTTCAAAAACGACGCCTGCCAGCACAACCTCTTAAGTAGCCTTGGGAGCACATATTTTCTGCTAGCTAAGCACATTATTCTTTATTGATAGGGTCCTGGGGCCCCTGTTTGTGTCTGCGCAACGCACCTGCTGAAAGTCTTGCGCGGACCGAGCCTTCATTCTGGCAAAATAAAATACTGGTTTGCCTCTGCATTTGCGCGGGTGGCACGAACAACAAGCAATTTTGGGTTTGCTTCTCCGCTTGAACTATCGCACAGGGCCAAAGACGACGTGACCGTGGACAAACCGCATGACATGGCGTAGAACCACCATTGACTTTGCAGACCCACCCTTTCTTGGCGTAGAACGGACATTTTTTGCAGGGGACAAAGGATCAGCATCCTCATCCTGCATTTGTTTTTTAGTGAGCTACGGGGATGAAAGGACAGAAGTGGACCTTTGCGTGCTGCATGGCCAAGCTAAGAAACCAAGCAGAGCAAAAAATGCGATAGCAGCACAGAAGCCAACATTAGCCGCGCAAATTGTCAAACATGTTGCAGCACCTGTATGTACACATTCGCCTGAGTATCAAGTCTTGCGTAGCCCTTGTTCCAGTCCAAAGTGGAGGCTGACGCTAGTCCGCGAGTCATCAACAAATAGTCGAAACTTTCACAACGCATAATTGCTTAAAGATATAGGCTTTGCAAGGCATAGGAATGGGAAGGACGGTACCCTTCTGGTCCTGTGGCTAGCAATCCTCTTCAACTTGACCCCCAAATGGATGGCTCGTCTTTTGAGGCTACGGGTTGGACACCAAAGGAAAACAACAATATGTTGGGGGGGTCCCCAAAAAACACACACACATGAAAAAAGCTGCGGGTACCCGAAGGGCGGGGGCTTCGCGACTTTTTTGGTCGGTTCTCCGGATCTCATTGGCCATGCAGGCGGCGGGAGATTTGGTGCTCCCTGCCAATTCTGGAGGTCCTAAGCGGCGTTCACCAGCGCCTTTATGAAGTTCGCTCCTCCCGGACCACACGCCTGGCACTCTGGATGTGAGACCATAGCAGTAGACACAAAGAAAGAGAAAAGCGAACATCTAATTTCTGGGCTGCAAGGCAAGCGCCGTGCCATCGCATACACATGAACTCAACTCCCGTGCCTGGCAAAGCTTCTTTAGGAGATTCGGGTCGGTCTTTGCTTGGGGAAACCCTTCTTGGTTGGCAAGAAGAAGATAGAAGGGAACACCACCATTTTGGGGGGATCTACGAAAAAAAGACACCCGTTCCTCAACTCATGTCTGTCCTTTTAAGGGACACCCAAAGGGAAACCGAAAGGATACCAACCATTTCTGGGGTTCCGATTCCCATTTTGAGACAAACCCATGTCATTTGGGTCTGTCCTTTTTTGTGGGACTATTGAAAATTACATTTGGCTGGTTTTAAATGGAAACCAAAAGGGAAACCACCATTTTGAAGGGTCCCGAAAAGACACTGCCATTTCTTCACTTCGAACAAGTGCGTCGCAGGCACTTGGGGAAGGCCTTTTGACTCGGCTACTAGGAAAAGCTTGTGGCATACTCGACAGCTTCTATTGTTCAAGCCTCCCTTTTGGCTTAGTGGGCTATTTTGCCCGGGAACCAAGATCTTCTTTTAGCGGGCTGGGGGGGGGGGGGGCCAAAAACAAGACCTCAAAACAGGTCCGGCTACTTCCATGTGTGTGTGTGTGTGTATTTTTGTTTTTTTCGGGGGGGCGGGGAAATGGGACCTAAACCCAAACCCAATCACCTGGTTGCTTCACCCTGTCACCCCCCTGCTGCCCTATCCTAAACTCCGCCGGGCCCACCAGGCGGTGAAGAATCCGGAGATGCTCGCATAGATCGACTCGACGTCCTCGCGGAAGCTTCGGCTCGGGAGAGGCCAACGACTCGCTTGCGTGGATCGGCCCCAAACAAGTTGAGACTTGTTGCTGAGATGCGTGCTATGCAAGAGATCCCACCATGTCAAGCGCGAAAATGGGTGTGACACACGCGCGGCCCTTGGATTGATCATTCAGCTTCTTCAGACAAATCTTTTGGTGCATCCTCAGCCAGCTCGTCCCAGCCGATCTTGGCATCAGCGAGGGTCTGGCACACGCTGTCGCCTCCGGATCTCTTTGGGTGCGATGGAACGCATTCCATCTGTAGCAACGGACGACCTCCGATAATCAAAAAGAAACAACCCAATGGTACTTTTGAGAGCTTCTCAAATTCACTTGAGGGCCAGAGTGCTTCAATTTTCAACCAAAATTAACAAAAGCTTGACATCTGGGCTCGCACGGTGTTTCAATGGAAACCCAGAGAAAAATGTCTAGGCTTCCCAAAATGAGCATGCATCAAATAGGTGTGTCAATTTTACGATGGCAGATAGGCCCCGCGGTGGTCTGGGGCAGCTCTGACGTAAGGTTCTGCAGGGTTCCTGGAGGGTTCCGCAAGGGTTCCCTGAGGGTTCCGCGGTTCCGCAAGGATTCCGCCTGCAGAACCTATACAGGTGTGGTTCTGTTGGGGAAATCACCTGAGGTTGTTTTGCTCGAGAAACCAAAAAGGAACACCAATTGGGGGGTACTGAATACAACAAATTGCTCAAAGCTTGTGGAGTACCAAAAGCCCGCCCCTGTGTTGGAGTACTTCTCTTTTTGGGCGGGGGGTCCAAATCCCTGCTTCGGCACCCCCAAATCTTCAGCTGGAGCCGCGACATGAACTTCCACTTCATTGGGGACGAACAAATTCAAAGCAAGAGCTAAACACATGGAACGAACCTTTCCCTTCCTTAAGACATGAGCCTGTGCTTGTTTGAGGCTGGTACCCTTTCGGGTTGGTTTAAAGGGAAATCAAAAGGAAAGCTGCCAGTCCAGTCCACCACCCCCGCACTTGGAGTACGAATTTGGGGGGCCTTCGGTGGATATTTTCCTGGCCACATGGTGTGCTTTTTTCGGCGAACTGCACCGGCAAACCGGCTCTGACTCGCAGCCTGCAAAATTGAGACGGTCATTGGCGTGGGCCCAAAAAAAAACGGGCCAAGGGTGTCTTCAGGCATTCCGTACATTTGGAAGTGTCTTCTTTTGAGGGTACCCCTTTTTGATGGACTTAAACGGAAACCAAACGCAAAAAAACACGACTTTCGGGATCCCATAAATGGTACTGAACGGAGATTACAGGCCCATAGTGGCCCGCACAATCTTGCTTGAATCTCCAATTGATTTCCTTGGCTTTGATGCTGAAACCAAGCTTGCACGGGGCATCAGAATCAGTGGATGCACACACACACACACCCCAATTCCATGTTTTGGGATTCACCTTCGGGTTTAGGCCCCTTTCCGAATGGCGTTATGGATACAAGAAAACCATGGGACCAACCTTAACCTGAATATGTTGATAGAGCCGTGCCTGCGGTGTGCGCCGTTTCACCAAGCAAAGCGCTTCAACATCAGGCCCCGGCCCCAGCTGCGAGAATTCTTTTTGGCGCCCGGGCCCACATAGCTAATAGCAGCGCCGAGCCCGAAGCCCGCGTTCAGCTCCTCATTTGGTGAAAGCTCCGGTCAATGGGCTGGGCCACACCCAGAAACCTGGTACCCTTCGGAGGGGAACATTGGAACGTCCCGACTTAGGTAAGCCCCTGATGGATGTCCCGCATTGATTTCCCCGCAGGTCCTTGTCCACCTGGTTTCACGGCGTTTGTTTTGAGGCTCTCTTCTGTATATACTGTATATGCATGTGAGTAGAAACAAAATAACCGATTCAAAATTCACTCTCCAGCATTCTTGGGGGGGCAAACATCACGTTGACAGTCTCAGAGGATCTCCCAATTTGATATCGCGGGTAAAAAACTATGCGCTTTTGCCGAAGTTTTTAGGGTAAGTCATGGATCCTGGACCAAACAAAAATCCTTCTGTGGCCATCCCTAAGGGTTGTTGCCTTGAACACATCCAGCCGCCCAAACCCATCCACCCACGCGACTGAAGCTCCTCACAGGGAGCGCAGGACTGCGGGGGAGCGGACTCCTCGCGCTCCTGCAGGACTGCCTGCAAGGATTCAGTGAGCAAAAGGGCGGCGAGGGCCAAATGGTGGGCTTTGTGTGGGTTTCAAGTGGCTCGGGGGGGGGGGGGGGGCGTTCTGGTTTCTGTCAGTTTCGCGCGGCGATGGGGGGGGAAAATGGTGCCAGAACTACTTTAGTGGTGGAGTCGTGGAGGTGATTCCCCACCAGTAGAGGACATGGTCCAGCGGGGGCTCTTGTTGTGAGGCGCCCTCCCACCGGAAGGAAGACGTGGTTTGGACCATTTGCCTCTAAAAGAGGAGCTTCTGCCGGGCTCCATGTTAGTCTGGGGGAGCAAAGTCTGCGTTTCTTGAGAGCTGTTATGGTCTGGAGAGCAAAGGGAAACCACATGAGACAAACATGGCTGCAACTGGGGTCGTTCTTTTTCACCATTTCTGCGGGCTATCAAAGTCAGGAACTGGGGGTTGGTGTCCCTTCAACCTACCACTTCGGGGGCTGACTTTCATACTGGTAGAATAATGGAACCAGTGTAACTAACCCAGGTATTTGAGAAAAGTGTCTATGTCTCCAAACCAGCAGCTTGAATTGAGCCCAACTCGACACAGCCATTTGCTCGCCACCCAGCATTCCCATCGCGCACGACAGGGAAAGCTTGGCACCCAACTTGGCCAAATTCTTGCCCCCGGGGGTAAAGGAACCCCAGTTCCTTTTGAAGAATGGGAAGGAAATGTGCAAACCACCAAACCAAATCAAGCCAAAAGGGGGAAGTGAGCAGATCGGGTTCGACCTTGCTGGGCTTCTCAAGGGATAGCCACCCCCTTAGCCACACCTACAGGTCCATAATTTATTCCTAAACCACAAATCCAAACCACCAATTGAGAGGGCTACCTCATCAGATTGCTCACATCGTGCATGATGAATTTGGATGGTTCACGGGAGGAAGCGCACCTGAACACCCCGGCCGCAACATCACAGTTTCCTCCAGAGGACATGGGCAAATTGAACAAAAGACCTCCAATAACATTGTCATGTGCCAAGCTGTGTGGGTCATGGTCATTGTTCCTTGGTAGTCGCTGCTAAATGGTGGATGAACAAAGACAGGTGTTGACCCGATGTAGACACCCAATATGAAAGAGGAGGGTCGCCAAAAAACAAGAAGACTAGAGCTTTCACGACAAGTAAGCAACCAAGCAAACAAACAGCCAAACAAAAACACAAACAAAAGCAGAATTAACAAACAAGCAAGCAAACAAACAAACAAGCACGCAAACAAGCAAGCAAACAAACACGCAAAGAAGCAAGCAAGGAAGGAAGGAGAAGAAAGAAACCATGCAAAAACGAAAGACAGAAGGAAAACACAAAAAAAAGACTGAAAGAACGAAAGAAGGGAAGAAACACGAAAAAGAAAGAAAGGAAGGAAAGAAACAAAGAAACAAAGAAACAAAGAAACAAGAAACAAAGAAAGAAAAAAAGAAAGAAAGAAAGAAACAAAGAAGGAAGGAAGGAAGGAAGGAAGGAATAAAGAAACAAGAAAGAAGGAAGGAAGGAAGAAAGGCAGAAAGACAGTTGTTCCTTAAAAAAAAAGACACAGAGAAAGCCAGCAAGCAAGCAAGCAAGCAAGCAAGCAAGCAAGCAAGCAGGCAAGCAAGCAGGCAAGCAAGCAAGCAAGCAAGCAAGCAAGCAAGCAAGCAAGCAGGAAGGCAGGCAGGCAGGCAGGCAGGCAGGCAGGCAGGCAGGCCGGGCAAGCAAGCAGGCAAGCAGGCAAGCAGGCAAGCAGGCAAGCAAGCAAGCAAGCAAGCAGGCAAGCAAGCAAGAAAGAAGGCAAGCAGGCATGAACAACGCGCAACAACAAATCACGCAAAGAAAGCATGCGTAAAACAAACAGAAACAGTCAAGGGCAAACACACGCACACACAAAAAGGAGGCATAAACGTACAAAAGGAACAAGAACATACACACACACACAACCAAGCGAACACTTAAACATGTGCACCCACAAACACACACACACACAGGCGAGCACAAACAAATGCGACACACACACACACACACAAAACAGACCACACACAAACACACGCAAGCAACAACGACCAAGGAAACAAACAAGAATAACCACACACGAGCAACACACAAGCATAAACAAAACACACGCACACGCACACAAACCAAAAGGAACACATAAGACACCAACAAAAACAAACTTGAGCTTCTGGTCCGTCATGAGCAGCTCAACTTCTATACATCCATCCGGACCGGAGGGCCTGCCACTGCCTCAGGCGCGCGACGGAGGCCTTAGACTGGGCAGTCGGAAAAGTTGCTCTTGGTCATATGGGGGGCTCGGTCTCAACCCCATGCTGACATGCCTAACAAGGGAGATAAACTCCAGAGTCATAATCAAAACTGATCGGTACTAAAATGGTCGGGACCCAGAACCATGTGAAGAATTGACAAGGCGGATATCCGCACCCATTTCTGGTTGGGAGTGTCCCTTACAAACCTTCCACACCCGAGTTTTGATTGTGCCTTCCCCATTCTCTTCAGGGACCCTTCTCTTCAAAAAAGATGCCAAACCATAGAAAAATTGGTGGTTTCCAAAGAGAACGATGGGTGAACAGAATGGGGAATCAACCTCGAGCTGCTTTTTACTGGGCCATCCAAACCCATCTGTCTTGGTCTCCCCTGCACCAACCCCCCAAAAAAAAGTTGCCTTGAAACACCAAACCGAGAGGAACCCATTTCGAGATGGCGGCCTGATATTGGTACTCCTCATTGCGCTTCACCAGAAGGGCCTAGCGGCGGCTCATGACACCCTGGTGGTGGAGTTGACGTTGGCCTTGACGAATCTTAAGACTTGGTCAACGTGGCAAAATCCGCGACCTAAGATCTAAATACTTTCGGGGCTCATCATTTTAAGGATGGTCCCCAAATGATGACCCAGAAACCAGCCAATAAGATCTAAATATGTTCTGAATACGTCATGTTAAGGGCAAACATGTCTCCAATGGCCCCCAATGCTAACCCAGCAACCAGCAAACAACAAGTTGACACTTAGCCAACTCAACAGGTCAGCACAAAATGTACCACTCCAAGTTGCCACTCCGGAGCGCTTTTCCAACTTGGGCTGTCTCGGAACAGGGAACATGGATGAGAATTAACTCATGGATACACCCAGTTCAGCGCGATTTCCTCGCCAACCTGAATTGAACAACTGAGAAAGGGACCGATAAACGGCGAGCAGAGCAGTTTGGGGGGTTTCAGGTGTTGCAACGCACGTCGTGCGTCTTGCAATTCAGCTTCCCCCGTGTTTGGTGGTTTGGAGCCCGGTGGTTTGCTGGTTCAGGAGGGGCAAAAAGTGAATCATTGTTCGTGGGTTCAATTTGGCAAGCCCAAACGAGTCAACCAATCTAAAGATCTGATACCCAATAACAATCAAGAATGGGCCGTAGTACAATCCCTAGTAAACCAGCTGCGCGCAGATTTAATTTGGTGGAAGGCTTGATCTTTCTCGAAATTTACCAAAACGGCTGCTCAATTTTTGTGCAACCCCCTGCCCAAAGGACTTGGAAATTTAAAAGATCGGCTTTGGGGCGCCTAAAAATGGCTCCCAAACAGGTAACAACCAAAAGATCCATTTGCAAGTGAAACAGGAGAAACCGCCACTTGGCGAGTTGTTGTGCAACGATTTCCGCCGACTCCGGCCTGGAAGGCATTGTGGTGCCATTGCCTCAACACCTAGGCAAGCCGAGCGGAAACAGCTCTTGCCAAGATGCCTGTAGATCGGCAAGAAATTCGAACCAAACAGGACACCGACCAAGGTTTGGTGTAGAACCCTTTCTCAGGATTCCGTTTTTAAGGCAACACGGGGGTCGGAGGTGCTGACATGATTTGTCCCTATCCGAACACAAAACGAACCAGTCAAAACCTTTGAGAGGATTATTTGTTTGGGAAATGCCAAAAGGGTCGGAAGTTTCCCATGGAACACACCCAGAGGCCCATGTTACTATGAGCAAACCCATGGCCCTTGCTCGTGCGCTTGCCTCCTCTGTGATGACACAGCGGCGAGCGGAAATGGACACAGGAATGCGGGATACATTTCTCAGCCCCATTTGGTGAAAATAGAGACTTGCCTGGAATTGTGAGGTCAAATCTCACCAGTGGACCACGACATACTGGACATGCTGACTGAACTTAAACGTATTAGCCAATAAACAGGAGCTCCCAACTCAAGGTGGAGGGAACCAATTCATCCGAACCAATCACTGGATCCTCTGAACCAAACGTCGGCCCATTGCCTCGCCAACCTCTCGTTTTGACCGTTTCCGCAGTCCAAAGGACCCACCAAGAGGCGATCACCTGGACGCACCCAAAGTGACAATGAGAAAACCAAAAGGTCGTAGGGTCTGACAAGTCTGGACTGTCCAAATTTTCAGATCCGCCAATAATAGTTGTTTAACTTGTGGGTGGACCTTGCTCAGTTTTCCCAGCGACCGGAAGTTCTACGCCCGAACACGTGGACGCCTTTTCGTTCCAGCGAGTCCCTAAGATGGGGGGGTCCAACGAAGCGGGGGGGGGGATTCCTAAACCTCCTTAGAAAAACCCTACAGAACCAACCTTAGGAGAACCCGAAAGGTGCTCTCAACTACCCACCTCTCTGGATTCCCCCACCCCCTCGGCAACGAGTCGTCGCAGTCGCCTGCAGCTCCTCCTCGGTGTAACTCGCCGCGTTCTTCGTAGTCTCCCGGAGCTCTGCCAAGTACTCCTCGCGGCTTCACTCGTTGCCCAGCAACGGGACCCAGAGAGATACTTGGTGATGCAACCCCCAAAAAAACGGGGAAGCCGAAACAAGGAGAAACGAAAAAGGGGAAACAACAAGCGAAAGAGCAGCCCTTGCGGGGTGCAAAGGGATCTCTTGCTAGGCAGGCATTTGGTCATTTGGCTTCCGTCAGTTTTTTCCAGATTTTCAGGACCCGTGAAGAGGGGTGCTCCCATTATCCACCCGAGCAAAAAAGAAATGGTTTACCAAGTTTCTACCCGGACAACTTTGATCATCTTTGGGAGGCTGCCAAATGCCAGCAGTTTCCTTTTGGATTCCAATTGAAACCAAGCAACCGGGGCCTTCCCAAAAAGGGCACAGTGACCCAGGCAATTGGCAACCCAATTTGGTTTGGCTGGCAAGTGGGGAACCCAACCGAAATTGCATATGGATGGGTCTCCCAATAGTGGAACCCCCCAACCTGGCAACAGCTTTCTTTTCATGTCCTTTTCTTGCAATCCGCCTTCAGGGTACCGAGCCTCACAAAAAAACATCGCCACGCCCGACTCTTGGGGGAGGCCCTCCCGCCGTCCAGCCTCGATCTCTTCTCTCGCCGCCTTTTCCTCTGCATAGGCCTGGCCCAGAACGAGGCACAAGCTCCCGATTCCGATTCCCCACCCCTCCCCTGCAATGCACCTTGGGGGGTATGTCCCCTGATTGGGTTCCTGTAACTGTTTTTGGGGTAAGTCTTAGGATAGATCCCTGTACCAGTTCGGCTGGAGCAAGAGTAGAAAAGTCCAGCGGTTGAGCAATCAGTCAGGTAACCACTCAAGCAGAATCCACATGTGTCTGTATGTATATGTAGTGAAGCAAGTAACCCCTCAAGCAAAATTCCAGCTCTTTCTATGTACCTGTACAGATATCTATGATATATACATATATATAATTATTTATGTATGTATGTATGTATGTATGTATGCATGTGTTAATTTCTTTATTTACTTATTTATTTATTTACTTATTTATTTATTTATTCATGTATTTATTTGTTTGCTTATTTTGTTTTTCTTATTTGTTTGTTTCTTTATTTATGCGGGTGTAAGCATGTGTACTTAGAGGAGGATCACCACTGCAGCCCAAGGAACCTGGCTGATATGTCTAGGTTGCTTCTAGAGGAATTCATCTGCACGGCTTTTACAAGACGGGCTCCAAGGGGACTTGACCATGTCGGCGGGCTCTTTTCACAGTGTGGTCTGGAAGAAGTCGAGTCTAGAAACCTCGTTTCTTGTGGATTTTTCCTGTTGTTCTTCCCCCTGTTGGTCCTTTTTTAATACTCTTGTAGTACTCTTTTAACATCAAACTCGGGTGGATCCACAAAAGCCGCATCCAACCGGTTTCTAAAAAGACCGTTTCAACGGTCGAACTTGTCCATGCGCAAGACAAGTGATGAGAAGAGATAAATGGATGGTCTTTCCTTTTGTGGCCTAACAATAACTGACTCTGAGAGCCGCCAACTGACACGAAATGGAGAATCATATGATGTGACCAATAACTAATTACAAGGATAATCCCAAATGGGAAAGGAATTCACATCAAAATGTGAATAAGATTTCTTGAGAAGTGTTTGTTGCTGGGCATCAAAGCATGTTCTAACAAGACAACTTACGACATCTCCGTTCACTCTCTCATCCGACAAGACTAGTAATACTAGCAGTACTAGTAGTACTCTTAGTACTTAGTACTAGCAGTACTAGTAGTACTAGTAGTAGTACTAGTCGTGGTGGTGGTAGTAGTAGTAGCAGTAGTAGTAGCCGTAGTAGCAGTAGTAGTACTAGTACTAGTAGTAGTAGTAGTAGTAGTAGTAGTAGTACGAGTCGTAGTGCTAGTAGTAGCAGTAGTAGTAGTAGTAGCAGTAGTAGAGTAGTAGTAGAGAAGCAGTAGCAGTAGCAGTAGTAGTAGCATTAGTAGTGGTGTTGGTGGTGGTGGTGGTGGTGCTGGTAGTGGTAGTAGTCGTGGTGGTGGCGGTGATAGTAGTAGTAGTAGTAGTCGGGGTGGCGGTAGTAGTAGTAGCAGTAGTGGCCGTAGTAGTAGCAGTAGTAGTAGGAGTAGTAGTCACGACAGTGGTGGTGGTGGTGGTGGTGGTGGGAGTGGTGGTGGCGGCGGTGACAGTAGAAGTAGAAGTCGTGGTGGTGAGAGTAGTAGTAGCAGTGATAGTACTAGTAGTAGTAGTAGTAGTAGCAGCAGTAGTCGTCGTGGTGGTGGTGGTGGTAGTGGTAGTAGCCGCTCGCGCTGCTGCCTCTTATTTTCGCTGGCGCCTGGGAGTTGCGCGGCGCGCGCGGCCGGTCCTCAGAACAAATATTTGTCGGCTTCCTTCGGAAGCTGCAGCGAGGACTGTGGCAAGGCCCTTTTGAAGGCGGTGGGCGACAAGAGCGCCCACTTCACAAAGAGGACAGCGGGTGACCTCCGCTTCCATGCCTTCGGCGCGACTCTTGCGCTTGTGGAACCGCTCGCGCAAGGCTGTGCACGCGGCTGCCGACAGTCGAAGTTGTCTGGCCGGCATCCAGACTTTGCCCAAAAAACTGTGCTCCTTTTTGCCGAGCGCTTTGTCCAGCACGGCGTAAGGATCCAAGACGCGATGCAGTGTCAGCCGGTGGCGCAGGCTCGCGGACCTGCAATCTGCGTTACGCTGGAGGCCGCTCTGCCTCAAAGGCGTGTGCGCCAGAGCGACGACGACGGCTGGGGCGTACTTCTTCAGGCAATCGTTTGCGGAGCGCGCGCGCGTTCAGTTCGATTGCCCGAAGCATAGTGCCGTCCGCAGCGGGGTCGTTCGAGTTCAATGCAGCGAGCTGTGCCTTTTCGGCCACAGCGCACACGATGCCTCGCACAGGCATCGTGTCGACCCCGAGAAAAAATGCTGAGAGCCGGTCAAACTAGACTGGGCGTCTTGGCGATGCGGGCTTTGACTCCTGGAGGCCGCCCGTGTCAGCTCGGGGATTTCTGAGCCCTCAGCGCCGGACTGTTCGAAGCCATGAAAGGGTCACCATCGTAGTCCGCCCCTCGAATTCTACAGGCCCGTTGGGCCTTTGCGCGTGCAAATGAGCGCATTATTTGGGATGTAATGTGCCTCATCTGGAAGCGGGACAGCTTCCCGCACTTGCACGTCCCACGGCTGGAGCATGGGATAGCTCCAGACCGCGAATTCGCCGAGCCACACGTTGCCATTCACAACGATGTGGCATTTGCGGTCCTGGCGCGACCCGACGGCCGTCGCTGCATCGAAAACAACTTGCTTGCGAGAGGGTTTGTTTCAAACGACAGCCGTAATGCGAGGGAGCCGATGACGATTTCAAGGGGCTTGCGAAAGAGGGAGACAACCAGCCCGTCCGTCCTCGAGCGTGGCCCAGGGGTCCGAGACGGCGAAGCAGGAGGCCGAGGCGCCGCTCAGCGGCAGGCACGGCCGGGCGTTGTGGGCTTTCAGCCCGCCCTTGAAACGCCGCGCGCCGCGCAGGAGGCTGTCTTTGGTGCCTCCGGGCAAACAAAACAGCGGGGCCCTAGGGCTGCGGGTTTTGGTTTTTTAGCGTTTAGAGTTTAGGGCTTTGGGCTTTTGAAGTTTAGGGTGTTGGGTTTTTAGTAGTAGTTGTAGTAGCAGCAGTAGCAGTAGCAGTAGCAGTAGCAGTAGCGGTAGCGGTAGCGGTAGCAGTAGCAGTAGTAGCAGTAGCAGTAGCAGTAGCAGTAGCAGTAGCAGTAGCAGTAGCAGTAGCAGTAGCGGTAGCGGTAGCGGTAGCGGTAGCGGTAGCAGTAGCAGTAGCAGTAGCAGTAGCAGTAGCGGTAGCGGTAGCGGTAGCGGTAGCGGTAGCAGTAGCAGTAGTAGTAGTAGTAGTAGTAGTAGTAGTAGTAGTAGTAGCAGTAGTAGTAGTAGTAGTTGTAGTAGTCGTAATAGTAGTAGTAGAGGGCTCCATCAAGTGGAGAAGTAGCATGAGGGCTAGCATCCCCGTCAGCTTTCGTGAGCCAGGGACCTCCAGTCAGGCTCCATGTTGGGGTAGTTGTGATAGATGTCCTTGCGAGGGGAACATAAAACATATTCTTAACCAAATGGAAGTCAATCAAATGGTTCAGAACAGACCATGGAAAAACATATTTTAACATGAAAACAACCTTTTTCGTGGTTCAGATATCGCCTTCTCAGCCTTCTGCAGCTCCTCCTCAACCTCTTCCAACCTCTGGCGGTGCCAATCGTCGGAAGATGTAGAAGATGAGGCCTCCGGCTGAAAAAGCTGGAATCCCAAAATGGTACCTTGGGGAATGGAGACAGGGACTGAAACCTGCGGTTTGCCCCAGGTCTTGAATTTTGAGCCACACCCTAATTGAGAAGTCCTTGTTGAATACTAGGAGATGGCCCAAAGCGCGAGCAGGATACCCTCTATAGGACCCCCCCCCCCCATTCATCAACCGCGGGTTCAATCTGATCCCGTTCAACCAGGCCATAGTTACCTTACAGAAATACGAGGAGGCTCTTGGAACAGTTGTCAGTGTGCCTTGAAAATGGTTCAGCAAGAGGTTTCTGCAGGAAACCAACTCAGCTGCACCACAAGGAATCTGGAAGACCACTTGTCTCTCCAACGAACCAAATAGCCCCCAAAATAAACAAACACAACGGGCAAAATATATGTCATCACAGGAGGTCTTCTTTACAAAAGAGTGCAGCATGCAACCTGGGGCAGCATGCAACCTCTGGCAGCCTCCTGGCACGCTAATCCGAGTCCACTTTCTCGATGGAAACCAAGCCTCTTTCAGGCTTGCCCCCAAACTCATACCTTCCAACCCCCCCCCCCCCCCCCGCGAGTTCCTTGAAGGGTATGTCCTGATTGAAATCAAAAGGGCCCATGGACTTGACCGCCCGGCTTCCTGTGGAAAGACCGCGCAACGCAAAAGATCCTATATGTGTTTGTCTCGTTGTCTCGAAACAGGGGACTGTCAAAAGTGGTGGGTTTCCTTCCTTTTTGTTCGCCCCACACCACCCTACCCTCAAAACGAGGACGGGCCACCCAATGTTTTTCCACAGCGGAGTTGACTGAGGGACATCAAGCCCTCGTTTCTGGCCTGAGATTTGGGCGCCACCCTCTTCTTCTCCAGCTCCTTGCCAGCCCAAGCCGGCAAGTGGAGCCATTTGGGTGTCATTTATTAGGGGACCCCAAAACGGTGGTTTTCCTTGCGAGTTCCTTTAAACCCACCCCAAGAAGGGTACCACCAAACCAGGACCCATTTCTTTCCAGGGGCCAAGTTTGCTTGGGACCCACCAAGGGATGAAGGCCCAACCCAATAAGCCCATGTCATCTACAAAAGCAACCCGAAAAGCAACTGGTTGCAACATAGACCCGTCTCCACCACCAGGTTCACAAACGACCTCCCCAGAAATCAACAAGGGTTCCAAGTCTGCCTCCAATCCAAACATGTCCCTCAAAACGTCCTCGTAGGCCTCGTGCAGCTCAATGAAGCGTGCCCGGGCCTGGCGGGGGAAATCGCATTTTGGGCCCGGCCGTCTTGCAAAGGAGCAGCGCCAAAAACCCGACTGGTTCACTAAGATGCTGAGGCTCATACAGGGGCCTTGTACTTTTTTGAAACCAGGCAGCAGGTTTCACCAACAAAAAAGGCCAACCATGGTTCTGTTTTTGGGCACGGCTCGGTCAGGTTCGTACGTTCCTTTTTGTTGTGGGCTTTAGAGGGAAGCCAAAAGGCAAACCACCATGTTTACGCCTTTTTTTGTGAGTTTTACGGGGAAGCCAAACGGGGGAGAAAAAAAACTTGCACCATCTTTGGGGGCCGAGACACACTCATCTGAAACCCAGACCTTCCATACGACAAGAAAACGCCTTCCAAGGTGCGGACCTCCGTCTCCTTTGAAAACACAAGCGTGTTGTCCTTTGTCTTTCTCCGGAACCTTTTGAACAAACATTGACTGCAGTGTGTTCAAACACATCAGCGAACAACGCCAGTGTCTTCACATCTCCGACTATTCCTCTTTGGCCCTTCCTTGGGTCACCATGCGGCTTGTCGCTCTTTGCCACGTGCCTCGACGCCCTGTAGTATGAGCCAGTCACAAATGACCTTCCCATGGACATAGGGAGAACAAGTGATTGCCCCTGGCCTAATTATTGAAAAACTTATGTCATGTCCAATGTGTCACTCCACGGAGCACATGTTCACCATATTTTTGTGAAAGCGGACGTACACCCCATCCAAGTGGAACCGAGCCCCTACGACTTCCGCCAACACTTCCGGGCACCCAGCGAATGCCAGCTCCTCAGTCTCTGACGCGAATGGGAATTAACCAAACCCTGATGGCTCTGGCTCAAAAAACCGATACCAAAATGGGTTGCCCTGGCAAGTGGAAACATGGACCAAAACCTGCGTAACCCCCCGTGTTTAATTTTGAGCCACACCCAAAAAGAAACTCAAGTCCAACTGGAGTTGGGCTCCCTTAAGCCTTTGGGCTTTTTGGGGGTTCCATGTAAGGCCTGGCGCCTGAACCAAAATCCTTCACTTGATTCGCGTCGGCATGAAAGGGTCTTCGATTCGCCGACCGTTGGGAGATAGTGCTATAGCCCACTTACAAGTCCCCGTGAATGTGGGGGGGGGGAACCTTAGGGGGTGAAAAACCCCAGGTGGCGCTTTCCACCTAACTTGGCAGCGAACATCCAAGTAGCTCACGTGACCGGAGCACCCGGGTACGCAAGTCCGAAGGAGCATTTGGGAGGGTGGGCAACCTCCCATTTGGTACGACAAAGCAATTTGGAGCGTACCTCATCCACTTAGCAAATGGAGATGTGCAAAATGCTTGAGGGTCCCCTGGTTTGCTTTTGCTTAAAGGGAAGCCAAGACGCAAACCGCCATTTAAGGCTATTTTGGCACATACCCGGTCCGCCCGTCAGATGAGGTTCCAACTACAGGCACTACGCGTTACTCGTACGCCATCGTTTTGAGTGCAAACAAACAGACACCTGAAGGGCTGGTTACAATTCTAGGTTGCTTCCCTGGTTTGGCCATTTTCAGGAAAGGGCCAACGTGGTTCATCAGAACATCGAAATCCGAGAGAAAAAAGCACACCATGTTGCGTTGCTTTCCGGGTTTCGGGCTTGAGGCTTTCTTCCACCAGCCAACGCGGCTCCGCTGACTCATTCTCGCGCCACACCAACGAGCAAAAGCGTCCTCCGGAGTGTCATTGTGGCGCTTGTCCGGGTGCCATCGCCTGGCGTTTGCTCTCCCAATCCGACTTGGGATTGCTGAAATCCAATTCGCACCACGAAATGAAACCATGGTGCAACCATTGTCTGTTGCGAACAGAAGAATCATCATAGGGTTTCTGAACGGTGCGAAATGGGTTTCGTCCGTCAGTAAGGGGTGTTCCCTCCAAAAGTGGTCCGAATCCCCAACTACTAAAGGGGGACACCGGAACGCGATCAAATCAACGGGCTCTACTTAGATCCGGGGGTCCCATTCAACTTGTGTCTCTTTTTCCGGGGGGCATCTGTTGGCCAAGGGAAAGCCAAGAGGAAGCACACCAGTCACCTTGAGTGGAGGTCCAAATTTAGACACACCCTGGAAGAAGCCTGTCCTAAAAAACGTCCTCACAGACCACATTTGGCGGCCTTAGCAATTGAGCTCCCCAAAACCCGTGGTTCATTAGGTATGCTTGCCGCTTCCATGGGGAGATGATCCACTATCTTCCGGAGTGTTCCATCGGAGTCGTTGCAATCAGACAATAAAAAACACACCGTGGCACCATAGCCGCAATTCATAGATCCCCATGCAAAAAACTCGCGGGATACCCCCGCTGTAGAAACTAATGTTTCCCCTCCAAAAAAGTACGATTCCCCACGAAATCGAGGGCCCCCCCTCCTATTAAGAAACAGGGGTTGATCAAAACCGGGGTCAACATTACAGAAAATCCAAACGATTCCCTGCTGAAATGATATGCGGGAGTCCCAAGGCGTTGGCCTTTGGGAGTGTGAGACTCAGGCGTCTAATGCTCGGCCCACTGAAACCCGTAACCATGGAAGCTGATAGGATTTTGAAAGAGGACTTTCCTTTTGGAGAAGCCCAAAAGGAACAAGGGCAGGGCGAAGAAAGCAACTGACCCTCCGCTCATCAAACAACATGGTGTTTGCCTTCTCCCAGGGTGCGGCACGCAACAAGGGCAGAGCAAACGGATCACTAAAGTGCTGGCCGGGAAAAACATGCACAATCCGCCACCTACGTTTCTTGCACCCTTCAGCGAAGACTCTAAATTACGGATTGAAAAGCACCCTGCAACAGCAACACACCGCAACGCAAATTCAGGCCTTCCTGTGCCCATGAGCCAGTGCAACTCCGCACCTCGCTTCCTCCAGGAAGCACTTTCGCACCCGCGCGGGGCTGCAATCCTCCGGCACCTGGGCGCATGGGTTGGTGGCACTTTGGGATGCCCCTGTAGCTTAAGAAAACTCCAAGGGAAACTGCCGTCTGCCCCCCACATGCGCCTGGAAAAATGGATAAGGAAAACCCACCCATCACCATCCGCTGGTTGCCAGGAAGGGGGAACGAAAAATCCGACCCCCAACCCTCAATTGGGCCCGTCAGCACGGAAGCGCACCGGAACCCTGTCCAACTGAAAGTGGGAATCCCAATGAAGTTGTGACCTTGGGCCAATAAGGCTTGACACTCATCCCCTTTCGGTGTCCGCGTTGATAGAACGGACTCAAATCCTTGGCTCTCACTGGTTGATAAGAACAAGGCCCCAAACGGTTTTTTCCCGCATCTCCCCTATCCTGCAACAACTGGCGGCTGGGCAAGGGCGGCCAGCAAATTCCTCATCCCCCCCCCCCTCCCTGCCAGGAAAGGTTCTGGGAGTCATCTGGCTGAATTGTTGTCAAAAAAAAAAATGAGTTGGAAACTGCGGGTGACATTGGGTACCATCAATTCCTCGGTCGTGATTTGAGTTGCCCCTCTCGAGCTGGAGCACTAGCAGCTCTAGGATGCTCTTCCCCCCTTGAAGACCCACAGAAAAGGACAACTCACTCTGTCATCGAAGCTCAGACACAAGTGTCAAGATCTCTTGGCTGACCTTGGGTTTCCCTTCATACCAACCTAAAAGAGACCTCTCCTTGAAAAAGAGACGTTCATCAGCCCAAAACAAAAAAGGCCCCACGCCCCCAGCCAACTGCGAGCCGAAGGGTTTAAATCTGTCCGTGTTTGGTTTCCAAAGGGAGACTCAAAACCAAGCTGGAATCGTCCCTAGTTTTGAGGGACACAAGGGGGGCTATTTTCAATGCTTGGATGGGTAGCCCAAAGGCAGAGTCGTGTTCAGAGACGACCAGAGAGAGCCCAGGGCTCCGGTCGCCCATCACCTCATAGGCGCTCCGACCTGTCGACCCACGATTTGGGGGGAAAACCTCTGAATTTGTGCTCTGGTTTGTTGCCTTGGTGTTGTTGTAGGAATCGTTTTCTTGTCTGTTGTTGGTGGTGCAATGCGGGAGTTGTTAGAGGTTTTTATGGGTTCTCCAAAAACAGAGACCGCCCACCCATGTCCACGTTCTCCGATGCCTTTTTATTGGAAGCCTTGCTTTTCGGGGGGCACCTTCTTGGATACTTGTACCAAGGCAACTCCCTTGGATTTGGTGGCTTTTCCTGTCTAGTTTTTTGGACAGATTTGGTGTCATGACATTATTTGGAATTCTTTTTAGAACCGCAAAAAACAGTGGTTGCCCTCAAAAAGACACCCATTTGGCGTTTGATACAAGCCTAACTCCGCTGGAGTCTGCGTGCTCTTGATCAGTGGGTTCGCATCTCGCGCAACATCCCGACCCAGCCCCATCCCCGATTGAAGCAATTAGCTTGGTGGTTCCCAACCCCTCAGGTGTTGGTTTTTTAAGGTTCAGCGGGGGTTCCATTTAACTCGCTAAAAGTTGTTGCTTCGTTTGCTTTAACGTCTTTTCCCGTGTAGACAACACACATGGCGTGATTTCATTGGCCATATCTGCTGGGAGGAATGGGGCGACGGAGACCTGACTGCCGCAGTTGCGTGCTTCACGAGGGCATTTGTTCAATGTATCAAATCCTGCCTTGCTTCTGTTTGCGTGGGTGCCCCTTCGCCAAAGTTACGAACCCCACAAGAGCGAAGTCGTGCATGGGGAGTTCGTAAAACGGGGCTGCTTTTAGGAAGCATAGGTCCCTGGAGTCTCAACTCGCCCTGTGGTGTTGGGTTGTCAACGTTCGCAACACACCCCCATTAATCCACCAACAACACCCTAAAACCCCAATCATCCACCAACAAAAACGGTGTTCTCAGCTCGTTCGCTCTTCTGGGCGAAGCTGGCCTCCCCATTGGCGCGGCATTGCACCTGCATCTGAGAAGCTTGGGCCTCTGCAAACTTTTTATACCTCCAAACCTTGAAATAAGGCTTTGCCACGGTCGTTTTACCACCATTTATGCGGATCCCTCGGCCCAATGGTCCCAATTCCCCGAAAAGGTGCACCATCAAGCCCCAGGAAAGTGTTGGACTGTTGAATTTGGAACATCCAGTCAGCGGATTGGTGTCGTGCCAGATGCTTTCCTTTCAGCGCAATGAGGTGAGGTCAAAGAAACCCCTTGAGCCGCTACGCCAGGAATTGGAACTCTTTCTTGGAATGTGAACCAAAATCATTGGAGTTCCTTCATTGGAGTTTGTACCAGTCCAAAACCAGTGAGCTCTTGCTTTGGAATTGGCACAAAAACATCGGAATCGGAACTCGTTCTTTGGAATTTGCACCAAAACCGCTGGAACTTTCGGAATTTCTTCCAAAACGAACCTCTTTCTTTGGAATGTCCACCAAACCCATTGAAACTGGAACTGTTTCTTGCAAATTCCACCAGAGCCTCTGGGTTTGCAGCGTGCACACTCATGCTATCAATTTCATTGAAGCGGGCCGACAAAAGCATTCCACACACGGCGGCAAGCGAGGGCACGAACAAGGTGTTGGAAACTCAGGTGTCCGTGTGGGAACATAGATTGCCCTATAGAATATGAAACAACCAGGTCAAGAGGTGTCCACCTGGGGTCAACCCTTTTCTACCAAACAAAAAGGGCTACCTATGGTTTGAAAAAGGCTCAATGGGTGTGACAAACAAGCATTTAGCTCGATTGTTGGGGATAAATAAATGGGATTCTGTTTCAATATTGGGAGCCCTCAAAGCAAGCGGCAACCCCTTTGGTTCAGCTGAGCCCCAGTCTGGGTTCTTGGTTTTGGCAGAAAACAAACAGGCCGTCCAGTTCATGTATATTGAGTTATATATAACTCATATATTTAAGCAAATGATGTATGTCTAATTTTCTGAACTATATTCCTTTTGAGGAAATCACCTGAGTTCTGTGCGTTATTTCCTTTTGAAATAGAAAGGGCGGCTATGAGGGCTTGATTTAGGGGAATTCATATGATGTAATATAAAGATTTGCTGTTTGGTTTGCATTCCTTTCCGTGAAGGATTCTCAAAGAAACCTTTGATCAAATCCTTTCTTCAGAGCTACCCCGCAGCCCCCGCAGAACCTAATAAAATTTTCGTGGAACCCTGGTGGAACCTTACCTCAAGGCCGACCCGGACCACCCCGGAGCCTGTCCGGGCTGACCTTTTGGAAAAAATGATGGCCTGGGTAAATGGAAGAAAACCAATCTAAATCAAGGCCATCTATTTCTAAGCAAACTGACCGATCAAAACGACACCTGTGTTCTCCAAGCTGAAAACCAAGGCTCCACCTCTATCCCTTCCCTCGTGCCTCCGCTCACTTTGGCCGAAGCAACGAGAGGCACTACCGAAGCCAGCGGCTGATGGACAGTGGTGATCAAATTCGGTGTCCTTTTGGTTTCCGTTTGGTTTCCGTTTGGTTTCCGCTTGGCTCCTTTTGGTTTCCTTTGGTTTCCTTTGGTTTCCAAAGGGACCCTTTTGGTGGACCCTTTTGGTGCCAATGATGGGTTTCCTTTGGGGTCCCTTCTCGATGCTCAACCCCAAAAAGGGGTGCCCAAACGCAAATGGTTCCAGAGGACACGGGACCGAGAGTAGCCCGATGGACCCATGGGAAAAAATAGGTGGGCATCCAGACTGCAAAACTTGGACGGGCCGCCCAGGTCCTCCCCAAACTAATACTGGGGGTGAGGGAGGGGAGGGAGGGAGCCCAAGCAAGGCCTTCCTTTCCAAGGGCTTCGCAAGAGCTGATTTGGGCTCGCTCCCCTCCCCTCCCTCCCCTCCAGGCCCCTACCACTGATTCTGTCAGTTGCTCAATGTAGGGCTATGTGGGGTGTTGATCCAGAGGTCCGTGATACATGAGACGACCAGTAGGGGAAACCACCAGAACAGATTTGACGTTCACCACATAGGACAAGTTACCCATGGTCCTTTTGGGGCCGAACGGAATGTTGAGCAACCACCCAGGAGCATGTATTTGCCAACCCCATGTTGTCCTGCATTATTATAACCTACCTGGCTTGAACATCCAAGTACTGGTCAGTTGGAAATGAATTTGAGAACTCTTGAGGAGGGCATCAATGGCAACCACCAGTCGCGAGCGAGTCGGTTTGCACAAATGGGGAACCTGTCAAAATGGAAAGGGCAGCGGGGTTCCTTACAACCCAAAAAGGAACCCCTTCATCATTGTCGTTTCCTCTTAAGAGCCATAGCCGTTTGGTGAGTGGAGGCCCACATCAGCTTGACAACATGCTCACGAACAGCCGGCGATTGATCATTCAGACACAACCGTTGTGAGCAGAGAACATGGCTTCTCCTGTGACTTGTGGCCAGAGAAATCACCGCGGTTCTTGACCAGGGAATATGACACCTTTCTCAATCACCGCTCTGAACCATGGATAGCTCAAAATTCCGCGCAAGAACTAGGCCCCCCAAATAAGCAAAAAGCGAGACCCGGAGGGTCCTCATTCCCCACTTTTGGCACCTTGCCGCATCTCCCGTGACATTGTCTTCTCGGCCAGCTGGGCTCCGCATAGAAATCCCCACCGGCCGCTACTCATGCATGGTACATCTTCGACTCGCGAAGAAGACCTTTTCAACCTCCTCGAGGAAACGCAAACAAACCCTCTCGAGCTTTTCCCCCTGTTGATAAAACAACAACATGTCTTCCAGGCACTTCTGGGGATGCCGTCCCTTTCTTTTCCGCCAACATCTGATTCAGAAGGGCCGCCGGGACAAATCAATGGCAGGTTTGGCGCAAACTAGAAAACACCAAACATTTCACCCCGTCGGCGACGGGGCCAACAGGAAACTGAAACTCTCGAGGCCCGAAACATCACCCCTACCGAGGAAAGTTCTCTTTGCGCCAAAACGGGCGATGTTTTGAACCAAGAATAGCATAGGGACAACTGGACACCGCCAGAGACCGACAGACCATAAAAAGCCGATCCCCTCTAGCATTGTCCGATACTCATTTGGTTCATTTGAGGTTCGGGTCACAGATCGGGTGCCAACCGGTCAATGGGATTGATCCCAGGGTCTATCCCCAGCCTTCCAGATGCGCGCAACTCGGAAGCCTGAGGGGCGTCCCCTTCCTTCATGGACACGGAGAGCCGGCGAGGGAGTTGCTTGGGATAGGCCCAAGACGAAAGGCGAGCGAATCCAGATGCTCTGGAACGTCGGGTCTGTCATGTGGGAGACCAGCGTGAACTCCGATGATCTTTGCGTAGATGGCATCTTTCTCCTACAGACATCCATCAATCTGCCGATGTCAGTTGAGCCTGTTGGGTCTGGATTGGATGTCTTCCGCACTCCCTTCTGCATCAGCATCCAGGGCCATTCTGAAATCCGTATCACGAAAAGCTGCAAAACTTTAAACCTCTCGCCTGCATCCCCAGCATCGCCGGGACTCGTTTTGGAGCGCGGACGCGCGTTTCAGAACCCTTGAACGTGGCCAGGGCAAGGGCCAAGCAGGGAACCCCTGCACGCCCACACACGCCAAGCCGTTGAACACGTGCGCTCGCCAGGGGACTGAAACGCGAGTGCGCAAAGTCATGGCAGTTCTGCAGTAAGACCGCGAGTCAATGACTTACCCTTAGGCCAATTCGGCGCATCAAGCCATAAACTTGCTGGATCTCAGAAGGGAATGAGGAAATGACCTCTATAAACCATCCCATACGGATTCCTCGGTTCATTCCAGCACCCAGAAGGTCATATTCTAACTGAGCACCGGCAAGCAATAGCGTCATCTTTCGGCATTCTTCAACAACAACTCAATCGCTAGATTTTGTCTGCGTCATCCCACCGCTGGCAGCTCGACTTCTGGCAACTGAATGGGTCCAACGGGCGCGGCACGAACTTAGCTTTCGGTCTGAACAATGAGCTGCCTGCACACATGTGCCAAAGTCCTGGGAAATGGGCGGTTCCGGGAGAGAATGGGTGAACAGAATAGAGAATCAACCAGACATTGGTTAGGGCTTTCAATAGCGCCTCAAAATGATGTATGTCCACCAAGTGTCGCCAATTCAAAGTCTCGCTCCATTGATAAGAGGCACATACCCACCCACCCCTGCCTCCGAACTACAGTCTGCTCATGTCTGTTGGTCTTCCTCTTGTCCTTCGAGCTTAGTATTGCAATGTTAACGTTGAACTTAAAAGAGGATCAACGGCACTGGCTAAATCTAATCAATCGGTAAGCTGAAGAAGATATTTGGCTTTTCGCCTCGTGATGGATGAACAGGGGTACAACCCCACTTTCCCATGTCCTCTTGAAACGTAGTGTGGGTGGACGAAATCCATTTCGCGCCACCCAAAAAAAACTGGAATGATGAGTCCCCTGTAAATGCCAACAAACAATGGCTTTTCTTATAGTTTCGAAGTGGTGCCCTTCATCAGTCGCGTGTCACACATTGGCAAAAAAGCTGCCTCCTCGCACCGCTGCCTGGACCCGGAAAAACGGGAAGCAACTTATCCGCAGGTCAGCCTTTGGCTGCCGTCTCCCCAAAAATTCCGAAACATGGCGGGAATCGGGAGCACGCACGGGGGAAACCAAAAACAGTCGCTTCTTTGCACCTGAAATCCGAGAAACACTCCTTGGTTGCTGCAACGACCCCTCTGCAAAAAGTGAATAATCTTTTGTGGGTCCAATAGTCGAATGGAAAATCGGAAAGGTTCAACCACAAAGTTCAAGTCCCAAGATCTGCTACCAAATAGCCGTAAAGACTTGAGGAGCCTGAAATCAGACTGGCGGATGGGTTCTAAGGCGGCCCCGCTTCAGTCCCTTTCTTGAAAAAACATGCCGTCGGTGGTGTTAAAGGGGAAGCAGTAGGAACATCACCATGGCAAGTCCCAAAAAAAAAGACAAACCCATATCTAGTAAAATGTCCGAGGCATACCACTCTACAGGAAAAGGCGTGGCACAACTCAGAAAAAGATATCCCCTCCCTCCTATATTCCTTTGAAGTGGTAAGGACTCTCTCTCTTTTTTTGTCGGTGGAATCCCTTGCCTCTAATAACAAAGGCCTCCCTAACAACAAAAGCAGTGTGTGTGTGTGTGGGTGTTTTTTTCAAATCCCAGCGTGCCCAACACTACATTAGAACAGGCGAATTCTAAACCAATGCTAAGCTAGCGGTTTCTCCCAACCTCTCCTCCACGCGTACTAGAGGACACTTTGCCTTCAGTCAGCAAGCACGATGTTTTGAAAGAAGGTTGTGGTGTCCACTTAAAACCCTTACCAAAGAAAAGCAGCATCCTGGAACATGTTCGCCTAATCATGACCGGACCGACAGATGTTTTTCAGGGAGACCGCATTACCATAAAAGTCTAAATCGATAGAATGGGTGCATGAGTCTGTGCGTGATGTGTGGGTGGGTGGGTGGGACGTAGGACCAGAAAAAGGAACGCGTGTGTTGAATCCTGCACTTGACAGAGAGCCCGCGAGTGAGATGGGTTGATTGATCCGGGGCCGAGATCACACGTGCGTGGTTCCCGCACAAAAGGCGCGAGCCTGGGAAACCTCCGAGGCCCTCTCGCGTCAAACGTCCAGCGTTTCATGCCGGCTGCCCGTCACGGGCCAAAAACACCACGAATCCGCGGTCCCCCCAAAATAGGAATCTGTCGGTTTGGGCTGCTGCTTCTTGGCTTTCTGCTTTGCCTTTGGGGCTCAACCATTCGCGGGGATCGCCATAGCCCATTCATCGCCATCACACAGCGGTCTCGGTGAAGCGCGGCAGGAAGAGCGCGGGGTCGTTCTGCGGGGAGAAGAACCACGCCTTGAACTGGTCCAAAGTCAGGTGCCCGTCCTGGCTCGGGCGCGCCTTTTCTGGCAGAAACCACTTTGCCAAAGTTCGATAGGCAGAGAATGAGAATTGGAATGACCCCGGCAAAAACTATTCCCGATTTGGTTTTCTTTAAGGGAATCCCTACTGAGCATTCCCAACACACAGACGGTCATTCCCTACTGAGCACCAGCAAAGCCACCAAACAGTTTAAACCCCGATTTTGCAAGTTTAATTGAGGGAAAAAATAACGTGGGATCCATTGGAAAAAGGGATGCCGCTGAGCAACTGGCAGCACCTCGAAAACAAGCTCTCCACGTTGGGGCCCGAGTAACACGTTGTAACACCTCAGTTCTCCTGAAAGCCAACCTTGATTACCAGCCCAGTATCCCTCAACACATTCTTCTGGTGTGTGTGTGTGTGTGCGTGCGTGTGTGCTTTCCCCTGCAACTAGGTCCACGGATCATAAAGGTCGGGAGGAATTGGCCCCCGAACCATGGCTCACACATTCATCTCTAGGGGGTGGTCACTGGCGCAACTCGCTTCAGGACACAAGCCTCACCTGCCAAGCAGAAACGTTGAAAAGACGTCCGTTACCCCAGCCCCGACCACATGTCGCCGCACCCTTTTTTTGGGCTCTGAGATCACATGTCAGCATGTCAAATCAAATGCTGGTCGTGAGCGGCTGTGCTTATCATTGCACACGCGGGCATGACTGCGCATACGCGAACTGTGCTCGTGGGCCATACAAAACACGAAAAACGAGCTTCAACCTGCGGCCGTCTATGAGCCGTGGCCCAGCCATGTGCAAGTGCCTGCGCAATCCGTAGGCTGCATAGGAGAGCGGGCTGATGCTCCCTCGTCTATGTTTGGTGTGTCTTCTTCTTTTTCTTCTTTTTATTTTTCTTATTATTCTTCTTTATTTCTTCTTCTTCTGCTTCTTTTTGTTCTGTTTCTTCCTTTTCCTCTTCCTCTTCCTCTTCCTCTTCTTCGTCTTGTTGAAAGTGGACGCATTTAGTCGAGTTGTAAGTTTGGTGTTTAGCTTCTATCAGTTCCTTTAACACAAGTGCTCTTCCTCCGCTTGGACTCTCCAACAGTATTGCCGAATACAGGATATTTCCAATAACAGGCAACCCGGTGCCAACGGCTCCATGAGTCTTGTAGATCACATAGCCCTAAGCCCACAATCCGTAGGCGGCAGACAGCAGACACTGTGGATGGACAAAATCGGCTCACACCACCCTTGAAACCATGTTTGAAACCATTGTCTGCTGGTAACAGGGACATCGAATCATACGGTTTCTTAGGTGGTGCGGAATGGAATTCGCAACCATCCACAGTATGATTCGCACCACTCGTGGGGCCTGTTCTTTGCTGGGGGCCGATTTGAAGGGGCAAAACGACTTGGCAAGTGGTGAGTAACCATGGTTCTCACCTACTTGGACTTACAACCATGTCTTGGGCTATTATCCAAACACTTGCCTGTGCCAAGTAGAGGCACCCAAAATACATCTTGCTTGTCCTTGTGGTTTCCCTGCACATCCACCTACCTGCAAGCCCCCACGAATCGATGATTGATCCATAAAATACAACCCCAAAAGGGGTACCCTCAGAACAACAAACACCAACTGGCTACCCCCAGTGAACATCCCAATCCCCACCAAATAGGTCCTAAAATGGGTGGTGAATTCACCTGCCAACCAAACTGGGATCCCATTGGTTTAACGACCCGCGGCCAACTCCGGCCGCCTTCGGGTGACGCGAAAAAGGCGGGCGCCTTGGTCAGGTCCGCCTCTTGGAAGCACTCCAAGGCCGTGAAGTACGCGAGCTCCTGGCGGAGAGGTCGGTTCCCACATTTCGAGGGCCAAAAGGTGAAACCGGAGAGCGAGGCGACGCCTCCGGCGAAAAATGTCCAAACGGGGCAAGTGACTCTTCCGGGGTTGGAAATGGCAGCGCTTCAAGGGATGGTTTCTTACAGGGAATCCCCTTCTGGTTCATTCCCAACACCGGGGCTCGGTCATTCCCTACCTATCGCAAGAGCGAAATGTCCAAGCTGGGTAAGGGACTCTTACATAGGTGTGGTTTTGGTTGAAGATAGATGGCCCTTGATGATGAAAACACCAGGTCAACCAGGGCCATCCATGTTCCACCAAAACGACCGAACAGGCCAGCTATTGACTCTTCAGGTGGGTGGGCGCAAAAACCTGCGAGACATCTATGTTGCCTTTGTGCTGCACTTCTTGCGCCAGGAACGGCACAATATACTGGTTTCTTGGTTTATGATTTGTAAACACTTGGTAAATGTCTATTTAATGTAACAAGGTAGTACATAATATTACAGGAATGGCTGAATGTTGATTTAATGGATTTACAACAAGGCGTCCGGATGCAACCCATTTCTGCATCCATTTCGGCCGACCTCAGGTGACTCCACTTGGAGGCCCTGGGAGTTGATGGCAGCAAGCAGCCTCAGCGACGAGTGTGACGGGGACCGCTTCTTGGCCGGTTTTCCTGGCGGTTTTCCTTTAAAGCCATACTCCGAAAAGAAGAAACAGACCCATCTTGGCTTTAGGGACTAGAAATCGAGTGCTTGCCAAGGTCCATCTATTTGCCCATGATGATGATTGTTCCTGGTTCTGATTGTTATCACTACTGGCTGGTTCAACTTGGGAAAGAGGGCAGGGATCCATCCTACTTCGGGGCAGGGTGAACTGGACTTTAGATTGGTCAAAGTCGGCAAAAAGTTACCCAGGATTGCAAATGGGCAACGCACAGTGTCCCGCAGAGGAGTACCTTGAAACCGGTTGATCTGGGACATGCTAAACCCTGATAGAAGTCACGAACCCGAATGCGGACATGTAAGCGCCTTTTTCTTTCAAGAGCGCCGCGCAGCTGCGAAACTTATCTTGCCACCAGACGGGGAGCATATAGTCTGCAGTTCGCGCGATGATGGCCGCGTTCCTCGAAAAGAGTGCGCGAGCGACATGTGTGGTCAGTCACAGTCTCAGCGCCTGGCGCAACAGTTCGCAGGTGATCCTGGCGTCTCTCGTCATGACTTTCATCACATCTTTCATCACGTGTCTCTCGTCACGACATCTCCCGTCGCATCTTTCTTGCACAGTCTCCTGTCACATGCGTCGTCGCCCCTCGAGTCACGTCTCTGGTCACGTCTCTTGTCACAACCCTCGCCACGTCTCTTCTCACACGTCTCTTGTTATATTTGTCGTCCTGTCTCTGGTAACCTCTCGCGCCACGACTCCCCTCGCACGTCTCTTGTCGCATCCATCGTCACACCTCTGGTCACGTCTCTTGTCGCGTCTTTGGTCACGTCCTTGGTCACGTCTGTCGTAACAACTCTGGTCCCGTCTCTCGTCATAACTTTCATCACATCTTTTCTCATGTGTCTCGGCGCGCCTCGTGTCACAATTCCGTCACATCTCCCTTCCTGTCTTTCGTGGTCTTTCTCATGTCTCTAGCCACGACCCTACTCACGTTTCCTGTCACATCTCTCGTCACGTACTTCGTCACGACTTCGCAATCTCAAATGTGCTCCGCTCCACAGCGAAAGCGATTCGACCCACCCAAAGTGCGCAGAAGGTTCACTTTGCGATCTCAAGCGCCGCGCCACGGCGAGAGCGATTCGATCCACCTGAAGCGCGCAGAGGGTTCACTTTGCGATCTCAGAACGCGCACCGCGCCACAACGAGAGGCGAGAGCGACTCGACCCACCCAAAGTGCGCAGAGGGTTCACTTTGCGATCTCAAAACGTGAACCACGCCACAGCGAGTCGACCCACCCAAAGCGCGCAGAGGGGCGCCACAGCGAGAGCAATTCAACCCACCCAAACTCTGGAGAAGGTTCACTTTGCGGTCTCCAAATGTGCACTGCGCCAGAGAGACCCGCTCAAAGTGCTGCGCCTGCCACGAAATCTGACACGCAAGCTCGAAAGTACTACGCCTGCCACAAAATCTGCACGAAAAGTTCTAAAGCGCTGCGCATGCCACGAAATCTGCACGAAAAGCTCTAAACGGCTGCGCCTGTCACGAAAATGACGTTACAGCGACACGCAAAACGCTCAAAATGCTGCGCCCGCCACAAAATCAGAATTTGAGACTAATCGTGACAACGAGCCGATTGTGCGACAGGGCCAACGAAAACGACGCTCGAGGAAACCCTTGCGCTCGCATTGCAAGCAAAACACCTCGAAACGACGACCCCTGAAACGCAAATCACAATGGATTTGCAACGCAAACGTGAACCTTGACAAAACACTGCGCCTGCGCAGCAAAACGACGTCTGACATGCTAAGATCTACGATTCCCGCACAGGGGCACGAAACATGACACGCTTCAAGTCATCAAAATGGCACACTTTTCGCTTTCCCCATTGGAACTGCGACCGAACATATACGAACGCTTGGGGACGTAAAATCAACGACTTCTGGTCACGTCCTAACCGGCCTCTAAAAGGGAACCCTTCTGGTACGGATGCGGGAAAACTATCTTTTCCAAAGCGTTGCTCAAAATGGGAATCGGCATCAAAAACCAAAACACCTCGAAGCCAAACCCAACAAGGTGATAGGAACAGCTTGGAGCAGCCCCGAACTTGGACTTGCAAACTTGGGCAGGGAAAGTTGGAAGGATCATGGACCAAGGCGGGCTATGGGGAGGGGGGGGCTATCCCTTAACCCCTTAATGCATTCTTGAGGCCTTATCCATGGCTTATCCAGGGATAGCCTTTGCCCCCAATGCGCCCCCTAGGGGTTCATGAAAGGACAGACCTGCCAAAAGCTATTTTTGGAAGGCGATAAGAATAACCCTAGGTCAAGGGCAACCACAGAGGAAACCAAACTGCATGCGATGTCCCATTGATCGAAGTGAGGTCGAGTAGGCCACATGTTTTATGCGACTCACCGCTTTGAGCGGATTTGGAGATGCTGCACATTCACAGCAAAACGCAAAACGCGGAAGGACATAGCCCCAGGATCACCAGTTTGGTCAGGAGTGCAAAATAGCCGAAACGGAATCCTGACCTTCAAAGTGCAGTCACCTGGAGTTGTGGGATTGATCGTAGCGTGTCTAAAATGATGTGGAGATACAACCCAGAGGCTGAATTTATAGGTGGTCTCCCCCTTTAGTGCGAAGTCATCACTGTTGGAGGGAACACCCTTCAAATAATCATACTAGATAATAATGAATAATAACAAACAACTGCAACTAATGATGGTACTACTAGTAAGAATAAAAGAACAAAAACAACAAACATACTGAGAACGAAAATACAATCATCATAATACTGTAGGACAGGTGTATTCATCCGGGGTCAACACCGCATTGCTTCGGGATTTGCCAGGCAGCTTCGGGGTGAGCCCCACTCGGAACACGGAGCTCATGAACGCGGACATCTCCTCAGCCGCTGAAGATGACTCAGCAATCACGTGGGGTGAGTTTTCTTCAAAAAACCCAACATGGGGCGGGTTTTTCTGTGGGTGCCCCTTTAAACCCAGGAAAATGGATACCAACTCTAAAAAACAACAGACACACATGACGTTTCTCTCGCCCAAAAGTATCCTGTTCGCAAGGCCTGCCATTCAACCGTGAGAAACGAAACGGAAAGGTCCCGGAATCAAATGGGCAAGAGCCGCCAACCAACTGGCTGTCTCTTTTTGAGGTTGGACCCCCCTTAGGGCTCGTCGTATCTTGCGACAAAAAGGCAGCCGCAGTCAAAACATATCACGAGAGCGAGTGCTGGATCGAAGATAAGGAAGAGCAACGCTCTCGATAGCAATGCCGAGCTCTTGAAAACGTGCTCAACCCTTCAAAACCAGTAAAACAAGAACCTAGGGAAATGTGCCAAATCCGGTGATGAAAACTTGGCAGCTTTGGCGAATACAAAGAACTTGACAATCGAAAACGGACTTTTCGATGCCCAAGTCAAACACTAGGCGTCCATCATCCCGCAGCTCAGTTCTGTCCTTGCGCCAGTTGCGCTTTACCGAGAAGAGGCTCAGGCTTCACTTGGGAACTCAAAGATCCTCCCGAAATCCACTAGATTTGCAAGCCATTGGCGCTGCTCCGGGACACAGGAGGCTCAACAAAATGAGTTGGGAATTGGGAATGAGAGGCCAGCGGCTGCAGACTCTGAAGTGGCAGAGCGAATCAAGATGTCCGTGCACGCGGTTTGACAAGATATTCTGCGAATAGGAGAGGAGAACATGCTCACCTAGATGGGTGGCTTGGGGGTGGGGGCTGCCAAACACTGAGGTCTCGGCAGAGCAAAAGCCAGGTGGACATCGTTTGCCGCCAAGTTCCATGCGTGGGAAAGGACTCGAGGGCACCGAACAAAGTCTGGGGAGAACTGGGATCTGGAATCCTCAATGTCCATGGGGCTACTCGTGAGTGGAGCATTGCATAGCTCCTCCAAATGTAGATGATCGACAAATCCACTCGCACTAGGTCACCCTTCATTTACTCAAGCCAATTTTGCAAGCCAAACACTGAAATCTGGCAATCACGCCTCATCCGGGAGAACTCGAGCCGATGGCGTGCAGGGATTCAGGACGCCCCGAGCCCCGCGCTGCGATGGAGATGGCCCCATCGCAGTTGCCGTAGGCGCGGAACACCTTGGCGAGCGCGGCGCCGTGAGGGGACCATCGAGTCGGCACCCCATGAAACAAGTAGCCGACTCAGCAGACTTACAACCTGGACAGCTGCTGGGCTGTCGGTTTTCAGATCCCCTAAGTTTAGCTGGCGGGCGAAATGGAAACTACTAAACCAACGAGAAACATCTAAAAACTCAGGGTGATAGCCGGGAACCGCCAAGGCTACTAACCACTTCGTAAGTGAAGAGCGGCCCCAATGGACTTCATAGTTAAGTCCGTGTGAAGCCCGTCCATCAACCTAAAGCAGGTCGGCTTAGCAATGACCGTTGCCACCCATAACGCCACTTTGAGACCCGAAAGTCTGCCTTAAACCACCCGCAAAATCCTCATACATACGAGGCTCCTCAATTTAGTTGCAAATGACTCCATCCAACAAAACCACCAAATTTCTGCCCCCTCCTTTGATTTCTCTGATAAAACTCCGGGTGGGACCCTCGTTTGTTGGGCAACCCTACAAGCCCGCGTGCAGGGCTGGCTCCAAGGGAAGCCGAAAGCCTGGGAGGTTTGTTGACCCCTCAAAAAGCGAACACCCACTGCGTCAACCAAAAGGAAGTCCAAAGATCCCGTTGTCCAAATCGCCAGATAGAAACGCAAAGACGACTTTTCCTGATACTAGCTGGAAGCTGCGAAGGCTGACAAGCTGACCTGTTGGCACTCATGGCTTCCCTTACAGACCCGCCTGAAAACATCACGCTAAGAAACCTCAGACTTCATAATAAGCCCGCCGCCTGCTATTGAAAGTGCCCAGAGAGGAAATAAGCGGAGGTCTGCTCTCTCTCTCTCTCTCTCTCTCTCACCTCTTGGACCAGGGCGGCAGGTCCCAGAACTAAATACATGGTCAAGCCTTCGAAGGAAGCGGACGGCTGGGAACCTGGCGCAAAGGTTCTTCGCTTCGACTCTCCGTCCGGGACCCCGGCAGCCTGAACTTTCTCCTCATCCGTTCCCCCGCAGAAGAGCGAAATGCCGGGGATGAGCTCCATCATATCCACCACTCCTTGGAGATCCGGGCGTTCTTTGTCTTTTTCGCTGGTTTCAAAGGGAAACCAAAAGGAAACTAACCTTTTCTTTGGGGGGGGGGTCTGCTGAAAAAGAGCACCCCTGTAGTTTCTGTGGGGCCAGAACCTCGTCCATCAGCTTCGTACCCGAAACAGCCTTTGCCAACCTTCAAGCAGCCCTAAGCCAATGCTACCCCTCCAAAAGTTGCCGGGCTTTCCATCTAAGCCGCCATTCCTGTCATGGTCGAAAAGGTCGAAGACATCCTCCTGCACCTCCAAAGGCACCTATCGAGAGTGTGCAAGAGCCTGTGCTCTTGGTCGGATCTTGGAAGACTTACGGGCGTTTGGTTCCGAAGATCGGAACTCTTTGTTTTCCATTCTTATTTTTGCTCGAAGTGAGAGGAGCATACCCCTTGTTCATATGTGTCCAATCCACTGTATGGGAGGAATATGAACCAGCATGCCTTTTGAGCTCATTTGCCCAAGGGGTACGTAAAAGGTGTGCAAACATCCCTTGCTAGAAGGGACACTTACCTGCACATACTGGGGTCATTCTGCCTGCTGCCCAAACATTGCTTCCTTCAAAGCATCACTCTTTGAATGTCAAAAATGCCAAGGATAGGGAAGAAACACACACACTTTTTCGGGGGGCCGTATTGAAACAAGATTTGTCATATATTGGGTCATCACACATCGGGTCTAGCCAAATTGTGCCACCTTTCAGAGGACCCTCACAAACGCCGCACCATGAAGCCAGTTGGCCGAACTTCGGACAAAGTCCGTGTGAAAACTAGGACAAGACCATGCTAGACCGCGAGTGACCATCCAGAGATCTCCATTTGGACACTCCATCCCTCTCGAGCCCCCAACACCCCTGGCTCGTAAAAACATTGAAAGTCTGAGTCCCCACCCCCCTCGCGGTTCTTGTGGAGACTTTGGGTTGCACCCTGAAACCAAACTGCTCACTGCTCAATTCACTCGGAGATTTTCCTTGTTGCTTCTTTGAGGCACAAAGAAAGGGCTCGCATCGCGTTCAAGTTTTGATGTTTTCTCTCCCATCCCGTGCGCGTTGTTTTTTCCCCGGGAAGGTCCTCACTGGTTGCTCGCCTTTTTTGAGCCGTTTGCCCTCAAAAGGCTCACGAGCTTCACACGTCGACCGCTTTTCTCTTGGACCCATCCGATCCAGTTCCATGCCTGGATGCCCTTCGACTGCAAGAGCTCAGCATAGCCTTCGAGTCCGTAAGGGTAAGGGGGTTACGAACGAAGATGTCCAATGAAGCTACTGAGTGTGTCCCTTCCCCCCCCCCCCCCCCACAAAAAATCGAAGCGCAGGCGATATCCCCAACAGCACCACACCGACTCTCGCGGAACCCAGCTGTTGACATGCTAAACACCAAAACCCTCTTCAAAGCAGATCAGCCAAGAGCTATGTGCCACCCCCCTCCCTCTTTAACGGTGACCAAGGGGGTGGCTGTTCCAGCACCGAGCTACAACTAGATGCCAGCCCGCGGCTTCTCCCTTGTGCCCTGAACAAATGGGTCTGTCAGTTTGCGGGTCCCCTTTTTGGTTGAATTTAAAGGGAACCCAAGAGGAAAACCACCATTTTGTGGGGTCCCCGAAGACATTGAGCCATCTGGTGTGGGTACAAATCCTCGGTCCAAATTTCAGCTGTGCAGGCCGCTCATCAATCACACACATGGATCGCAATGAGTTTCTGCAGATAAGAAATCATACGAATCGCTCAGTTCTCCGGGTGAGCGCCTGCAGACCTCTCGGTGTTTCCAAACCTGGACCCAAAGCGATTGGTTACTTTGGTGTCCGAGTCATGTTGACTGCGGATCAATCAAGAAACACTATTCAAGGAATGCACTGAACAGAACTCAATTCCTGATTTCGCCGAAGTGCCTTTTTTTTGCGACCTCAAGAAGTTCCTCCGAATTTAACGACAGACAGGCCACAACTGAGTAGCAGCTAAACCACTAGCAAAAACCGAGGAGTTCGAATGCCTCTGTCTCCAGCGGAAAGGGCTCCACGATACCTCAAAAACGCTGAAAATCGACCACAGGAACTCGTGCATTTCCCATCTTCCATCTCATGGACAGGTAAATAGATAAATGGGGCTTTGGGGTGCTTGCCCGACCTGGACGACCAAAGGATCAATGGCATGAAGCATGAATCCAAAAGAGGAACCAAAGTTAGACTCAGGCAACCCAGAAATGGGTGTATCTTTTTTAAGTGTACCCTTTTGGTTGGTTGTACCGCCATTTTCAGGGCAAGGTTGAAACACAACCGCGACCAAAATCCATCGATCTCCACCGCTTCGGCGAAAGTAAAAGCGTCGCAGCCCAATGGCTCGCCAGAAACTGGCTCTTGGACAACGAAGGTCGATTCGCCAGGAAGGCCAGGCCTGGAGCGCTCGGACTTCGTAAATTTGTCTCTAAAGGAGTCGGTTTCCCTCACCAACACCCTTTACGGGCCTCAACATAAAACACACCCATCGCAAAACCACGCAAAGCCTGGTTGAGCAAGGGGTGTCCCGAAAAGTGGGCACCAAAGATACCCTTTGCAAATTGTCCCTTGTGATGATCCTCTTTGGGTTCGAAAGCAACCCTGTCAATGAGCCAGAACGAGGCTGTCATGAGCCGTACGTCTGCAAAGAACACGGGCCACGCTCCAAAAGGACTGCGCAACTTGTGCGAGCACCACTACCTCTGGCCCCCTTCAGCAAGCCAGTTCGCACCATGCAAGTCGGCGTTGCCCGACTCTGATCTCAAAAAACCATTGCAAGAAAGAAATTGAACAACGAACCCGAACAGCAAACTGAAAAAAATTATCCCTCGCCGATCCGGGGCACGTCGTTCCCGCCTTCCTGCACCGGGATCTGCTTCAGCCCGCTGCTGCAGCACAGGTCTTTGACCTGCCTGGAGCTTAAGGCGAAAGGAAGGGGGTGGGGCAAAGAGAAAAAACATGTGCGCGGGTATATAAGTGATCGCCACTTCTCTCCATACATATGCATAGTCAAGAACTATATGCATATAAATATAAATGTATTGATATATTATCTGGTGCCAACAGGCTTTGAGGCACATTTGCCAAAAGGTGTGCGAGTGGCTTTTTCAGGAGTGCGCAAGGGGAGTGCGCCAATACGGCGTACGAGTCTGCGCGTGGACTGTGCGAGTATGCCAGGGGAACGGGGAGCGAGCGGATGAGTGCACGAGTGCACGAGTGACTCGAATACCCGCGCGCCGTACTCGCGCGCCCTACTCGCGCACTTTTCACTCTTTTGTACGGCACACAATTGAACGCTGTATTCGCAGGCCTTATTTGCGTCCGCTCGTCCGCTCGCTCACCCAGTTCCTCTGGCACACTCACACAGTCCACTCGCACGCTCGTACGCAGGCTACTCGGAGGGCACCGGGACCCAACTGACATATAGACGCAGATCTGTAGATTTCATATTATGCTAGGAGTTGGACTACTCAAAAAAAAAACAGGTGTAACTTAACTAATCAAAGAACAGCAATTCCTTATTGCGGGTGTCTTTTAAAGTGCCCTGTGATTCTTGTTCCAGGTAGTCCCAACATACATTACATACATTACATTACATTACATTACATTACATTACATTACATTACATTACATTGCATTGCATTACATTGCATTGCATTGCATTACATTACATTACATTACATTACATACATACATTACATACATACATACATACATACATACATACATACATACATACATACATACATACATACATACATACATACATACATACATACATACATACATACATACATACATACATACATACATACATACATACATACATACATACATACATACATACATACATACACATACATACATACATACATACATACATACATACATACATACATACATACATACATACATACATACATACATACATACATACATACATACATACATACATACATACATACATACATACATACATACATACACATTACATACATACATACATACATACATACATACATACATACATACATACATTACATACATACATACATACATACATACATTACATACATACATACATACATACATACATACATACATACATACATACATACATACATTACATACATACATATACATACATACATACATACATACATACATACATACATACATACATACATACATACATACATACATACATACATACATACATACATACATACATACATACATACATACATACATACATTACATACATACATACATACATACATACATACATACATACATACATACATACATACATACATACATACATACATTACATTACATTACATTACATTACATTACATTACATTACATTACATTACATTACATTACATTACATTACATTACATACATACATACATTACATACATACATACATACATACATACATACATACATACATACATACATACATACATACATACATACATACATACATACATACATACATACATACATACATACATACATACATACATACATACATACATACATACATACATACATACATACATACATACATACATACATACATACATACATACATACATACATACATACATACATACATACATACATTAGATACATACATACATACATACATACATACATACATACATACATACATACATACATACATACATACATACATACATACATACATACATACATACATTACATACATTACATACATACATACATACATACATACATACATACATACATACATACATACATACATACATACATACATACATACATACATACATACATACATACATACATACATACATACATACATACATACATACATACATACATACATACATACATACATACATACATACATACATACATACATACATTACACATACATACATACATACATACATACATACATACATACATACATACATACATACATACATACATACATACATACATACATACATACATACATACATACATACATACATACATACATACATACATACATACATACATACATACATACATACATACATACATACATACATACATACATACATACATACATACATACATACATACATACATACATACATACATACATACATACATACATACATACATACATACATACATACATACATACATACATACATACATACATACATACATACATACATACATACATACATACATACATACATACATACATACATACATACATACATACATACATACATACATACATACATACATACATACATACATACATACATACATACATACATACATACATACATACATACATACATACATACATACATACATATACATACATACATACATACATACATACATACATACATACATACATACATACATACATACATACATACATACATACATACATACATACATACATACATACATACATACATACATACATACATACATACATACATACATACATACATACATACATACATACATACATACATACATACATACATACATACATACATACATACATACATACATACATACATACATACATACATACATACATACATACATACATACATACATACATACATACATACATACATACATACATACATACATACATACATACATACATACATACATACATACATACATACATACATACATACATACATACATACATACATACATACATACATACATACATACATACATACATACATACATACATACATACATACATACATACATACATACATACATACATACATACATACATACATACATACATACATACATACATACATACATACATACATACATACATACATACATACATACATACATACATTACATACATACATACATACATACATACATACATACATACATACATACATACATACATACATACATACATACATACATACATACATACATACATACATACATACATACATACATACATACATACATACATACATACATACATACATACATACATACATACATACATACATACATACATACATACATACATACATACATACATACATACATACATACATACATACATACATACATACATACATACATACATACATACATACATACATACATACATACATACATACATACATACATACATACATACATACATACATACATACATACATACATACATACATACATACATACATACATACATACATACATACATACATTACATACATACATACATACATACATACATTACATACATACATACATACATACATACATACATACATACATACATACATACATACATACATACATACATACATACATACATACATACATACATACATACATACATACATACATACATACATACATACATACATACATACATACATACATACATACATACATACATACATACATACATACATACATACATACATACATACATACATACATACATACATACATACATACATACATACATACATACATACATACATACATACATACATACATACATACATACATACATACATACATACATACATACATACATACATACATACATACATACATACATACATACATACATACATACATACATACATACATACATACATACATACATACATACATACATACATACATACATACATACATACATACATACATACATACATACATACATACATACATACATACATACATACATACATACATACATACATACATACATACATACATACATACATACATACATACATACATACATACATACATACATACATACATACATACATACATACATACATACATACATACATACATACATACATACATACATACATACATACATACATACATACATACATACATACATACATACATACATACATACATACATACATACATACATACATACATACATACATACATACATACATGCATGCATGCATGCATGCATGCATGCATGCATACACACATACATTGCATTGCATTACATTACATCACATCTCATTACATTACTAAATTAGATTACATTGCATTACATTGCATTACAGTACATTGCATCTCATTGCATTACATTACATTACATTACATTGCACCATATTACGTTGCGTTACGTAACGTTACATTACGTTACGTTACATTGCAGTTCATCACATCACATCACATTACATTACATCACAACACAGTACATTACATTACGTACGTACGTACCTACGAACATCTGTATGCATGTATGTGTATGTATGTATGTATGTATGTATGTATGTATGCACGCATGTTCGCATGTACGCATGTACGCATGTATGCATGTATGCATGTATGCATGTATGCATGTATGCACGTATGCATGTATGCATGTATGCATGTATGCATGTGCGCATGTACGCATGTATGCATGCATGCATGCATGCATGCATGCATGCATGCATGTATGTGTATGTATATATGTGTATGTATACGTGTACGTATGCAGGTAACCTATGTGTGTATGTATGTAGATGCATACGTATGTGTGCATGTGTGTAGGCGTGTTTGTGTGTGTGTGTCTGTGCGTATCCGTGTCTCTGTGTGTCTCTCTGTTTTGCCTGTCTGTCTGTCTCATCTGTCTCTCTGTGTGTCTGTCTGTCCGTCCGTCCGTCTGTCTATCTGTCTGTGTGTCAGCAGCCAGGTACCTCGGCTAGCCAAAACATCAACTGGCCAAGAAGTGTGCAGCTCACCAACAACCTGGCTAACCAAGCAAAATTGAGAATCAATATGTCACGGTTGTTCCTCTACTCTCTAGCTGCGTGTGCCATGAGAGTCAAGTGCTTTACATGCTATCATCTGCATGTCGGAATGGTCTGCATGTCTGTATGTCGGTATGTCTGTATGTGTATGTACGTACGTACGTATGTAGGGTATGTACGTCGTATGCACGCACACACGGGTATGTACATACTTACACACGCATACGCGCACAGGCACGCACGCACTCACCTTCGCCCGCACCCACGTGCGCATGTACGTACGCGTGTATGTATGTATGTATGTATGAATGAATGAGGGCTGTTCAAAACCAAAAAGGTCCTCATGTTCTGGTCCAACAAGGCGCATAGCAAGGCCCATTGTCATTGCGCCCTACGTTTTCCCCTTTTGCTGGCTTGTAACGTCACCTGTGGCAGGGAGGCCTGATTGGGAAAGGCAACATATTGAATGGTGAACTAAAATCGGTAGTACCTACAACTACTTTGTGACCCCACTTGGTGTTACGGGAAATGGCCCAAAATATTGCTGGCTTCATCTGGAGATAGGCCTCTTCTTTGAAAAGGAGAGGCACGCTGACACAGACGAGAATTCTTCTTCAAACTCATTTGGGTGGGAATTTAAAGTAAGAACCCCTTGGCGCGCACCATTTAGGTGGGATTGATGTCCCCGCCAATCACTTTGGAAGAGGTTCCCGATTGAAATTCATAGCCGTTTCAAGTTGACGTGAAGGATCTTGGCAAGGGAGTGTAGCTACCCCTGAATGGCAAGAAAGGCTATTGTACACCTCAGGGAACGGTGCTCCGTTACCCTGTCTTCGCAAGGCAGGCTACTTACTTCATGCGGGACCACCAACTTGGATGCTTGAGCTAGCTGGTGACCACGCCAATCACCTTAAAGGGCCAACCGCACTTGAGCAGACTCACAAAGGGTGTTGAACGCGGCCGGACACCCCCAGGCACGACTCAACCGAGAATTCATGAGCCTCATGCTGGGGCTATGATTCATAACGTGGCCAGTAGGGTCCTCTTTGGTAGAAAGGGTCGCTTGCCATATCCATGTTTCTCAGTTGGGTTGAAGATACTGCAATTGCATCTTTGCCCTTTCGCAAAATGATGGTGGAAACGATCTAAATACCGTTGAACGTTAAGGGTTTGCATCAGTTTTGCTCTTTGGCAATTTTAACAAGGCCTTGGTGAGTGGTCGTGGGCCTTTCCCATTGACCACCCTTTGGCTGAGGGCACCGAGTGAAAGAAGAGCTCAGCAGGTAACCCTCCTGGTTGAGAGGGCCCACTGAAGTGAGCTTCTGAATTCATAAGCCCAGCTTTCAGGCACCTCAAAAGAGTCGCAAGTGGGACGAATGAAAAAAGCAACGTTACTATTGTTCAAATTCTTAAAGGAAAACCCAACCATCGCATATAACTCCCCGCTATTACGTGGAAAACGTTCCACTTTATCGTGGCAAAAGTAGTTTAATGAAATCTGGATACAAGAACCTTTGCAACCACGTGGTGGGTAGTTGATCGATGTCTGTGGATCATCCGGACATCGTCCGCCACCCGCTCTCCCAAATTTCAGCGGGGCCACTGCAGCTCTGCCACCTCAAAGCCCGTCAAGGCTGTGTAGGCTCAAAATCCCAAGTGCCCTGTGGTGGGGGTGGGGGGGGGGGGAAGATTAAAATTGGGGGAGGGAGGGGGGGGTTGAGGCGGACTTTAAAACTCAATTTTCGCCCCCTCAGATTGCTGTCCTCAAAGTGTCCGACTGGAGTTGGAGATGGGCAACAGGCCTTGAAGCCCAAAGGCAGCTTGTTCCATGTTCCCCCCCCTCCAGTGAATACCGGGATGTACAACCACAAAATCACGACGAAATAGAGGACATATTTTTTTTCTTCCTTGGGTAGCGACTTGGGGGTCGGTTTTCTTTTTGGGGTGGAAATCCTCCAAGCGAGTTCACAAGCAACACTCCTGCAGACAAACATGGAGCCTGAAAGTCATGTGTCTCAAAAAAACATGCACAGCCGTTGGCTTTCACCTCTGCCCCAAGTATTGGCGTTGCCGAAGTACCCAAAAGCTAGGCTTACGCACTTGCTTAAGCCTAAGTGTTTCAACGGCTGCTTCACTGCCCAGTGCCCAGTGTCTGAGCAATAGTTCAAACTAAACAGCCGAAGCACCTCTGCCGCACGTGCTCGATTTCACCCCCAAATACCAAGGGTAGGCATTGCAGCATTCACGAAAATGGCACCTCCGAAGAATTGCGACAACACACGATGGGAACCAGCTGAGTAACATCCTCAGACCTTGCACACATGCTGCGGCACGTCAGTGGGAGCGCTGACCATTCCAGCGGTGACAAAGTGCGTAGCTTTGGACAATTGGACCATAGGCAGGAGTTCGAATGCCAGAGTGGCATATTCTCAAACTTCTTGCCGAAGTCCAACTGCTCAACGCCAATATCATTGACATTGGACCAGGGCTGTGGAAAATGACCACTTCTGTGATACGACCAAAAGGGCCTCCCAAAGACTAACGACCCATACAAAGAGGGGATTCCGTTGTATCACAGAAGTAGTTGGATAAAGCGCGAGCGATCCCACAACCCTGAAGTGGACACTTTCCTCGCTGTCACTTTCTTCATTTTATCAGCAATCGCCAGCGCCCGGCACAGCAAGGCAGTGTACCCCCAGACTCGCATTCCTGAGGCTTCCAGTTGGGACATCAACCGTTCATCTTGAGCTGGTTGACCTTCTTGATGTGCTCAAAGATAAACTAGGGTCAAAGTCCTTCTGATTGCCACTGAGCGTTGCAGTCATTGTTTGCCTTCCGAAGATTTCCAAGTGCGTCTTTGTCATAGAAACGAGTGCTGCCCACCCCCACTCCCCGTTGGCAGTTCGAAACACACGTGCGTGGCTTTAACATGTTTGCAACGTACACGTAACTCCCCCAGCGCATGTGCCTTGGAGACCAGATAGCTTCCAGGGCTAATTAACGAGGCCCAGAGGGATGCTACTTATCCCAATTCAGACCCTTACCCCCAGTCATACAAACAAGTGCATGTCTTTGAACATGGTCTGAGATAAAACTGACAGAACTACCCCCTCCCAAGCCCCCCCCCCCGCTTGCAAAAACTACAAGTGCAAACTAGGAGTAAAACTGCGTGTGCTTAAACACAACGAGTGGCAACTACGAGTAACAGCCGTGAGTATTTCAAAAAATCAGCGTAGACCCCAGATAGCAAAAAACATGCCAACAGCACCTCGCGAAGAGCCCCAAACAGCAGCTGTCAATGCCCATTAGAAGATGGAACCCCTATAGCTTTCAGCTATCTGGGGAAAAACTCGAGTGAAAACCAGTCAAAGTAAAATCACCCTAGTAAAAACCGATTGGACATGGGCACCCAATCGGTTTGTTCGATTCCCCATGCCTCTGGGAAGCGCTGCATGGCCTGCTGCTTGAAACCACAGCTTTGGCTTCCCCTTGACGGATCGGTTTTGGAGCTTAGGGCTTGGAGAAAACATGTTCCCAGTTGAAAACCCTGCCTCGAAATCGGGTCCCCAATGGATGGTCCCCCTTGAGAATAGGAAGCGTCCGCGTTTCTTTCGGGGATGAATAGAATGAAAATGGGTGGCGTTTCTTTCGGGGCCGAATGATATCAAAGATTAGTGAGCTTCCACGTTTCTTTTGGGGACCAACGGAATCAAAGAACTAGGGATCACAGCCACCTCTCCAAGACCCACCCACACTCGCTGTCCAACCCATTTAGTAACTTAGTAGGCAGTCGCCATGGTTTGATGTGGGACAGTAGGCGGGCTGGCAAACTTCGTCACCCTACCCCGAATTGGCGGTTTGGGTTGGTGGGTTGGAAGTTGGGGGGTGGTTTCCCATTCAGCCTCTGCAAGAACCAGGGGTCCACCTACCATCAATCCAAACCACCCAAGGCGTACCTGAAATACCACGGTTGTAAACTCATAAGTCTGGACACACCCCTCATCTTAGGGGATCTGTGCCTTTTTGTCAGTGGGCCGCTTGGCATATTCACTATCAACAGCTTTGCATTCAAGCAGCAAGGAGTGGCAACCTACTGGGGATGCCACTGAAACAGCTGCCCGCGCCTGCCTATGATATTTGACATCCCCAGTCTTACGAAAGACCGAAGTCAAGACTTTATCCAATCATCCCAAGCCTTCTTTCTGGGCTGTCCTCAGATCCCCTGCCAAAAGTTTCCCTTTTGTGTGGAATGTAAACCACTAAGCCAACTAATAACACCTGAAAAGCTGAGTTGAATCGGACGCTTCGCTGGGAACCACAGAGGCGCATGAATAACCCTCCTGAATCCGGACAACAAGGCCATGCCTCGTGCGTGTCCGACGGCGGACGAGGTTCCAAGCGCGGCTGCCCAGGCAAATGTGGAAAAAAGGCTCTGATGTGTCCTTTCCTTGGGCAGAACCCTAAGAATCCCACACTGGATCGGAAGTTGCTGTTCGCTGGTCCTTCCCCTGCCACGCGAAGGTGTGCTAAGCCCTGCCAGAGAGACTTGCGCTGGACCCCTCAGTTTCCCCTTTGATGGACCTCAAGTCGCAGATTCGAGGCACCAAGCAAATTGCATCGGTTTTTGTTTTCCCTAAATCAAACCCACAGTGTTTCCAGCTTTGCAATGCAAATTCAGGCTGAAGGGGAACACCCAAAACTTCCTCCGGCCCTTTGGATCCGCCAAAGTCGGCCGCGTGCCCCTTGCCCAGTTTTCTTGGGCCTTCTCTGCGCAGCGGCGGCGGCGGCGGGGGTACATCTTCATCTGATTCGGAAAATAACGAGACCCCCAAACCCCAAAACCCCACCCCAGGTTGAACAAAACATAAGGAGATGTCCGAGTTCTGGACTCCAGGACCGGAGAATGTGACTTCGTGCTCGGAACTCTGCGAAATGCTAGAGGAAGCGGAAGAAACTTCTGACAAAAGATCGTCAAGCCATAGTCTTTGTTCAGCGTGGCGAGACTGAAAAATGCAAAGCTCGGTCCCTAAGGGTCGGGGGAAGCGTTCCTGCTATTTTGGGGGAATGCAGTCGCTGAAAAAAACGCGCAGATTCTTCTCTAAGGCCGAAATATATGCTTGATCGCGCCGATATGCAGTCCTAATGCTGGCGATATGCAACAAAGAAGCTCTGCGGCATAGTTGTCTGATAACACAAAGGGCAACTTGTCACCCTTTGTTGCAGCTTGCTTCCAGGGGTCAAATTTGCCCGGGCAATATTCACCGTGGGTTGGAGAAAACTAGATCTTGCAGAAATTGGGCAGCGTATCCAAGCAGCTCTGCACTTTCAGGGCTGGCACAGTCACCCCAGAGGGGCCGCGTCCTGAAGAGAAGCCAAGCCAACTGTTCGGATGCCCGTGCCGGAACCTGGGTGAGTTTGCATGCCTCCAAATTGACCACTCCTGTTCCAAGGAAGCCTAAGATAGATATACTGATATACTACAAGACGCATTGCAGAGAATCCGGGGTACGGTGGATGCCCCCCAATATTGCAACTAAACCAACCACGACGCCTAGTTCCTGAAAAGCAGTATGGGAAATCAAAAAAGTCCATGCCTCGAGGATACGACCCAACCCCTGAAAATTCCCGCTGCCCCCTTTTCGTTTCATGCAAGCAGCGCGGTGAGACTCAGGGCCATTCGGTCATCCTCAAAGGCACCTGAGTGCTGGATTGGTGAGGAGCCGGCCATATGGTGAATGGAAGAAGTGTTTCATGACTTTTGAGCCGGATCCACGCCATCTTGCGCCGACTTGCCGCCCCCCGCTCCCTTTTCGACATGGGTGCTCAGCTTGACCGAGTTGGGTGCAAGAATTCTCTTTCTGTCAGACTGTCAGCTACGCGACTGGTTCCAACATCGTGTCGCCGAGGGCGTCTTATTTGAAGCGCCCCAGGTTCGACCAAGATTTCTCAAAGTGCCCTTTGATCCCAAAGTGGCGTGAAGTGATGCCGCCACTGGGTTCTGACCACCCTCCTTTTCCAACGAGCATGCGAGGCAGGAAGGGTGTGGACGACTCTTGTTCACGGCCCTGCCCAATTCCATGCTTGTCTCGTGGAGGGTTTAACGACCTTGCTTGGGCTGAATTGCTGTTGCTCCGTCTCTCAAGGAGAGCTGACCCTCCTTCAAACAGCACCGGCCGTCCTGTGACACTCTGGTCTGCACACGCAGCGCCAAGAGGAAGAGACGAAGATGCTCGCGAGGCGAAAGAGTTTCAGAGGGGTTGATTTGCAGCGATTGGCAAGGTCGCTGGGAAGTGCAGGAGGGGTGTGGGGTGGCAAAAAAGCAGTCTTACAAACCTCATGCAAGATCACAGGAAAAACCATCTGCTTTGGGGTGGGTGAAAAGTTGAAATGATCCACCTTTAAAACAATGCAGATCCAAGTCTCCGAGAGTTGCCACCATCCTTTGGGATCCAAACGCATGCCAATCGAAAGATAGTGGGACTCAACCCCCGCAAAAAACGGCGCGCTGAGGCTCCGACGATTGCCTCTGCCTTGTCCCTCAGCTCTGCATCCTTGTAGGACCTGATGTGCAGCTGAAGCCCCCGCCCAGTTACGAAAAGACGTACCAGGCCCTCCACTTGGAACCAACCGGGTCCCCAAGAACATGATCTTCCAAATGCCCCAGTTAGGCTCTGTGTGCTGTACTTGAGATGCTGAAACATGGGGGGGATGGTGTCGTTGGGGGGTAGGCTACCTGCGAACTGATTGCTTTTGGCCGAAGATCTCTTGGGCTCCAAACAAGGATCGAATCAGTCTGGTAAATGGAAACAGGGCCTAAGACCTGCAGCCCCGGGCGGTTTAATTCTGACCCATACCTCAGAAGCCCATTTGTTGCGTGCCCCAAGTGACGCTGGAGTGCGAGTAAACCCCAGTCTCTAGTGGCGATTTGGTGAAGGTTCGAACTGTCATTCACTTTACTATGGTAGATGAAGGTAACTATTGACCGTTCCTCATGATTTTGTTGGGCTTGTTGCTGAGTGTGCAATTGGGGGAAAAAACTCCGCAAAGCTCATCTCTCAAAAAAATAAACCATCTGAGATGTTCTGCTTTTGGTCATTAGCGGGCTTCAGCTGCCATGGCCATTGAGCTGGTCTACACTCGACTCTCTCGAATTGAAGACCGTGCCCCACAGATTTTCCCAAGGCCTGACTGGAACCGGAAACCTCGTGCCTTCGGGCCCCTTCACTTGCCGAAACAAATGTTCAAAGGTCAGCCGTCGCATCCGTTGCATGTCTCTAGCAGGTCTAGCAGGGACTCTGGAGCGAGTCAGAAGCTTCTAAACAAGAGTAACAAACATTATCGGTGGAAACTCTTTGTGTGAAACGAAGTCACACGATGCCGGCCGGTTCAGGGCTGGGAAACAAACTAACTCAAACAGAGAAACTTTGATTTTCAAGGAAAAACAAAGGTTTGCCTGGCCGAAAAACAGTTCGTTTCGGGGCCCGGAACCAAAGTGTCCGGGGCTGAAAACGTTGGTTTTTGCTGGTGGAACTCGCCTTTCCACCGGGGGGGAGACCCAAACCTATCCCAAACCCATCCTAAAAAACAGCCCTAAGGGCGGCGAGCCCGTGCGGCAGCAGGGGCTGCGGAGTCGCGATGGCACGCTGCGCCGCAGAAAACGTGACCAAAACAAAAATGTGTCGAAACAAACATTTTCGTAGACACAACAAACCTTCTGACGAACTAGAGTTTGCGCGCACAGAAGCAAACTCACAGCCCAAGATCGCGAAATGTTTAAATTCAGCGCTGAAACAATGGTTTGTCTGGAACGTTAGTTTCGGTATGCGAAACTAACCTTCTACCCGTGAGTTTCCTTTCCTGGTTTCAGAGTTTCCCAGAAAACAAACAAACTAAACTCTCCAATGAAACGGTTGCTTTCCAAGTTTCCAAAGTAGCCATTGTAGGGGTTCCGAAAAGTGTCCCAAGGCAAAACAATCGTTCACAGAAAGAATGTGTTTCAAATCAAAAACAGATCAAATCAAATCAAAACGAAGCAAACATAGGCCAAGCCAGTAGATAGTGTTGTTCAAAGCCAACTAACTAGTGACTTGCTCCCCATTGCTAGCAGGAAACTTGGTTGCTGTTGACCCCTCTGCAAAAAAGTGCATACATTTGTGTGGGTCCAATTGGGAAAAACGTGTCTGTTTCAACCAACAGGTTTTAAAGCTCAAAGCTCCGTTACCAAATAGCCAGAAATTACAAGCCACACACCAAAGCCACTTAGGATCACTTGGGACCGAGGTCTCGGCTCGAAGAAGGCCTTGTGCGAGGCCAGGGAGTAGGGGAAGACCGTCTGCCCATCCCGCAACTGGCGGAGAGTTCTCGCCGGTCGTTTTGCATTGGGACTTTGGAGCTGGACAAGTTCCAGTATGCAATTTGATGTCGAAAGGAACTGCAGGAGACGACCCTCGAATGAGTAAAGAATGTTACTGGGCTGGAGGGTATCAGCACAAATAGGCAACTGCCACTCCTGTCAAATGGGGTCGGTGTTTGATGGTAGTTCTAAGGAGAACCCAAAAGGACAACCACCAATTTGGGGGGTACTCAACAACAGACACCCGCGAATGTTCCTAACCACCCCTCCAATTTCTAACCCAAAAGGTTCTGATGCGGGACTTCCAAATCCAAACAGAACAAACCTGGAAGATTCCGGATCCCCAGCATAGGTCGCAAGGAAAGCTGCCTTGCGAAGTGTGGGAACTGACCAGAAAAAGTCTTTCAGCTTCCAAGATGGCTTGCAACCCAAGCATGACATGGGTCTGACGAACTCGCCGTCCACTTCAGGACCTGCCTTCCATAAGCTACCCCAACAAAGAACACACTGGACTGGAAACCCGCCACCCCGGCCCCCTGTGCACATCATCCCTTAAAACAGCTTGCCAAGATAAGAAATTGGATGCTGATCCTGGGAAAAGCCTGCTCACCCCCCGTACACCCTCCGTTCTTTGTTTCAGGAACTCAAAACATGGCACATCCGTGCCATCAAAGGTTCCAGCGTCAAGAACCCAAGCGAACCGCGATGCTGACGTTTTTGGAAGGTTTGTTCACATGGTGTTTCCTACCTCTTTCTGCAGACCTGTCCCCGCCCTATTGTAGCATAGTTGTGGCCTCCGTTAAAAGGGACCCTTACATGCCAAGTGTGTGTAAAAGATACGACCTCCACACCCCAAGAAGGCCAAACGGGTGTCTTGTTGCGTGAATTGGTGTCTTTTTGAGAAGGCTTCAAGGAGAATTCAAAGGAAACCCACCCGAGTTCCCATACTTTGAGACGCACCCAAACAGACTTCGCAATTCACCCCCTTCCGAGCGAAGCCCCACCTTCCGCTGCAGCCAGGTGTAGCCCGGAGGCGCCTACAAACCAACCGGCCAACTGACAAGCAAGGAAAGAAAGAAAGAAAGAAAGAAAGAATCAAAGGAAGAAAGAAAGAAAGGAAGAAAGAAAGAAAGAAAGAAAGGAAGCAAGGAAGCTACTGGCGAGGCGAGGCAGCCACTTTGGGGAGCAGTCTGAAGACTCTGAAGTGATGTCTGGCCAAGAAAAAACACTTTTAAGAGAAAAATCCTTGACACCATCTGAAAAGAGTTCCGCCCAGGCAAAGGTGGCTAAGCCCCAAAGAGTCGACGGGGCTAAAGGTGTCTCAGTCCAAGTCATGCGTCTCCACTCTGCCGTTTCCTGCTTGCGAAAATAAGCAAGGCGCAACGGGAGTGTCTGTCTCTAGGGGGACGCCCTTTTTGGTTGGTTCCAAAGGGAAACCCAAAGGAAACCGGCAAAGTGTTCGGATCTCCTTTTGAGACGCACCAACATTGATAAAGCGTTGGCTATCCGAAGCAACAGACCCATTGAAGGCTCACGCTTCGGGCGGGTTGCATCATTCACCGAGTGTAGCCTTGAATATCGGAAGTGGACAGAGAGGTTCCCCAAAAGGAAAGTCGTCTTCCAACACCATCAGTTTTCATGATGACCGCAAGGTGCGGTTTCTGCCAACAGTCACCGGACATCTTGTGCCCCTTCGCAGGCGGAACCCGAAAACCCCCAGACCTCCTCCTCCCACTCTGCATCCAGCACTTGCTTGACGCCCTCCGTGCGGCCTGGCCATACCCGGACAGCGCTTCCAAGTTTCAAAATACCGGACATGCTTTGACATCGGAAGCAGTCAGCCGCGCTCATGGAACTACAGGGTCACCAACCTCCGCGGTCTCGTGACAAGAACAAATCGTTCACATTGCGAAGTTCGGGGCATCATTTGGACATGTCCCGCGCTCCGTCGCCTGACTTGGGGCTCCGGGGACCCAAGCACAGTTAGGCTTGATCATCCAGCCTTGGACTGCTGGCTTTTTGAAAGCCCTCCGATCGTCCGTTTCAAAAAAAGTTGCAAAGAGGGCAAGTGACAAGTGCGTACCTTGTGTGTCGGTCTAAATAATTGTTCATGGGTTGGGGACTTTAAAACCAGCAGTCATGATCATAGAGGACCCAATCCCACAAATCGCGGGCGATTTTTGCAGCCTGGGCTAGCAGGCTTCGCCGGAGCCATGGCGTTCCTGAGGTGCCAAAAGAACAATCAGCGCACGTGGTGTCTCCTAATGGCCCTGGAAGATCCTGGAACCCTCCGGCCTGAAAGCTGCCCCAAGCTCCCCAGAGCTTGGGCAAAGACCCCATAGCTTTCAGCTGTTGGGGAAAAATGGGAGTCAACCATGGAATTCAAATGCCCGAAAAAAAGAAGAAGAAAAAAGAAGAAGAAGAAGAAAGAAAAAAGACATGGGTTAGTGGACAAGTTGGAGGCCAAAAATCGCAGTCTTCCAAACCCTGGCAACTGTGTTTGTCTCGAGCACACTGGCACCCGAGAAACAAGGTCTCAAAGTAAAAAGGCTGTGAGGTTGGGCTCTCTGTGCTGTAAAGATTGAATCAACCCGAATAGCGTCCCAATCTCTCTCCCCACGATTCACGATCCTTCTTTCCACTGAACAGAGGTATCCGAGCCGTCGGCACTTAGAGATTGGTTGAAACAAGCAGAAGCCTTTGTAATGGACATGGAGCCATACGAAAAACAGATGTGGAAGCGGATTTTCGCTTGCTCGCGTCTGGGCAGATTGCTCGGGGAAGAATAACGATGAGTGTTCGGAGACCCCGTGAATGTTTGCTAAACACAATACTCCACCATAGCTTCCCCGCATGTCATCCGAAGGAGGAGGTGGGTACGCAATCGGTCTGTACTGTCCATGAGCGCAGTGGGAAGAACGTTTGTAGAACTCAACATAAATGCCCGTAGTGAAGTAATCGAACGGGGGGGGTTATTTATGGCTACAAAAGACACAACAAGGGTTGGCAATATGATCTACCGTGGGTGGAACATCCGTGCCATCCGTGCCATCGTTTTTCTTCGAGCCCCCGGGCCAGTGCTCTGGGAAGTGCGAGGCGAGCATCGGAAAGCTCCACTTCGGCCCGAAGGGGTCACTGGCGAAATCGCGTCGAATGCGCGGATTCGAAGCGGAAGGGGGGCTAGGGGCACTGCCTCGAGCGAGAAGACCACAGCGCATATAAAATGTATACAAGCACCAAAGTGGCCCTTGCTGCAAGGCTTCATGAGCCTGTTGTGATCCTTAGTGGATTGGCCCGGAAAAGGTGCATACTGTCTGCTCCCCATTGCCATCCCACCAACCTGCAACCTGACTAGAGGTCTTCGGAAGATCGTGTTCCTCCAAAAGGGGCCTTCTGGTCGCTGTCATGGTGGTGTGGGGAAGGGTCAAAGGAGCTTCAAACAAAAAACAAAAAGCCTGGGGGAACCCGGAGATAATGGCTTGCAGGACCATGGTGCTTGAGTCCACCCACAGCTCCATTCACATCCAAAGGATGGATCTGCAATTGTCCTTTTTGAGCATCCACTTTTGAGCATCCACTATGGCACCATGCGCAGAATGGCAAACACTTAGAGGCGACTTTGGGGCCCAAAGTCGGGAATTGGTTTTGGGTTCGCAAACCCCGTCGCCTGTTGGATGAGTTCATCCTCCCCACTCCAAGCCATGCACCTCATATGAGTTTCTTTCTGTCGAAGGAACCCTTCACAAAGGTCGAATAGAACACCCATTTTGGAGAGAGTGGCACCCCATCCTCCTCGAAGGGGGCCCGGGAAAAAAGAAGAAACAAATACCTTTGAAAGCCTTGACCTTTTTGACCAAAGAGGCCTATTCAAAGGGTCAGGTCCATTTGGTGGCTGAGATCTCCCCCACCCTCCTGGTCCGGCGCTTCAGGCGCCGCTGGGGCCGCTGGGAATCTGTGAAGGCCTGCAGCCGCCTCGAGAAGACTCGAAGCACAGAGACGACTCGGGTTCTCAAGTTGGCGTTGAAAATACCTTGGGCGATGGTCCCCTTGAAAGAGAGAGAGAGAGAGAGAGAGAGAGATTCCAGTAAGGTGCCTGATGCAGCCAATAGGCGAAGAAAGAAAAACGGAAAGGAGAAAACAACGAAGGGAAAACAGCCACAAACAAAAGGAAAGCACCTGGTTTCATTGTCCCCAGCTTCTGCCATGGGGTCTCTGACCCAATAGGCTCGGTCAGGGTCTGGGGCAGCTTTCAGGGAGGGTTACAAAATACCACCTGGGCTTATTTATTAGCTCGTCCTTTTGTAGGGGCGGGGAAACTGGGGGGTGGGGGTAACAGGGAAACCATCAAGAACATCACCATTTTTCGGGGTTTATTCTGGCGGACGGTATCTTCTCCAACGGGATGGCGGCAGGGTGTTCGCTCCAGTGGTGCCAGTTTTGTTGGAGAAACCCTAGAAAACCAAACCTGGTATGAACCACATGCGCACCCCGCACCACCCCGTTGATGAATTCTAAGTTGGTATCTAAGAAAGCAGTTGTTACCTTGGTTTCCCCTAATTGGATTAGGTTCCACCAAAAAGCAGGCCAAAACAGGAGAACCATTTACTTTATCGCTATTTGGTTGGATCTTTGGACTTTAACTTTTGGTTGAAACTGTTCCGGTTTTCCATGGACCCACAAAAAGCTATTTTCACTTCTTGCAGAGCGGTCGTCATAGCAACCAAGTTTAGAAACCTGGCTTCCAGTGGTGAGTACTGGGATGCAGGTGGGTGAGGGGGTCGACATGTCAAAAAGGGGAGGTCATTTTGACAGCTTTGTTGAGCTGCAGGTTAAACAAACTCTGGATACTAGCACTGTATAACAACTCTATACAATCTTTCTCGATGCTGCGTTTGTTGTGTTTTTCGGAGCGAAGCCAAAGAAAGGATCACATTTTTTTGCTGGATCACCACACGATTGAAGGTTGCATTGGTGGTACTTGCGACTTCCATCGGGGGCGGAAGACCTGGAACTCTGTGGAACCACTGAGACACGGGCTCCACCAATTGATCCCTCTCCCCCCAGCCGAATGTTCGGTCGGCAGTCTTTCTCGCCCAAGCATTTTGCCACGCACTCGGGTCGTTGCCGCGCTGTGCGTCGCGTACAAGACTGCGCTGTTTCAGATGTGAATTTCAAGGTGTTCCGTTTTGCTCGATGAGCTGAGTTTTCCGCGAAAATAAACTTTGGAGACCGGTCCTTCAAAATCGCAGGGAGTTCAGGTGTTGTTTGGACTTGCAAAGAAGAACGTGGGCAGCGCGCCGAGCTTTCAGGACCAACCATGGGCGGCGAAGGCGAAGGCGTCGCAAGTGAGCTTATAACAACACCTTGCTCGAAAACAACTGCAACCAACATCACATCTCAGCCATCGAAACAGTTGTTGTGGCGTCTCATGCAGGTGTCACAGCCAAAGCAGCTCGAGCGAGCGAGGTGCAGCTGCTCCCAACGCGAAGAAGGCCGTCGCGCTTGTTGCGTGTGATGTTCTCCAAGCAAAAACTCGACAGCTCGGTGCATGCCCATCATGGATGAGTTCTCAACATGTGCAAAAAGCAAGACCGAGCCTGCGGCGAGACGAGACTACACGCGCGGATTTCGACCCGCATGCAAAAACACGGCCCACTGACCGGCTGTTCTTTGTCGCCAGCAAACTCGCTCGCACAGTCGCACGGGCGCGCAAGTCCAAAACCAAGGCACGTACGCGTGACCTTACCATGCTTCAACGCGCACAAGTGGGCCTTCAGAGCACCCTACTAGCAAAATCTGATTCAAACCCGGAACTGCCCTGGTCAAGGCCAAGAAACCGTGACCTATTTTACGGGTTCCCCGCATGCAGACAACTCATAGGCAGAAACGGCATCCACTCTTTGAATGAAAACGCGATCTATTGCCGAGGCACATCAGGAAGGGATCCAGTGGCCGCGCAGAGCGGAAGTGCTTCAAGGTCCGACCATGTGGGGAGCCCTGGCTGACAGCCCAGTTGTTCCCCAACGGCAAGCCAGATAGGCTTGATCCGGAGTTTGGGGCTTTCAGGGAGGGTGGGTGGCCTCGGTTTTAGGCTGGGTTTGGGGTGGGTTCAGGGTAGGTGTTTGGCATTGGATGGTGGGATTTTAGCGTGGGCTGCAGGCTAATACATTCGGGTGGGCGTAGGTTTAGGTAGATTCAACATGACCCAAACCCCCAGTAACCGACTCACCGACCAACCGACTGACGGAGCGACTGAGCGGCCGACCAACCTGGCCTCTCACCCAGCGACCGATCGACCAGCCCTCCCCCAGACCCAGAAAAGGAGCCAACGGGGGGATTCGGGCTCGAAGACCCAACGAAAGTCCAAGCTCTAGCTTCGTACATCTCAGTTGGCATCAAGCCCAAACATCTGCGCATGGAAAAATGCGAGGCTGTGGGAAAACACACCCCTTGCAAAGAAAAACAAATCTGTGGTTCCCTTGGGCCCAAGAAATCGCACGTCCACAGCCTCACGGTTTAAACTCCGGGCGCGGACCGGGAACCTGTCAAAATTCCTGACTTCGGGGTCTATGACCTACCAACCCGACCATTGGAACCAGAGATTGCCCGCACCTTGTTTGTGAGAGCCAACTGCAAACGGTTTGTATCCTCGAATCATACCCCACTGGCAATGTTTGGGGGTTGCTAAACTTGGGGGGCCCCCTTGGTCAAAGAAATCAGCATGGGCTCCTACCTTTGATGCTATTGACCAAAAATCAGGTTTTCCGTTTGACCTGGCAGGTTGCGTTCAACTGGAAGCCCACAAAAAAAAATAAGAAAAAAAACTAATGTCAAATCGACGGGGTGCTTTCAAAGAGAACTTCAGAGGCGCGTGCATGGCGTCGGGTGCGTCCACAAAACACCTCGGGGAATCCCCAACCAAGCACGCCGTTTCCGCCTCGCGCAGCGACTGGGTGGACTCCTGGAACTCCTGAGAGCACCTCGAGACATGGGAAATGGGAAACGCCCAGTTTCCACATATTCTGCCCAGCCACACCCATGAAGCTCCACGCTGCTTTTCTTCCGGTCTTAAGCATAACTGGGCCCCAAAATCCGCGCTCCTTCCGCCTTTTCCGAAAAAATGTCCCAGGGAGCCCTCCCCCATCTCTCCCCCGCAGCCGTTTTCGCGTCCCGACAGCTCTCGCTCGCCACGCCCGGATCGGGCGCCCCGGCTCGCTGCGGTCCCGCGAGCCTGGATCGATCGGGGGGGGGGGTGGCTTTGAGGTCCCTGGTGTGTCGGTATGTTTATTTCTGGTGTCTGAGATGTGCTGCTATGTCCTGACACGCATTTGTAGCTTGCATCTGTCGTTTGCCAAAAGTATCAAGGGTTCCACATGAGCCGGCGAACAACATTGTTTCTTCAGAGGACGTGGGCAATGTGATTGCCCCCTGCAACAAAAAAGGCAGGCAATTCGGGGCTCCTCCATGTCCTCCCCAGGTTTCGTCGAAACCAGATCGAGTCATCAGGGCAAAAGTTATGATTCTGTTTTAGCTCCTTGTGGGTATGCGTCAAAATGGGGGACCCCAAAAATGTTGGTCCATAGGTGACCTTGTGCTTGGAAATAGATGGCCCACTGGAATAAACCCAATCCAAACCAGCGCTAACCAAACCGATCCAAAAGGACACCTATGTCTTGGTCCTCTTGGTTTCCCAGACCCCAAGGGGCCCGCAAACCCCAAATCCCCCGGTTTGTGACGCCTGGGACCCCAGCTTCTGCTCATGCTCGCCAGGTGCTGGCGCACCAGAACCGGGGCGTCCGGCCTCGTGACGAGCATCGATTCTGCTTGGGGCAAGTGCAAAGTGACCGGACACAACACGAGGTGGCAAGCTTAGGGCATGCTGAGCACAACCAAAAGCACAAACACATGCCTATGGTTGCTTTGGAGATCGTTCCAATAGCCGGAAGTTTTGGTGTCCCTTTGAGAATCTGCCAGGGAGTAAAAAAAAAACACAGCTCGGTGGCCCGGGCAAAAGAGGCAACCCTTCTTGGTGGACCATGTGCAGTAGGGAACCAAACAAGGGAAAGAGGGCACCACTGAACAACTGCACAGACACATGCTTAAGCTACTACCCTTCCGACAACGTTGGTTTCTTTCTGCAAAGGGGCCGGGGTCTTGCCGAAACACTGCTAAAACAACCCGTTTTGATCCAAATACCGGATTGCAAGCGAGCAGCCCGCTTCACACATGAAGCAGATTGGAAAGGTGGACAACCGACTCGTAACTCAGAAATTCGGCTCAGGTTCGCTCCAAAGATCTCGGTGCACGGGTAGCATTGGCTTGGCCCTTGTGTCTAGCCACGTGTTCCCTTTAAACAACCCAGGCTCTGAAATTTCATGGTTGGACCCCTCTCAAAAGTGGTGGACATGAATCCCAACCGAAATGATGTCAGAATTCGTGCCATTTGAACTAGGAGTCCCTCGCGGAAGGACATCTAGGGTGTTTGACCTGGCCCTCTTGGATGTGTTCATGATACGCATCACCACTGCCCACATACAGTACCCCCCAATTACAAGTACAGGGGGGTGGGGAAGTGCCAACTGCATACTGTGCAGGGCCTTGAAGCCTGAAAGGAATGGGGTTGAGATGTCCAGTGGTGCGCAGTCAGGGTGTTTGGTGTTTTGGCTCCACTGCTCACGTTTGGGCCAGCAAGTGTTTGTCAAGCTTCATTTGGGTGAGCGCTCCCGCCACCCCAGGGGTTCATATCCGGGGCTCAGCGGTCCGGCTCCCTGACCTTTGAATTTGGACTCCGCGCTGCGGGGGCGAGTGAATGCCTGGCCCATTTGTTTCCGACACTGTCAGAATTTCTTGGGGCGCGGGTCGAGATTCAATTCGGGATTGCATCTTTCGTGTTGTTGTTTTTGTCCGGGATGTTTTTTGTCTTCATTCCTGGGGAGAGGGAGAGAGACAGAGTTAATGCTGTCAACATCGCCAGTTTGTTTAGCTGGGTATAGGCTTGGTTCGTTTGGATGCGCTTTAGGTTTGTACGGATGGCGTAGTGCTGATTTATGGTGGGTCTAGGGTTGGTATAGGGTTTGCTAACGGTTTCTTGTTTAGGGTGGGTTTAGAATTGGTGGACCGCTGTGTTACCGCCCATCTCAGGTGGGCTGGGGATGTAGATGTGTGGATTTGAGGGGTTTAGGTGGGGTTGGGCAGGTTGGCCTTGATAGGTGCTCGGCAGGGAGGTTTCCCTGGCTAGGTGCGATTCAAACATAAAACAACAAAGGGTCTACGAACTTATTCATTGACTCGCCGAGCTGTCGATAGTATGAAAACGCGCATGCCCCAGGCTGCGCCCAGATCCGGGGCCTAGCGCGTTGATCAAAGGTCGTGGGACACAAAAGTTTCAACATGGGATTCTTATGGCTGTCATGTAAAGAACTCGATTCCTAGGAATACTTGACCTGCTCACATACACTCAACCGCCCTCAGCCAAACTATTAGAGTCGCTGGCAGCTTTAAGGACTTTGAAGGGATGCCTTCGAAAACCGCAAACCGATTAAGGTGTGACTCAGGCGCGCAAGCCCCTCTGTTAGTCATAAAGCAGTTAGGGGCGCAATCACGGATCATGCAGAATTTTCTCGAGATGGGACAAGCACTTGGTTCTAAATTCCCTGCACTTGGTGTGAGCAGAGGCAATGGCCCGACACGAACGTCTTAAAGCCGGTGGGGTCGAATTCACTTTGCCAACCCCGTGTTGTCCCACTTGTGACCATGGTCATCACGGTCATCCCGTAGCCAAAATGGCATGCAAGGTTCAACGAAGTCAGACTGAAACAAACGACAATGGATATTCCATAGCAAAGAGTAGGCAGCTTATGAAGGAGCGAATGAGAAGCAACAAATGCAAAGAGACCGCATGCCCCGAGTGTCCAACAGAACAAGCAAGTGCAAAGAAAGCGCCGGCCCAACCTTACACGTGCCTTGCCAACAAAGAGAAAATGCACCTGGGGTGCCTTTTCTTGAGCAACATCCAATGTCCAAGCCACACTGTGGTTTGCGTGTTCGAGGAGCCGCAACGTCTCGAAGGCACTTGTGATGGCTCCCTCTGTATTCGCGTTAACATCGCACAAATTTCAGAGATCGCTCTTTGGCAGTCCAAAGACCCTTGGCATGGAAATGCGCAAAAGCTTCCACGGTGGTTCCTTTAAAACGTGGTCTTCCATTGGGAGCGAAGGCGGTCTCCGGTGCAACCGGTGCAACCGATGCGGGCCTTCCCCTCGACTCAGGTTGGCCTTCAGAGCTCAATGACGGAGACCCGCGTGGCATCAGACTGGGGGGGGGGGGCCGGGAGAGGGGGTCCTTGAGCTCAGGTTCCACGTAAAATTTCCGTGTCGTTCCTTCGAGCTGGCAAAAACGCTTGGTTTTCATAGGGATCCTCCCCTTTCCGAGAAGACCCGTCTTGCAGCAAGGGTCATGCTCTCCAAGTAGGGCATCAATTCCCTGGTCGTCGCGTCTTGTCTGCCGCAAAACACTGGCAAGACATCTAGCAAGCTTCCTGGGGTGCCATGTTGGATAGCAGCCGAAGATTCCGCTTCACTCATTCAGTTTGTACCTTGTCTGGCTGAAAATCTTGAGAGGCTCCTCGCTTCTTTTAGAGACCCCTTGATGCCAAGAGTTCACATGTGACCCCACCTGTGTTGCCTGCTTTCCGGTGGTCACTGCTCGTCGATTGAGCAACGCCAAAGGATCACAGCAACACGCACGGAACGAAGGGGGCGGCCTAAGATTCGCCTCACTACCCAAAAGTTTTGCGGCGAGAGGTGCAAACCCTGGGGCGTTCATTTCTGTTTTGGAAGGGCTCTGCGCATCTCGTCTAACTCTTGTGTCCAAGGCTTTGTGAGTTCTGAGTGCCTGCTTTGAGCAGGTCTTGGATTGAAATGGCTTATATAAAAGAAGCAAACCCAAGTTGAAGTCTTGTGAACCCACAAGAAAGCCTAGACGACCCGGACACCAGACCAACTCCAACGGCGAGCTTTTGGGAACCCAAATGGGCGGCTCGTCTTTTCTGGAGGGTACCCTTCTTGGGTTGTTATGAAAAAGGAAAACTCTTTGCTTGGTTGACGTTGGAAGGGGAGCAAAAATTTAGATGCTAGCAGTTAAGTGGGGATTCCCCACTAAACCTCTATAAGCAAAAATGTAAAATGTTTCGGAACAACAACCATGTTTGAGGGGTTCGGAGACCCCAACACAAAAAATCTGACCCACCCCAAACGCCGAAAGCGCCCCAGGCCGGGCTTCCGCGCCCAAGCAGAGGAGGCCAAAGGGCCGCCCAAGGTCTTAGAAAGGCGGCGACCGGGGCTTGCAACCCTGGGCTGTCCGTTTTCGGCTCCGCTGAAAGTGACAAGCTTGTGGGTTTTATTGGAACTACCACTTCACCAACACATAAAACCTGAGGGGATGAACTTTTAGTGGGTTAACTGGCAACTTTACCACTAAACCAACTAAACTGAACTACAAAGCTAAGGCACCGGATGGCTGGGAACCAAGGACCATGCCCATGGATACGCTTATTTTCGTGGTAAAGTGCGTACACCAAACGAGCTTCGGCTCCCGCTGCCTCTAAACTAAAGGCCCATTGCCCAAAGATGTTTGGATGGAGCTCCATCCCCCAGGCGTAAAGATCCGGGGAACTTCTTTGGAACAATTGGAATCGTTATTGGGCAATTGAACAGAATGGAGACTGTTCCGGGGTCCAAATGTGTGGTTGCACATAAAAGCACATGAGAACATGAGGGCTCGTCCCCCCCTTCCCAAATTGGACAGTGGACTACGGGACAGTTTGGGTTGGAGAGCTATCAGAGGCAGAAACCAAGTGAAACCAGGGCCAAGCGCGTGGGCGCCCTGGAGGACAAGGCGAATATAGAGCAACCCTGATCTCACTTTGGCCATGGGACTTGCCACTGGTTGAACATGGCTCCCCTCCAATAAAAACCCGTGTGAGCTTCGGTCAAGCCCAAGCAACCCAGCGCTGCAGTTTGGCCCTTGCCGCAACCTTACGCCCTTGGACTAGACCGCTGCCGAGCTTCTCAGCGTCACTGGGCAATTGATGGAACCCTTCCGCGGGATTCTCTCGCGGCCCTCGGCGACCTGAAGAAAGCAAAAAATCTTCATGCTCAAAGTCAGACCGTGGATGGTGGCGAAATCCATTTCGCACCACCTTGAAACCATGGGTGAGACCATGGTTTGTTGTTCACAGGGGAATCATCCGCCACTTACCCAGCAGGTGGCTTGGGAATTGTCACTTTGACTTCCCAAGAAGACACACCCATTTGGCCATGGGTCAAAATCCCGTACCCCCAGTGAACATCCCAATCCCCACTAAAATAGACAAAAATGGGTGGTGCACCTGCCCCAAAATGGTACCAAAACGGTTTTGACCCACAGCCATTTCATTTTTGGGCTGGTCATCCCTTGAAAACAAGTCCTTTTCTCCCATGGCCGAGAAAGGGAACCCAGCACAGAGGCTAAAGGAAGCAGTGTGGCCATGGTTCGGCTGGTTACCCATATCTTGCCAACGGGTCCCAAATCCGTTTTCTTGAGGTCCAGAAAATACTATCAGGTACCCCCTAATTGGTGGTTTGGGGAGTTTACGAAGGGCAAATGGGAAACCCCCAAACGAAACCACCAAACCACTAAACCAGCAATCCAAACGACTATGGGGAGGCTAATACTGGCCGGTACAAAAGCACGAAGCGTTTGTGTACAGTCGATGCAGATGGATGATCCCAGCCTGGCATCTAGATTCCCTACCCATGGAATCAGAAACCGCATACCTCAGCCTCCCTCTTGGTCATTTGGCGTGGCTTGGTGGGAAAAACCCAACAACTACCCCCGACCTCTAAACCACCAGGCCCAGGATCCCGGGGCAGCGGCGGCGGACCGTTGCATCGTCCTGGAGTTGGGACCAAAACGAGTTGGGCCCTTGGACGTTTACGCCTTCACAAACCGCTGGCAAGCATCCCAACCGAAGGCCGGGATGCGAATTGGATTTCTAAGCGAAGCTCCATTCGATTTCTGGAGGTCAAGGCACATGTTCCAACCCACTTCACGGGATATGCAGGGGTGGGGGGGGGAAGAAGAGGGCTCTGTGCTGCGGCTTCTCAGTTCGGTACAAGGGGCCAAAGGATCATATTGCGCCAAGCGCTTCCTAGGCCTTGTCCAAAACGTGGTACAGGACCACCAACAACCTGGGCTGTTCAAAAATGGCTCGTGTTGGCCAATCCGATTTTCCATGATCCCTAGTCTACCACCAGGAGATCTCCACGTCAGCAACATGCGAAGCCCCTTCCGTCCTGCCCATCTTGGTGGCTGGCAGGTACCAGCCTGGCGGGACTCTGACAAGGACCCCAATCGTTTACGCAGTTGTGTTTTAACCCCGGAAAAGGGGTTTCAAAATGCACCGAATGGTTTCAACAAGGGGGTCAATGAGTTTCAAAATGTGCTCGAAGTCAAGCTTCTTGTGTTTCCTTTTGCAAACTGGCGTCTCAAGGCGTTGTTTCTTCAACCTCACTGTTCATCTTTTGTTATAAGCAGACTCCCCCTCCAAAACAAGAGAAGAAAACAACAACAAGAGAGGCCTCCAACACCAAAACCCACTCAAACCTCCACCCAACGCCTTTACCCGCCCCATGGAACGAACCACTCCACCTCGTTCCTCCCCCCGCATTCCTCTTCCCTCGACTCGAAAACCACCGCGCGGGGCGCGGCCACTCCGCTGGCCTTCGTGGCGCTGAAGCAGCTCCGCGGCGGCGTCCAGGAAGGTCTCCGCCACCTTCAGCGCCACGCAGTCCACCTGAGAGCCGAGACGGCCGACAGCTCGGCCGTGAAAGCCGAGAAAGCTCGGCTCCACGAGGCATAGGCTGCACTGGGGTGGTCTTGTTTGGTTCTGGTTGTATACTTTGTTCTGTTTTGTGTTGTGTTGTTTTGTTTGGTTCCGGGGGGTGAAACCTTGCAGAAGCGAGTGGGTTGGTTACTTGTTCTTTTCGGGGGGGTTTAGCAAAGAGAGTCAATACAAGCAGTCTTCGGATTGAAAGCTGGCTTATACTCGAGGTAAGCTGCACTGCTTTGTTTTGACGTTTGGGTGTCCAACCTCACTCGTGGCGTATTTTAGCCGCAAATTGCCTGAGTACTTGTGGTTTCGCTTCCCTTTTCCGGCAATTGCCAGAAACCCAAAAAGGAGTCCACTGAGAAGCGGAGCCCAAAACAATGGATGGCTCCCAAAGTGTCCCTTTGAACACCCAACATGCACGGCAGCTAGACTTAATATAACGACACAGCGCCATGTTCGCAGCACCAAAGCTGAGAAAACAAATGTGCCCCTTTGGCGCCCCTTTGGTAAAATAGGCCTGAAGTGTCCATACTGGGAAACACCGTATCAACTCAGCTTCCCTCTGATTGGTGGTTTGGGATTTCCCTTTTGCCCTCTGCAAGAGCCAGAGAGAGAGGGCACCTCAGGGAATCCGCCCAAAAAAAAGAAAGCGCCCGTTTGGAAGGTTTTAAAGGGAAACCCAAAGAATACCCTTGCCATTTTGGGCAGTACAACCCAAAAGCGACACCACAGGTCCACACACACACACACACACGCACGCGCACACACACACACACACACACACACACGCCCCGGCCAACAAAGCGGTCCAAGCCGCTACGAGCTCTGCCATGACCTCATCTTCATCGAGGACGGAGCGCCTCGGCTCCATGTCTTTCAGGTCGGTATCGACTTTAGAAGGCATGGGGGCGGGATAGGAGCCACTCGCCCGTGTTGTCTTCTCCTCCTTCTCCGTCTCCTTCTCTGTCTCCTTCTCCTTCTCCGTCTCCCTCTCCTGCTCCTGCTCCATCTCCGTCTCCTCTTCTCCGCTTCTTTCTTCTTCTGATTCTTCTTATTCTTTTGCTTTTCTTTTGCTTCTTCTTCTTCTTCTTCTTCTTCTGCTTCTTCTTCTTCTGCTTCTTCTTCTTCTTCTTCTGCTTCTTCTTGATCTTCTTGATCTTCTTGATCTTCTTAATCTTCTGAAAAAGGATACATGTCTATATCAAATGCTGGGGCAAGCTGGAAATTGCACCGGCCTGCTTTTGCTTGAAACTGCCGCAGAACCTCAAGAAACCATAACTGTGCTTCAACCACATGACAATTGATGGGTGGTCCTACCCTCGAAAATGGACACGTGTTCCTCTCCAAAGGTTCCAAACATTGAAGATGCGAACATTCGGTTTGCCCCCCAAGTGTGTGTGTGTGTGTGTGTGCCGTTATTGTCTCCCTTTGTTTTTTTTTGGGGGGGGTTGCCCCCCATGTCCTTCCCCAATGATAGTGTGTTTGCCTTGCATCTCAGCTCCAAGATCGCCGGAAGCGCCCGAATCACATCTGAGGTAGCCGGCCAGTGCTCCGGGAAGAACGCCTGGGTAAACCATTCAAAGGATCACAACAGCACGACAGTCCAGAACGAAGCAGGGTCCGAAAAGAAAACCACTAGAAACAGTTCGCCCAGATTTTCCCACATGGTGGTTGGCATGTGCTTTTTTCTGGCCATTTTGAAGGTTTCAGAGGACCCTGGGGTCCGAAACGAGGGCATCCTTATTTGAACAGGACGACCTCTTAACTCAGCTCTCCAAATCGACAAAGGCCCAAAGTCCTCCAGCCTTCCTTTGTTTCACGCGTTATTCGTCATACCAATGTCTGCTGAAGGCTTGAGTCGTGGGCTGTCGCCTGCAATTGTCTAATCTTCCTGCTTGAAGGGGAAGGCAACTTTAGTAGCGCTTGCTAATATTCGGCCTCTTGAAGTAAGGGACCCAAACTTGCCAACAGTCAAACAGCTGTTCAGAGTCAGAGCTATTGAGTTTGACCCTGACACACCGGCCAACCTTCCCCACGCGCTTCAAAAGCGGTTTGCCAGACTTCTCCCTTTGGCACCCTTTGTTAGAGCCTGGCTGCGCTGGGCTTCGCACAAAGAGAATGGGTCATAGATCCTAGCTAGATGGTCACGGCTCCCTAACTGGAGCACCCTGACAATGTCGCCTCATTCCCCTATTGCGGCAGGGTTCAAACAAACGCCCATGCGCAAAACGCTCATCCCTCAACAAGGAAACTCTAACAAACAGCCCATTTGCAACTTAGGCACATGCACCTTGATCTATTTTTGGACGCCGTAGGGATCCCCCCCCCACTTGCACCACCCCTCTTGGGGATTCCCTAAATATTGCTTGGCCTGGCACACCTCAATTCCTTCAGAAAGTCCAGACTTTTTGTCCCTGAGACACCCGCCTTTCAACCTTTTTCTTGGGGGGGGGGGGGGGGGGGGTCCAAATGCAAGCTGACGCCATTTACAAAGGGCGCCAAACTCAAGCATGGAATTGCAACCCCTTAATAAACCCTTTGTGTCCAGAGGACAAGATTGCCCCTGTTTCAAAATAGAGTCCACCTTGCATTGGGTTGTCAGTTTTGTCATAAAGAAGCGAAAAAGTGTCCTTTGCAACCCTTGGTATGGTAGCAAGAAAACTTGTTTTCCCAGCCCCGTAAAAAAAGACAATGAACAGAACCAACAAAAACTAAATACTTGCCAACAACAGAAACAAAAAATACAAACCCCACTTTTCGTGACTCTTGTCTGCCCTTACACAACAAGTCGGTGATTTGTCCGGCCTCTGCAGCCTCCCTAGTGGCGTTCCGCCCAATCCCGCCTGACAAAATGATGGAGTGGGATCACAGGGATCCGTCCAAACGGAATCCCTGGGGCACAAGGGAAACCAATTTCTAACATCTGGCAGGATGACGAATTGATTTTGAACCGAACGGTTTCAAAATAAGTTTCAAGATCGATTTGGGGAATGACCGGCTGGTTCCCACTTCTGTGACAGGGAACTTTTGTTGGTAAGGGGGGAAGTAGAATCATAGAAGAGGGCAATTCCCACAAGAATGGTGCCGAATGGTTGCAACATGGGTTACAATGAGTTTCAACATTGGCTTGAAATGCAATATGGTGTTGGTGTCAAGGGCAGCAACCCAGATTCCAGCAGGACCTTTTCCATCGAACCTGGCGATATCCCTGAGCCAGGGTGGGAGGGAGGTTTCGGCTCTTAGGCAAGATGATGTTTAAAGGGCTACATTACAAGGAACCTTCTAAAACGGCAACCTTCTTTTGCTCTTGTGGAAGGAATCCTAAAGTGAAGGACCCTCCATGTTTGGGGACACTCGTATGCCACATGGGAAACCCACCCCCCAAAAAGCCCCTCAAAAGGTTCACTTGAAGAGACTCAGAAGGACATGCCAGTACAGCGCTGGTCACTCAGCTCGCCTGCATCCACAGGTCCGCGGAAGTGCTGCACCTTCAAAGCCTCCTTCACCTTCCGAGTCGCACGTCCGCGACAGGGGGGCGAGCGCCAGCCGCGAAACACCGTCTTGGCAAGAGGGAAGGATGCACGCAACGGGGTGATGCAACAAATATGGGTGTGAATGTAAATGGGGAGGTACCCTTTGGTGGACATTTGGTGGGGATCCAAGTCCGCCAACCACTGTTCAGGTGGTTCCAACTCTTAAAAATCACAGCCATATGATCTGTTTGGTCAAAAGTCTTTGGTTGGGGGGCCAATCTCAGAGCACGAGATATGTTGATGAAAAAGGGGGTGCTTCCGAAGGATCGCCCTTAAAATGGGACACCCATTTGGGATTCCCATTTCAGCAACTCTGTGCAAGAAAAGCAACTTCGTTGCCCAATAAACGACTTCCAGCGGGCTTGGCACAGACTCATACGACAACTGAAACTGACCTCCCATAGGTCGCCGTGCTATGGCGTATCACTCAGCATCCCGCAAAACACAACATCATCAAATATCTGGATGTGTAATCCAAGAGCAAGATTCAGACATGTCTATATATATATATATGTACATATGCACATATTTAATTATGTGCTTTATCTATTATGTTATTGTTTTTGTTTTTCCCACTTTCCAACCAGAACTCGCGGAGCCGCTCCGAGCCGCTGCAAGCCGCTCCGGAAAGAAAACCTGCCCACCTTGGGACTGCAACATCACCACGCCGTTTTCGCCGCCCCCTGACTCCTGATAAGAAACCTCGAACCATCGGTGGCTTTGAAAGCAGAACCACCCTCTCCTTGCTTGGCGGAACCCTCAAGACCCCACCACCCCCCAATTCGAGTGAGTGGAGCCACCGTCTCCTTAGTTGGTGGCTTGGCTTGGTGGGTTTTTGATGTTAAGGCTCCCCCACTTCGCTTCAAAAGGAAACCACCTATCCAAGCCACAACTTTACAGGTACCTGAGACAAAGCTCCCGCCTGCTGGTTAGCGACCTGTGCCCGGGACCAGCGCTCGTGGCTGCGGCGCCCCTCTGGCGTGTCCTGGAGCGCCCGAGGCCGAGGCGGGACGAAAACTCCCGCTCACCCCCACCCCAAATTACACCAGCAGAGACCCCAAACAGCTGAGGACTGACGGGCAAGCACAAACATGCCAACAGCTTGTGGCTTTCTGCGCTTCAACACGGATAAATCAAAATGATGCAGTCGTGAACCCGGGCGTTGCGTTGCTGCACGTGTGTTGCTGGACAAATGCACCCGTCCACCTAGAGAGCCGTGGGCATCCAGGCTGGGAGACAACGGGAGACAAATGAAGGGAGACAAAGGGAGAAAAAGGGAGAGCTAAAATGCTGGGGGAATGGCTGGGAGCCACCAAGCTAATTCCCCCAGCCGCATCCTGATTGATGGCACTGATGATACTGTCCAGGAGTCGCTCTTGAGCCACGTCACGCACCTCAGGCCGTTCGGTGCCAAAACTAGGCATCGATCCTTCCAAATGCTTGGCGTCATTGCGCTTCTGTTCTGAAACTTGTCACCTTCCCCCCCCAAGAAAAAAAAAAAAAACGCGCCCCTAGTTTTGGTGCGCATCCTAATATCGCCTCTCGTTCCAAAATTGGAGAAACGTGAGTGAGACAACGCTATGCTGCCACTCGGCAGGGAGACAGCTGGATTCGCAAGTTGGACTGTTGCAGAGACCCATGTAGATGTTCATCGTTCCGCCTCTCGGCCATAAATTTGGGCGATTGAAATTTGATTAGGCCCCCTGCACGGTGTTCAAAAGGGAAGCAAAAGAAAACCGCCCCTTTTCGGGGTGACCCGTTTCACAGAGAGATCTTCGGCTTCAATTGCACCGGGGGCACGTCCCTTGAACCGCAGGGTTGAACCCCAAGACCATATCTACGGTGTGACTGGGCCCCGAGGGACCAAAAATGGATTTCAGACCCATCCCTTTTGCAGGGGCCACCTTAGAGAGAACGAGTGTTGACAGGGGACCAGAAGAAAGCACGCCAACTCCCCCGAAAGAGCCTCAACAAAACGAAAGAGCTGCCCTCCATGCATCTTTCGGTCAAGCTTTCACCAGGGGTACAAGCGGAATGCGAACATTTTTCCCACATGTCTCGAGCTCAGTCTCGCTTTCCCCCCAAGCGAGTCACAATCAAACCTCGCAATTGTTAACAGAGTCTACGCTTCCAGAATTCAAATGGCGGCCATCCGCACCCATTTATGACCAGGGGTCTACCCCCTGCTAACCTTCATCTACCCGAGTTTGAGGACGTGGCTCAGGTAAGCTTGTTACAAGTGGCCCCGATGTATCCGAACCCGGGTCTGAAGTTTTGAAGGAGCCCTGCCCTCAGCACAAATGAGAGAGAGACGGAGACCTCAAGAGAACAAAACGCTAAATGGTGTTCTTTTCTTGGAGTTGGTACCCATGTTTGGTTGCTTTGTGCTTTGTTTGTGTTGTTGTTGCTTTTGCTTCTTGTTGTTTTTGTCTTGTTGTTGTTCTTGGCGGTTCCCGCAGAAGAAACCACAAACTGAAATGCATTGCCCCCAAAGTCAATATGAAAAGGAGCGGGGTCTCTTCATTTGGACTTGTCAATGGAGGTGACCCTCAAAATGGGCGATGTCAATGTTCTTGTCCTGTGAAACGCCGCTACCCACTCAACACGTTCCCGCTCTCAACACGTTCCCGGAGTTTCCCTTCAAAACAAGCAACAAAAAGTACCAACAACAAACACAGGCACACCCATTGCCCTGCTTGGCTGCTCTTTCGATTCCCTTCCCCCCAAAACTGGCGCCTGCTCTCGCCCAGGGCCTGCAGTGCCAGACAAGGAGTTGGAACGGAGGTTTGAATGTCCTTGTCTCCATTTGCCAAGGCAAACCATTCTGGGGTTACCCTATTTTTGACCCACACCCAAATGGGTATTTATGCGGGGTATGAGTTTTTCCAATGAAAAAGTATTCCTACTGGTCCATTGCCTATTCGTACCCTTTCCAACAGCCCTTTCTCTCTACGAATACCCTTTCCAACAATGGCATAATGTTCCACAGTGATATATATGTGCCATTACCCTGACCAAAATGCAATGGCTCGTGCAAGTGGTTGTGGTGTTCAAGTCAAAATCTGCAATATGACCGAAAGCTGTGCGCTGCTTAACCCCCCCCCCATTTGCAGAGGCGTCAAGAAAACGAGGGACAATTGGTTCAACGGGTATCCCCCAACCACTCGACTGAGGCGAAGCCGTCTGTTAATAAAAAGACAAGGCCACATGGCGAGTCGACTGCCCCTTCGGCTGGAGACTTTTTTGACGGAAACCCGGCGGTGCCCCGGCGGCTTTCGACGCCCGACACGCTCTCGACTCGTTTGGGGAAGTTCATTCAGTCCATGCGGAACGTTGACCTGAACGGAGCTGCGGAACCTTCCGACTCGGGGGAACAACTCATAGAAAGCTGAGGGCTTTGGAAAAAGACGTCCGTCCTGAAAGACACGTCATATGTGACTTCCGGGACTCCCAAAAAAAAGCCCTGCAGATGTCTATATGTCTGCGGGAAAAAAATACACCAGCATAGACTCCAGCTAGCAGCGCTTGCACACCAGCACCTCCACCCCCGAACAATGCCCCACGCAAAACCCGGCGCCCGCCAAGCAGCACCCCCCAAGACACCCAGCCGTCAATCTTGCGAAAATCAACCAGAACTCCAAAAAGAATCCCAAAGCACCACCTAAGCTGCATGCCCGCTTGCACACTGCAGTCAAGATCAAAAAATGCGCCTGCACCGTCACCTGCATGCCCGATAGCACCCGAGCGTCAATATCGCAAAAGTGCGCCCGCACCGTCATCAACACCTCAAACAGCTCCCCACAAACTGCGTCCCACAGCACCATCAGCAGCAGCACCCCAAGCTGCATTCCCCCCTGCATCCTATCGTCAAGATGCGCGCGCACCGTCACCACCCAAAACAGCACCTACACAAGCACCCCAAACTGCATGCCCCCTAGCACCCTACCGTCAATCTTGAGAAGATGCACACCCTCAAACAGCACCCCAATCAGCGCCTACACCAGCACCCCAAACCGCACGCCCCCTAGCACCCCATCAATCTCGCAACTCACTTTCCCCTCTTTGTTAGAAGTTAGAACCCCTGTAGCTTTCAGCTATCTGGGGAAAGAGGATAAGATCTCAAGTTCCGGCCCCCCAAGACATGGAAATCACCGTCGGCCTTCCAAGCTGGCGATGCTGCCTGTCCAGAACGGGAAATGGAACCCCGACAAAACCCTTGAACATGTTGAACATGAATCGTGATGTTCACCAAAGGCCCAAAAGCTTCGGGTGGGCTTCACGTGGACGCCAAAAGAAAAACGGTGGCCACTTTGGGGGTCCTCCCCATCCTAAGTGCAAATGAGAAGCTTTCATCACTTCCAGACATCCCCAGGCTAAATCGCTGCTGCAGATTGGGAACCCAAAAAGCTGATCAAACAAAACTGTCCATGTTAATCTGCGCGCAACAAACAAAGCCAACAAAAGCAGATGCTCCCACACGGATTTGGGCAAGCAAGCAAGCAAGCAAGCAAGCAAGCAAGCAAGCAAGCAAGCAAGCAAGCAAGCAAGCAAGCAAGCAAGCAAGCAAGCAAGCAAGCAAGCAAGCAAGCAAGCAAGCAAGCAAGCAAGCAAGCAAGCAAGAAGCAAGCAAGCAAACACCCGAATAGAAAGCAAGGAAGCAAAAACAAGCAAAAAGCAAGGAAGCAAATAAACAAACAAACAAGCCAGCAAGAAAACAGGGACACAAACAAACAACGAAACAAACAAACAAAAAAACAAACAAACAAACAAATAAACAAACCAACAAACAAACAAACAAACAAACAAGTAAACAAACCAGCAAACAAACAAACAAACAAATAAAATAAATAAATTAATACATAAATAAATAAACAAACACACAAACAGACAAACAAACAAACAAACAAACAAACAAACAAACAGACAGACAAACAAACAAACAAACAAACAAACAAACAAACAAACAAACAGACAGACAAACAAACAAACAAACAAACAAACAGACAGTCAAACAAGCAAACAAACAGACAAGCAAACAATCAGACAAACAGACAGTCAAACAAGCAGACAAACAGGCAGACAAACAAACAAACATACAAACAAACAAATAAACAGACAATCAAACAATCAAACAGACAAACAGACAGGCAAACAAGCAGACAAACAGGCAAACAGGCAAACAGGCAAACAAGCAGATAAACAAACAAACATACAAACAAACAAGCAAGCAAACAAATAAGCTCAGGTGATATCCCCAACACCAACACGCCCGTGTGGGTTTTACACATGCGGAAAAACACAAGCACATCCCTCACTGGACCCTTGCGAGCACCCCGAAACCTTGCTGTACCCCAACAGCTGAAAGCTAAGGGGTCTCAGCCCAGATACGGTTTGGGGGTGGCTCAGGGGAGCTGAGGGGTCAGGTTCGAGGGTTCCGGAGGTTCCGGGGTCTGTAAGGTTCAAAGAAAATCCAGAGGTTTGTTTCGGGGTGGTCTGGCGCAGAGCCAGGTGTAAGGTTCAAGCCAGTTGGCTGGTGCGGGCCAGGTGTAAGGTTCAAGAAAGGGGTTCAAGCAAGGTTCCGGAGGTTGGGGGTTGGGGGTTGGTGTGGCGCCAGGCGTAAGGTAACAAATTGCAAACAAATCGCAAACAAACAAAACAAAACAGAACTAAACCAAACAAATAAGCAAACAAACAAACAAAATACAAAAACCCAAAGTAAACTAAACTACTCAAACACGCAAACAAACAAGCAAGCAAGCAAGCAAACAAACAAACAAACAAACAAACACGCAGTCACCAAAAAACGCGCTCAGATCTGCAGCTGCCCGCCTTTGGACGGTAAGTCCTCCAGGTAACTTTTGAAGGAGTCTTGCACCCCCTGGCTGCTGGCGACCGTCAAATGACTTTGTGTTCGACAACCCGGTGAACAAATCCCATGTCCCGGAACATCTGGTGCTGGGCAACATGTTAACAAACAAACTTCATAGATTTGTTGAGCACTGGCCCGAAAAAGAAGCAATGTGAACCACTTCTTGGTGCTTTGTTGAAAGATTGTGCCTGACGTTGACAACTGACGCACGTGCAACATTCCAAGATCTTCCGGAGCTTGGGACGAAGATCCGTGATGACAGCAAGCACGGAAGAGTAAGGTCAACGGACCGCGTCGTCGGGCGGCCGCAAGGCCAAGTTGGGCTTGTCTTCTGGGGCAACCCCAGAATGGGCGGCTTCACTCGTACTTTTTCCCGAAACAAACATACAGCGTCGAAAATACACCCATGACAGTTGCTCTTGCTTTGTTTTCCTCCAACACCTGGCACGCCACAAGTGCTAAACTCGTGGCCTCGTAAGCCGCTTTGCCCCCAAATTAGCAACGAGGACGCCTGACCATTTAATTTGAACCGACCGCTTTCAGCCTTGCTCCGGCGGCGCATCCCTCCATTCTCCGTCCCATAGTTTTGGATGGTGCCTGTGGAGTGCAACACGATCCAGCCAACTTCCGCCAATTATGGCCAATGATCAAGGCTAAAAAAGCTTACAAGTGTTGAAAACCTCCACAGGGCTGCTGAGTGATGGCCATCCCTATCACTCCCTTCGGTCTTTTGACCACAGCTAAATGCAGACAGGTCTGTCGTCCCACTGTTGAACCCAAGGGGATGGAAGGCCCGAAAAATCAATTGAAGACAGAACTCGATACGAGGAATCCGAGAAATAAGAAGAACTGAAGATCCAAGAATTTCAGTGTCGAAGGATTTGAAAAAAGTCAAAGAATCCAAGGATCAATTGATCGAGAAATCAAGACTTGAGTCACAATCAAAACCCGGTCTTAATCAACGTAAAGAACCGCAAAGGTCTTCGATTGTCCCGTACCCTCCAAGAACCACACCAGGTTTTGAGTTGACGGCCAGCTGTGCGCGCCTTCCAGCTGCTACTTTTGCTGGTGTTCGCCTCGGCCAATGGCCAAGCGAGACACCCTCTCGGGTTTGTTCGAGGACGTGCCGCAAATGGTTGTAGTTGGCTGTGGCTCAAAACAACGTACCAAAATGGCACCTTGGCAGATGGAACTGAAGACAAAAACCTGCCTAAGCCTAATTTTGAGCCACGCCCATTTGTTGAAAGTGGCCTAAAGGGGCAAAAGGGAAAGGCCTTGTGACACGCGACCTTTCTCGCATCTGTTGCAGGATTTGTTTGTCCCATCTCCGAGCTCGATCATCAATCCTTGCCATCCCAAACCAGAGATCCAACAGTGCCCGCGATGTCCGTCCCTTACCAAAGCCTGATCTTTGGTGACCCGGATGAAACTCTGAGGTGTTCTTATCCGGGCGATTCGCAGAAAACAGGCACGAGCCTTGTTCAGGTAGCGAAGTAGGAAGGAACCGAGCCAATTTAACCATGGTTTGTGGTGTTGAAAGGGGCGACTTTGAAATGAATGGCTTTCCTACCCGCCTCCTATTACAAGCTGACCCAGAAAAGGGTCACCGCCACAAGCAGGCACAATGTTCGCCCCGGATCTAAGTAGAACCGGTCTTATAGGAGGACTCCCCCTTGTCAACCAGGGCTTTATTCCTTCCTCGAGCCGGACAAAAAATCGGCACGGTCTCCCAAGACCCCAGCGCTTGACGCCATTGCGCGGGAGATCCTGGTTCGACATCGCGATTCCATCGTGTCACCTGGAACCTGCAGCAACCATGTACAAATGCCCAAACTATCATGTTCCACGCATAAGACATGGTTCTTTGGGAAAACCATATTGCCACATGGTTGTTTCACCTTCCAGCAAGATACATGGGAACCCTGAAAGGAAAGCAGCCTCCGAAATGCCATCAGACCTTGTCCCCCACGCTGAAAAACCATTCCGTCGAGCCATTGCCATCAGTTCTTTCGGCCCATGTTTGACAAGTTAAACCATCGACTCCCCACATTTTACGTGTCAACCGTGTCCACAACAAACAAAAAACGCATTTCATGGCGTCTCCCCCTCCTCTTTGAGGCCGCGCGCCATGGGACCTGAGGCGATGCCCGGTCCGTTGCAGGGCAAAGAACGAGAAATGGAATGAACCATTTGGGATTCCCCAGAGGAACTCGGGGATGGTTTTTCTTGGGGTCGTTCCATTTCTCATTCCCTGCTGAGCACCAGCAAGACCCAAAGATGGCGCTTTTGGGACCTGGCCCTTTTGTTTGCCTTGCATGTCAGAATCTCGTCGAGTCGGGCCAAAATGGGGGGTTCCGCAAGTTGAAAGACCCTAGTAGCATGCCCACTTCCCCCCCTTCCGACAGACGCAAAAAGGAGACACACAACCACAACAAAAATCAGGCACAAAAAAAACGTTTCCTGGAGCCTTTGTGAGGAGCCAGGGACCTTCCCTGATCTGGGCAATGTGTCTAAGTTCGCGGTTTACTTTGGTTTGCAGTAGAACAAAAAGATTGGGTTTTCTTTATGAGTGCATGTCTACAACTCACACGGGAAACGCAAAACCCAGAACATGTCTTGCCCTTGCGCTGGCTGCCTGGGCGGTCGTTTCTTGCAGAAGCAACCAGCAAAACCCAAAGATGTCAGAGCGTCCCTTTGGTTTTGGCTTATGGTCGCCCTCTCCTCCCGGCCTCACCTGGGTTGCCGGGCAGGCGCTTGCCAGCATCCCCAACTTTTTGCCGGGCCGGTAGCATCGGTACCAACAAGTGCACTCGAGAGTGGAAACCCCGACATCCGAGAACCCAAAAGATACCCAAAACAAAAAATGCCGCGATGCAAAGGTGTGGTGGCGTCTCTGCCTGGGAAACTTGGTCGAACTGCATTGCTGTCACAATGGGCAGTCGCATGTGTTCGCGTCTTGCCGGCTTTCTTTTCTCACTTTGCACCTGGGTCAGGTTGCCGGCGAGACCGCCACGGGGTAAGTGGATCTCCCGAAGGAGGGCCAACGGTCGAATTCGTGCACTGCGCCCAATTCACCTTTCGACTCTTCTCTATACTAGCACGGTCCTAAAGATTTCTGCAGGCGTTACCCCAATGAAACCAGACAAAAAATTGAACCACCCGACCTGTTTTTGCAAGGTCCGACTCGGCTTGCGCTCACTTGAGCCCCGGATACATCAAGAGGTTCCCCAGGTTGCCGGTGACGTGGACCGCCAGGTGCCAGGGGGTGCTGCGATGGAACTCGTTTCTGGAGGCAAACCACCTGGCCCGACAGTACATGGCGATGAAGGCCACTGTGAGCAGCAGGTATCCTCCGGCCGAAAAAGACCAAAGAACTTGGGACCGCCTCGTTCGTTGCAGAAGAAAGACAACTCCAAGCACAAAATGTAGGCCTGCCGGAAACCAGCTGGGCTTTACAGGTAGGCATGTAGAAGGGAGAGAGACGGACACAAATGCAGAAAGCCAAAACCCCCCGCCGCCCCCCGCCCCTGGTACCTGGGTGAGGGTGGGTGAGCAATCTAAGCATTCATCAGGTACCCATCTCAATTTGCTCTTTGGATTGGTGGTAACTGGGGATTTGAGCCTAGTCCAAACCGCCAAACCAAACCAACCAGGAGTCAGTTGTGAGTTCAATTGTATCACCAAAACCCTACACCAACATGCTGATGAGGCGGTGACGTGGCAAGTGATGCTGGGCAGAAGGCGCCCGCCAACCCTTTCGAAGCGTGGGGGTGACTTGATTTGACATGCAAGCCCCATGTGGCGTTCAAGTGTTCCCGTCTTCTTTGGAATCAAGATCCGAGAAGTAATGGTCCCAAGCCGGGTTTCATTTTTGTGGACTACCCAAGACTTCAACCAGGGGTTTCCCTGTCGCCAAAATCAACCACCCCTAGGTTTAAGTCTATACCTGGGTGTGGCTCAAAATTAAACAGGAGGGGTTACGTTTCCACTTACCAAGGTTCCATTTTGGTACCGGTTTTTTGAGCCACAGCCACCTTGGAATAGTCAAAAAGAGCCCCGGTTTCAAGCCTTCGGCTTTGCCAGGGACCCTAAACCCTGTCCTGCAGGTCCCAAAGCAGGCACCCACGGGCCGACGCCTGGCGTCAGGAGCGTTCCAACGACTCGTTCAACTCTTCTACAAATTGACTCCCCATTATTTTCAAGCATCGTTCTTTTCAAAGACTCAGCTGTTTCCCCTGGCTGTTTGATGGATTCTTGAAAAAAAGGATCCTTGGAAAGAATGGGAAAGCTTCCCCTAGAACTCGCGATACCCTCCCAAAGAACCTGGCATTCCAGGGGACCATGTCCCTTTTCAAGGTACCACTTCTGAGTATCCGAAACTCACACTCGAAACTCAAAGGAAAGTCTGATCCTGATGATGGCCTTAAAACTTCACACGGAGACTTCGAAAGTAGCACGAATTCTTTGGTGCTTCTGTGGCCATGATACTTAGTTGTCCTTCAGTGGACATCATATGGGGATTCATGTCCGCCAATTGATTTCGGCAACAAAGAACAAGCCAATGTGAGTGCTTTCTTCACGCGGACTTCGTGACCAACTGGATTGTTCCAACTCTTCGGCTCGAGGTGCTCATGCATCCACGTGCTTCACATCTAGAGAATCCTTCGGAGTCATCACCGGTGGTTTTGGGTGCTGTAACCGTGGCAACGGATCTCCTAACACCCAGCAACTCTGTTCTCACCGGCCAGTGCAAAGATCTGAGTGTTCCCAACGGCTAGCAACCTCTCACATTGCCGCGTGAACAGTTGGGTGGGTCAAAGGGTCAAGCTCGCTTGCCTCTAAGCTCATGGTCGCAACTGTGGGCCATGGTCACTCCCCTTACGAGGAACCCTTTTGCTGCGTGTCCACGGTTGACCATGCCAACTGAAAGGCTGTTTAGATCATGTCACAAGTGTCTTTCGCTAACTCTTGCCAGTCCACTGGGCGCCAACTGCCCCATACCCCACACACCTCAGCATTCAACCAAAAAGCACAATGATTGCCTGACTGTGCCGCACCATACCTCACCATGTACGAAGCTGAAAAGCGCCGCTCGCACCTAGCAAGGGCCGCTGGGGATCCACAAGTAGCGCGGTGCGCGCCGCCGCGCATCCAGCGCCCAAGAGGCCAAAGGCCACAGCGCTGTGGTACCTCAAGATTGACGTCCCGAGAAAAAAGCGGGGGACACTACATGGAAGACCCTTGTTTTGCTGTTGATTTATCTTGGAAACCACCAGAAACAGTCCCCACCAGAAAGGCATGGTTAGTTGGTTGGCCGCATCGCCCCAGCATCGCCAGCCTCACGCAATCTAGGGCTGGCTATCGGCTCTGACTTGATGGTCCGGTTTGGCTTCGGATGAGTTTTGGGGCTCAGTTTGGGTTGTGCTTTAGAGATGTGATTGCGAGAGTCAAGCTCGGGCAAGGACCACAGCCCTCAAGCAACCCCAAAGCCACTGCTAAACCAGCGCACTCCTAGCACAAAACAGCCCAAAGCCAACCCAAGCCCTTTGCGGAGCTTAAATGCCAAACAAACTCCTCATTGAGATCTCATCAAGCCAGAACTCACCCTAAGCCAGCTCCGAGCAACACTCAACTGAGCCAGGCCGGTGATGCTGGCCAACCAACCCACCAACCAACCCACCCAGCCAGACAGCCAGGCTGGGGTGCAGTAGGATACACAAGTGCCGTGGAGATCCGCCCATGAGAGACACATCCATTTTGAGCCAAACCAGGGGGAGCTTACAGAAAGTGACCGAGGCGCAGAAGCGTCAACACCACCGCCGCCATGTCAGCGTGGCGCCGCAGCCCGTAGGTGGCCTTTCGGGGTTGGCAAAACTCAAAAAACATTCGCCAAGTGAGGGAAACGACTGGGGGAGGGGAAGGGGGAGGGGGAGGTGGAGGGGGAAGGGGGAAGGGGGAAGGGGGAAGGGGGAAGGGGAAAGGGGGAAGGGGGAAGGGGGAAGGGGGAAGGGGGAAGGGGGAAGGGGGAAGGGGAAGGGGGAGGGGAAAGGGGGGGCAGAGAGTCTTCCAAAAAAGCGGAAAGCAGAACGGGGGAGGGCCAAACGGCCGCAACCGACCAGAGCGCCTTGCGCCAGTAGTTGAGCCCTGCAACGAAGCAGCAGAAGGCCAGGAAGCAGCAGCCCCAGCGCCTGTCGCTCACGGGTGGCTTGTCCTCTTGGTGTGCCTGTTTACCAACCTGATGCTGGCGCCAACAAACAAACAATAAATCAGTCAGTCAATCAATCAAACAAACAAACAAACAAAGAAAACACGCACAGACGCAGACACAGACACAGACACAGACACACAGACACACAGACACACAAACAAAAACAAACAAACAAACAAACAAACAAGCAATCGCGGTTCACTCGCAGAAAGGTCACAGCGCGTTGCACTCGCCACCATTAAGATACAACGAACAGCTCGGCAACGCAAAGCAGCAAACTCTCAAGAACAGAAAGAAACATGGGCGCCGACTCCGCAAACCAACCTGCGATCCAGGGTGGTCTACACACACACACACACACACCTATTGGCTGCGCGAATGAGAGCTGGTTGACATAAGCCAAAGGGGAAACAATTATTGGTGAGCTCTTAGAAAGACAAACATCAACAGAACGCAGGGTTCCCGATAGTTGTCCAACCTGTAAATCTCGCCCCCGCCACTAGAAAGGGAATAAAAGGTGCAAAGCAGCCCAAACCCATTGACCAGCATGGTTGTACAGATTGACCCCACGCTATACTCCTGCCAAAGTAAGTGTGCGACCCCCTGATTGAATTGGTGCAGCCTCAAAAACCAATTTCAGGGTCTCGGCTCGTTCCGGGCATGCGAAAAATGGCATCGGCAATACCTCGTGTTCCATCCAACTCTTGTGGCTCTGGCTGCATGTTTCAGACCGCCTGTGAGCTGCCGCCCCAAGGGTCATCAGGGAAAACTGCCCGCAGGAACGCAGCAGCCATCCTGCCCGATCTGGAATTGAACGCAAATAGATACACAGATGCAAAAAAGAGGTCGCTATATATATATATATATATATATATGCACGTGCATGCATGTGTATGGCACCCTGCCCCGCCCCTGCCCGGAAAAGAAAAAAAACTACCGGGTTTCTGTTGCACTTTCCCCCCCTCCCACTAAAATCATAGGCTGGAAAAACATAACTTATAGCGAGCGTTGACTTCAGGCGTTTCTGTGTTCACATGCGCGAGCAAGGCGCCGCGTTTACGTGTGCCCTTCCATGACAATGCTTGAGTGTTGCAAATCTTCGCTTCGAGTTGCACCTTGGTAGAGTCTCTCTGCATGCTGCTGCGGGCAAGCTCTCCACACATGTTTCTCTGCGCGCAAGTGTTGCGCGCAGGTTCTGCGCGCTAGGTCTGCGCGGGTCCACTCAGCAAGCTCTTTGCAAAAGATCTTCATTCAAGTTTCTTCGCCCAAGTTCCTGCATTTTTCTGTGCAAGTTATAGGCTCAAGTTTGCCTGCTCAAGCTTGTCAACGCAAGTCCTCGGTGCAAGTTTCTCGGCGAAAGCTGTTTGTGTGCGCTCTGCAAATTTCTCTGCGCAGCTATTGTTCTGAAAGTTGCTCTGCGCGCATTGTCGCGTGCGTCGCTCTCAACGCTGGCAACGCGGCATGCCAGCATCCCAGCGCACGCAAAGGGCCGCGCAAAGCGCCGCGCGCGCAGGTCAAAAAGTAGCCAGACCGTGAACCTTGACCAGGGCCGCGCGCGCGCACAGCAAAAGGTAGCAAAGACCAAAAAGCTTTGCACATCGACCACGCCGATCAACAAAAAATAATGTTCAGCTATAAGAATAGGGAAAAAACCCTCAAGATTTGAGCCTCGACCACGTAAGTGTGTGTGTGTGTGCTCAGGCAGCACGAATGCGCTCACGCGTGCTAACTTGCTCCTGCAGGCGTGCGCCTACGCGTGCAAGCACGCTCGGGCAACTTGCTGCGCGTGTTCTCTCATGCAGTTTGCGGCGAGCGTCCTCGCGCACAACTTTCTCTGCACGCGCTCTCGCGTCTCGTGGGCTCTCGTGCATTTTGCGCTGCAAGCGTGGGGCTTTCGCGCGTCTGGCTCTGCATGCACGCTCGGTCCTCTCGCCCTCGTGCATCTTGTTCTGCGCGTCCTCACGTGTGCCTTGCTGGGCCCAAAATGATTGGTTTTTGCTGTTTGGCCTCAGCACTTTTTGGGCTTTAAAGGATTGTTTTTTGGTGCCTTGCAGCGTTTGAAGCCTCGAGTCGCGAACATGTGTAAGGTCCCAGAAGAAACAAAACTGTAAGAGGACTTGATGAGAGCAGATGAGCGTCATATCGCAAGCTGGCTCTTTTGATGGCTAAGCACTGCTGGCCCAGGCAGCTGAAGCATTCTACCTGGCAACTACATGTTGGCATGGCACCGCCAATTCCCAAAATGCAGCACTCTGATGCCATTCAAACGGTGGAAGACCACCCGAAGGGTTCCCACTAAAGGGCCGACATAAGGCTGAACAGAGTAGACGTCGGAAGCGAGAGCCAAAAAGCACACATGTTGCTTGGTATGTTTGCAAAGACTGCCACCTTAGTATCTGAATATGCCTAATGTCGATCATGTCCATGCAAATGTGCTTCATGCACATGCAAAGCTAGATCATGAGGGGGAGCATGCATATACATATAACATGCTATAAGCATATACATACGTATATACATATCTACATATGTGTAGTCCCCCTCCAAAAACGCGATCATTTGGTAGAGGAATATTGGATCTAGATACGTGAATGTAGTTGATACAGATATGAGATAGTTCTGATCTCAGATACTCAGACGCGACTATATTCCCTGCGGTCCGTATGCGGGGAACCAGTGATCTTGCTCGTATCGATTGGAACCATCCACGACCGCTGAACTTCAGCCATCAGGCTTGGGGGCAATACAGAACAAGAACAACTGCTCAAAGATGTGGTCGCTACCACGCCACCATGTCGTATCATTGTCCAAAGGCGCCGAGGTCTTTTTCAAGGATCGCTATCAGGTTGAGAGCCCCATTGAGACGGCTTGATCTGAAAAGGGCAGGAAAACGCTCGTGCCTCCCATTTAGGAGTCCTTGCAATGGTTGCTGTCTGCTATCCTTGCCCTGCAACATCCAGCATGGGAGTATCATGACTGAACGGGGGGAACGGCATCTTAGCCATAAACAGAGGTCACAAGTGAATGGAACAGATTCCTCCTGGTTGGCGTGGAACCAGCAATGGCCCCCCCCCCTTTGGTGGCACTTTTACTTCACAAGAAGGGCAAGCAGGATAATTATGCAGGAGAATGACGAAGAAAAGGCACGGTTGGCTAATGTCGAAAATTTGATTGCTGCTGTATCTTGGCAAAAGCTTGTGGGTCCCAAAAGGTTTTGTCTTGACAGGGACAAGTGGGCCGGTGCTTTCGGTCCCTTCCCAACGACCCTTTCGCGGAGCTGCTGGAGTAGGGCAACGGCACCACATACTCGCCTTTGGCGAGCGCGCCTGTCCTCGATGAGCCCAGCTGCGTCTATTCCCGCAAAAAAAAAAAAAAAAAAAAAAAAAAACGAAATCAAAATCCAAGTGAGCGCCGCCAGCGGATGGAATGCGTTCTGGACTTCAATCCGACAAAATCCAGGGGATGACTTGACCGCGTTTCTTATGAAAAACTGATAAGAGCAGCGCTTAAGCCGGAAACCGCTAAGGTTCAAGGCTGCGGGCGTGCAAAACGCCGAGCAGGAAATTGATGGGCAAACCAAAAGCAGGCATTTAACAATGTCAACTTCGGACTTATCCGGATGACCCTACTAGTTAGAGGACCCCCCCCCCAACATACATCATCTCCTTACTAAAAGGAGCACCCCCTGATTAGTACGATTCTCCGGATTGCATTAGTGGCAACAGTGAGCTTCAGATTTGATCGGGGAACCATACCAATCCGAGAAATCCTCCCAAATATGATTTAATCCCACTCTGACAGTACCGGAACCGAGCATCGACCACCACTGTAAGCCAGGTCTCACTATAGGTGACGCCCATCTTGCGTGCCCCGCCAGCATAGGCGCCAGCATTGCAAAGCCCAAACAACTCCAAGTCAAAAACTTGAAGACCCTTTCTTGCTCCCTTCGCAAGGTGTTGCAATCCAATGTGAGTGCGGACATCCATGTCCTTACAGAACTCCTGGTAAGGTGCCAAGTTCCTTGTGTAAGTCTTGTTTCCGTCTCATTGCGATATCTTTCTTAATGAAAGCCTCCCGCGCGTGAAGATTTTGCGCATTCCATGTCGAGTCTCAGAGCCAACAGCCGGCGTTCGGAAGGCAGTCAACGTAAATCTTCGCTTCCAAGATGATTTCCACTGCTCCCAAAACCACCCCCAACCCCCAGGAGTTTAACGAGATATACAGACACGACAAAAGCCGCTATCCAATTGGGTCTTAAGGTGGTGGTCTAAAAGTGGTGGTGGTGAAAGGGCGGGAAAGTGACTGAAACCCAGCGAAGCCCTACAAGCAACGCGACTCCTGCAACAAGGAACCCTAGGTATAGAAAAACCCTCCGACTTGTTCTCTTCTTAGGGGAGGGGGGGGGGGGGCGGTTTATTCTGAGGAGGGATGTCATTGGAGCGCCAGTCCCTTGGGCGAAGCCCTTAGGACTCCACAAGACCGCGGCAGAACCAAGAAACCACACGGAGCTTGCGCATTTGCAACTCATGAACCGATGTGCTACAAGGGGGGAATGAATAACATGGGCCGCGTTCTCCATTTCAGCAGCCCCGCACGAGCCCGCAGGAGTTTGAAAAATGAGGACTCGCTAAGTTGCTCAACTGCAACCTCCCCGCGCTCTTGGCCGCAGGCGGCATGTGTTTTTTACCCGTCTCGCTTGGCCAGAACAAGTCGCCATCTGCGAGCTTTACCCCAGCCGCCTTTTCGGCGGCTGCGAGTTTCACCCCGGCGATCTTGAGACCTTTGCCGGCCGGCGGCGCTTTCGCACCTGTAGCAGCAGCGGCAGACGCCACGACCGCTTTTTGAGGCGATCTTCTTGGCGTTTGCCGTTTTGGAGCTGTGGCAACAGTGACCGGCGACATCAACCTCACAGCCTCGCTCCCGAAGCTCGTCCGCCGACTTTGAGGTCTCCGGGAGTGTGGCCACTCAAGGGGAACTCCAAGCAGTTAGAATCTTGATCACTGCTTCAATCCGTAGGGAACATCAAGAGACAAACCGACAAAGGGTGCGCTCGTTTTTTTTCTTTTTGCGGCGTTGCTTGGAAGTTCAGGCTCGGTGCAGGGGCAACGCGTGTCCTTTCCCCATGTCTGGTTAAAGGTCCGCGCACTGCTCCTAGCCTCAAACAAAGAACCCAGAACCCAAAGCCGACTGCAAGGCGCACACCTTTTTTTGCCGGGTTGCTTGGAAAGGTGTCCCCCCCCTGTGAAAAACAATGTCGCAAGACAAGCGTGTCCGGCGTGGTATGCGTGCCCACGCCGACCTGCGGGTCCAAAGAAGTAGTAAGGAAGTAAGGCTTATAGCATCCAACTAATTTTCGTTTTTTGGTCGAAAAACCCTGCAAAACAGCCAAATTCTCCATCCTGCTGAACGTTTTTCCGATGTCACCGGTCTTTGTCACCGCTCCGTTTTTGGTCGAAAAAGTGCTCAAAACGGCCAACTTCCCGAATTCCCGAAAAGTTCGTTTTTTTCCTGTCAGACGGCAAGCGAGGTGCCTCAGCCTCTAGATTTGCTCGGTTTCGGTCGAAAACAGGCTCCAGACGCTCACGCTCTCGATTTCCGCTTTCTGCCCGGAAAAGCTGGCAAGTTCCATCCCGCTGAGCTTGTCACCGCTTCCCACCGCTTCGTCACCGCTCTCTTTTGGACCGAAAAAGTGCGCAAAAACGGCCAAGTTCCCGACTTCCCGAAGACTTCGGTCCTCGCTTGTGACCCGGCAACCTGCCGAACTTGTCACCGCCTTCGTCACCGGGTCTAACGCGGCAACCTGCCGAACGTCTTCGTCGCCGGGCCCAACACGCCAACCTGCCGAACGCCTTTGCCACCGGGTCTAACACGCCAACCTGCCGAACTTCCAGACAACTCGAAAATCTTGGCAAGTTTGAGTCAATATTGAATCGGCTTGAAACAAAATTGGTTCATTAATGGGCAAAGGTTGCCCGGTCGCGGCGGGGTTCGAGCCCCGGACCAGGGTGGTGCAGAGACAGCGCTTTAACCACTGAGACAAGGGAGCTTCTGTTGCTGGAAGCCGGCCAAGGCTGTCACCGCTTGTCACCGCTTGTCACCGCTTGTCACCGCTTGTCACCGGGGCGCTTTTGGGTGGAAAAAGCAGCCCGCCGAGGTGTCCCACGGTCCGTGCTTTCGTAATCCTCCGCGGCTTCGGTCTAAAAGCGAGGCCGGCTCCGCGGCTTCGGTCTACAAGCGAGGCCGGCTCCGCGGCTTCGGCCTAAAAGCGAGGCCGGCTCCGCGGCTTCGGTCCAAAAGCAAGGCCGGAATTCTTTCCACCGAGGTCGCGACTCCCGAAAACCCTGGCGCGGGCCTGGTGCGGCCTGGCGGTGCGGGCCTGGCGCGGGCCTGGCGCGGGCCTGGTGCAGTGATGTGGTTCTCGCCAGACCGCTGCCGGACGCCTTGCCGTCAATCCTGTTGCCAGCACAGGATTGCTCCACTCATGAGATGTAGGGAGGGTCGGCGTAAATGCAATGCCGGGGCGCCTGGCAGGGCAGTCTCGCAGAAAGGCCAGTGCATCCTGGTGCCGCACGGTCACATTCGACGGTGGCCGTTGCAGACGCCGCACGCTGCTCAGCGCAGTGGCCGCTGCTGTGCGAAGGAGCCCCATTTTCCCGAGAAGCTGTTGCGCAGCAGGGCGTATGAGCAGGCAGCCCGACGCCCGGCACGGCCTCTCTGAGCGCCGGCAGGAGGTGCCTGAAGTAGAAGCGCCTGTCCACCTTGCGCCGCACCAGGCGCAGCAAGGAGCGCAGGAAGACCGGGTCTTGCCTCAAGTAGCAGCGGTGCAGGTTTGCGACGGGCTCGAAGGCGTCGACGCCACGAACCTCCAGGCCCGGGCGCCGGGCGGCAAGGTAGTACTCCAGCTTTCCGGAACCGAAGAAGGGCGAGTGAAGCACAGTGATGTCGCCCAGCAGCCGGTCGAGCGAGCCACGACTTGCTTCCCATGTACTTCAGCCGATGCGGTCGGCCTTTAGTTTTATCCCACAAAACTTGGCAGCGACGCTGTAAATATCGCATCTCACCCACTCGCCGCCCGGCTTCCCGGCTTCGAATTTGGGAAGTAACGCAAAAGGACGAATGGGGAAGATCAAGCTCTTCCCCACGATTACACACGCTTTGGCTTCTTAGCCTGGGGCAATGACGCCGGCTATTCGCGAACGCCACTGCCCCTACTGTTTGACATTAACATCGATGTCTATTGCATCGGCTTGAGGATGGAAAGTCCGCGCAAACGAAAAAGGAAAAGGGGGAACACCAAGCACAAACCAAACCAAACGGCCCCCACAAAAACAACACCCGCGCGAACCCCTCACCTCCGTGACTGAATGAGACGGACAAAATTCCTCCTCTGGGTCGAGGGATCCATATCAAGGTCTTCCGGTTCCGGAGTCGGCTTGATCATGGGCAAATCCAAAACGAGGTTGGTTTGCCTCTTTGTACCGAAAGGTATCTGTACAGTGTCTCATGCACTAAATGCGCTTTCGGAAAAATCGGGCGGATGTTGAGACCACCTGCTTTGAAAGACAGCCCAAAATGTTTGGTACTGCATCTGACGCAAGCGGCATCCCAAGGAAAAAGTGGCTGCATCAAGGTTTTGCTCAAGGTATCCAAGGCGTTTTTGAAGGTCCACACTTCCGCGCCCAATGTTCTTGAGGGCATGCAATGTATCACGTGAATTCCAGGTGTCAAATGGCAATTCATGTTTTTCGGATCTGCTACCGGGATGGCCATCCCGGTTACCAAGCGAAAACTGACCATGAGCTCTATCCAGAGAACCGTCTGGTCTGGCGTGACTGAAATCGGCCATTTGAGATCAGCCAACCATGACATGAGCTTTGCATTACTAGTTGTTCCCCAAAATGATGCAGTCCGCCACTCAGATGTGGTGGGGTAAGGATTCACCTCATGCACTGGGCCCACGGGGACAGCGACCGGCTCTCCCGTGAGTTCGGAGTCTTTGTTTTTGGCAGGTTGGCGGTTAATACAACGCACGTACTCTCGCAAAGCACTTGCAATTGCGCCGTAGAGTTTTGGGAGGTTTTCCCTTTCCTCCACCGCTTGCTTGTGTTGTTGGCGCCAAAGCTCTGCGCAGTGGTTGCCAAAAAGATGGTACGCATTTTCGTCCGTTCCAAAAATTGCTTGTGTGGCTTTTCACCTTCGTGAGGCGAATTTCTCTGCTCTTGAGTGGCCAAGCACGCAACGCACTATGTACACGAATTATGATATCATAATTTGACTTAGATGCCCACAGGCATAGCTGGTCGTCCTGCAAAAGTTTCTCTGTGACGTCTATCGCGTACTGGCAATCTGAGACACTCACAAGATTCTTTGATAGAAGCAATGCATGTGCAATGGCAAAAAGTTCTGCTCGTGGCACCGTCTGCCTGTTGGGTACCCTTCCGGCGCAGACTTTAAAGTGCGTTGTGCGGCAAACCCTGCACACGCAAGGTGTGGATGACACGAAGCGTCCGCGCTTCCGTCTGTGTATCATCTTCATCACCCTTCGGAAGTGCCGGAATCTCAAAGCTGTCTGTGGGAATCGGCAAACATACTTCTGGTTTTAAAGCCCATGCCGAATTTGCATGACTACTGGCCAGTTGTGCCAGCAAAGGATGTTCACGCCGAGTTTTCTCGTTTGCAATGCAAGTGCATAAACGGTGAGCCAATGTGTCTGGTTGTTTGCAAAGTTGACAGTTGGTGGAAATATCTTGCCAATGAGCCACACGGTGGTTGGTAGGGATTCCTCCTGCCAAGTATGTGCGGAGGAACGCGCATCTGCTTCCGCAATGGAATTCAAAGCTCTACATGTGGCACGCAAGTCCAAATTTCCAAGGTTTTCCAAACCCTGCCTCTGCCGGAGGTGTTTGGTAACACCG